TACTTCTTCGAATGAATCTTGCATCGGGTATCTTATTGTATGTACTATGTAGTAACATTCTTCTTTTGGCTAATTCTATGAACCCGGCAAAGAGCTTGTCTTCCGAGCACTGAATTCGCTGAGGTTTGAGAAGGCATGCTCTTCAATCAGCCAGTATTGAGCTCTGTCAGTTTCAAAAGAGACGGCTTACCGTACACCATCAGAAGTGATAGATACAAAACTAAACCGAACCTATTATAGGGGTTAAATACATGTGGAGCCTCTTTTTTCCTTGGAGATGGATATATCTGCCTGTTGACTCCTTGTGTTTTGGACCTCTTAATTTTTCAGCATCATTAGACAAATCAGGATAATGGAATATAAATGAGGGCGGCACGGCGGTACATGTGTATGAATTGTGAGTGATCCACTACTGAAAATTTGAATTGGGCAATCAATGATGAATAATGATTCGATAAATACGTATCTCTGGCTGAAAGGAAGCCTGGTTCATATGTTGTCTTTTTGTGTCAGATCCTAGGATATACTTATTCATTACTCATTCCATCATCGAGGTGGGTGTCAAAATTAGACTTAAGCGTATTTTGGGATATTTTCTGACCCGATATCACCTTTGCATGGAGCTTCCTATTGAACTGCATTACTTATTACTGAGCTATGGAAAAAGGAGCCTATGCACCAGATCTAAAGGACCGAGCGAGAACTCCACCCGAGAAGCCAACCTAGAGGTCTTGAAATAGATCGACTGAAATCAAGCGGTAGGCTTGATTTTTTCGCCTTTCGGTTCAGATTAAACCTCGATAATAATGTTCCGGATATCTCTCCTGAAAGTAAATATGTTTTATTCTAGAAATCCGTTGTTCAACAAGTCTAAAGTATATATAAGTTATCTGTTGAAAACGTGTGAGATAGATTCAACTCATTTAGAATATCCGCTTTCAATTCCAGCAGACGACCGGGTCCCTGGTAGACAACAATGCTCTGATGGCCCGAGATCATTCAAAAACACAAGCAGACACATCGGGATATTTGTAGCCCATCTGCTTTCATATACCGGTACCTAAGTTGTATTTAGCACAGATGGCTTTGCATCTCTTTGCAGTGATCATGGGGCAAATATACGAATCCCAATATATATCAACGCCAGGCTCGCCGCGAGGATATGTCTATTTCATAACAGGATTAAAACAAAGTGATCGATAACACTGGTATACCATTACTGTATCTAAGATGACCTTGCGCAAAGTCTTGAAGTCTCATCAGATGGAATTAATAGCTCTTCTTCGAATTCATCCTAGCTGATTCGGGACTCGTCAACCTCGAATTATCATACTCCGTGGAGAATAATAGATGCTCTCATCGACTTCAAAATTGATGACTTTGTCCCTTCAGCATTCTTAGGAGATAATAAAGTGGCTGGAGTTCCGGATCTCAACTGAAGATAACATCGAACCCGTAGTCTTTCACATGATCCGATGTGTCTCTTGATCCCTAGGCGTTCCGACGAAGTGTAAAACCAGACACTAGTTTAAAGGCAATGATATAGACACGAAGAAGTCCATATCCCATCTTCCATGATCATGACATCCTCGATTCATCTCCCATCGAATCTTTTATATTCACCTCTTATCTTTTTCGAATGTACAAAGTGCTTCCCCTCCTATCTTCCTACCTTCCGATTCCAAGCAACGTTCAAATGTGCAGCTAATACCATTCCACTTTCTTTTCGTCCAATGCTCAAATGAACGTAATACATTGGGGATATCTCACCGTGTTCACTTTTGCATCAAAGTCACTAAACTCATTTACATTTGACGGAACCGTGGCTGCAGATGATTCCAAACATCCGAACTACATCAAGCCACCTAATACGACATTTGATTTTCCTTCGTGTGCTACTTACTACAACCCGGGGACCCTCAATTGAAGCTAGTCTACAATTCACCAAAAGTTCCTGTTCCTCTTTCCCGAGAAGATAGTACTGAGAATGCAAATACAGGAATCCTCCATTACGTGGGGTCAAAATGTGGACGTCCTATCATCTATCTAACCTCATTGGTCGAGTTTCAACACCTGCAAAAATGAACTAAAATTCAACACAACAAAAGCAAAATGTACATTCTCCCTCGGGTGGGCTCGAACCACCAACCTCTCGATGAATCGATGTTTGAATTGCTTCAAGTAACAGTCGAACGCGCTAGCCAATTGCGCCACGAGGGATATTTGATGTTTGGAACGTCTGAAATTTAAGATTATATAGCCAACTTCCAAGTGCATTCCTGAAATTTACTTGATTAAATACAAAAATGGTGGGGGACAATAGGATCCAAGATGACACATTGGCTACATTCTAGACAAAGTTTCAATTGTGGGGTTGAGGGGTCGTTTAACCCCATCTCGGCTAACCCCTTCATTCACCGACTTGGTTGTGATAGTTCAATCTAAAAATCTAAATGGACAATCTGAAAAGTTGACAGTATTTCTTTTGAGTTTCAACGATCTGATGGTGATTTGACTTATTATATATACTGTTGTCGGAAAGAGTAGTTTAATATTTGAAGTGATTCGCCAAGAGGAATAACAGCGATAAACCAAAAAAGGTAGCGAGGCACATAATTAAGCCACCAAGTTCCATACCCCATACCAGCCCATCAAGAAGAAACCTCATCCCTCAAACCTCCAAACGAACCGCAATCCTCCAGCAGTATCCCTCAGCTCCAGACTTCCAAACCTGCAAAAGTACAAAACAGTGACAAGCGGAGGTATTGAACCACACCCGATTTGAACGGATAACCTTTCGATCTGGAGTCGAACGCGCTACCGTTGCGCCAGCGGTCCCTAATCACATGATTATTCATAGCGTGTCCGTTATCATTTTCCTTATTCCTTATTCCCTTAGATTTCATCTCCACATCAACTTCCATTTATCAACACAAACCTCAAATTTCAAATGTCAAAGCTCCACTCCGCTCCACTTCATCAAGTCAATCTAGAATGTAATCCCAAAATTGCGTCCCGTTGCATCAACAAGTAGACTTAACAATCGCTCTCTTAGCTCAGTGGTAGAGCGGACGATTGCAGTAGTTGCATAACTATTATCGTCAGGTCAGTCGTTCGAACCGGCTAGAGAGCTTCAATTGCTCTTCTCATATTTATTTCATTTTTTTTTCTGTATTTATATCAAAAAATTATTACAATAAAAATTAATTAATAATTTCATCTTTATATTTTAAAAATAAGAATTAAATATATTATTATATAATTAACAATCTCTCTTTTCAATATAATAATTTAATTTAATTTATTGTCGACTTGCCGACACCATTGTCACGATTCATGGTTTTCTTTATAGTAGTATTATTGACGTCGGTGATTTATATGCCGACTACAGGGGGGATGTGATTTAACCATTGCTTTCGGGGGTCCTGATTACCTAAGCCTAGAACCTCAGGATTCCTAGGATAAGTATCCTAGGCAACTATAGTAGAATAGGACAAGTGTCCTAGCTAATTGGTTGTAATGGGATTATCACCCTAGAGGATATCGTATCCTAGGACTATAATTCCTAGAGGGAAAGCTCCTGAAACAAGTGTTCCAGGAAAGGAAAGGCCTTGGGATATGAGAGGCCTCAGGATCTATCACGTGATGTGCTAGCTCTGCTAGCCAGTTAGCATAGTTAGCATGGGAAAAGAGATTAGTATATAGTCAGAATAGTTTCATAGTTTAGGAGCTTCGTGCTCAACTTAGTTATCAATTAGTTTACCTATATTCCAATTGATCTAGTAACGTATTCACCTTCGAGTGGATAACCAGTGATTATTAGCCTTAACCTACAACTACCAACCATACGAAAACCTGAGGCAGCCGCTGCCCCGACCAGATCGTTACAACCATGACCTTCCTGTACGCGAGGTTTATCCGGTGTAGGTCGTAGAAAATGAGGTTCGCTTAAGGTTGCGATATGATTGGTCGAGAAGTGAGTCGCGATCCTGACAATCTGATTGGTCTAAAATACCCCAATAAATAATCTAACAAAAAGCTTGACATAAGCCTTACAGCCTCAGACAAATCTGGCTTGTCGCTCTTTTCAATTCAACTCAATTGAAATCATTTAATTCAAATTATTCAACTTTATTCATTCAATTTAACCCATTCAACTTATTATAATAATAATAATAAATAATAAATAATAAATAATAAATAATAAATAATAAATAATAAATAATAAATAATAAATAATAAATAATAAATAATAAATAATAAATATTATTATTATTATTATAATTATTATTTATAATATAAATAATGATATTAAATCATATTATAATTATTATTTTTAAATAAAATATTTTAATTTTCAATTATTTAATTTATTTGATTTTTATATTAAAATACTAGATTTTTTTTAAAACAAATTTTATATAAATTTAATAAAAATAAGTTTTTAATGTTTTTAATAAAAAGTTTATTATATAATAATTTTGAAATAATTAAAAATCTAAATTATATAAAACTTTCTATATCAAAAACTTATTTATATCGAATCTAAGTAATCTAATTTTCAGTCTAGTATAATCAAGTTCTATTATAAGATTATATTTCAAATCTCACTTAATTTATTAATACCAAGATCTAAACACAAATAATCTAGTTCCAATCTCGCTCTCAGCCACTCCGCTCCGCCGGTAAATTTCAATGACGATACAATTCAGTGTTCTTTGCAATTGCCAATTCGGATTAATTAAGAAGAGAACGTATATAAACACTTCCCTGAACTCTCCAGGGCATTCAGGTTTCCCCACTAGAAATTTATAGTCTTGCGAAGAGTAATCTAATCTTGCAAACCTAGAGGTAGCTACTAAGAAGGCTTAAAATAATATCATTCCAGTGCCCACCATACGCCATTAGCATTAAACATCTCAAAACCCTTGGAGTTCGCACCCATATCATCCTTGACGCCCAAACGACAATACACAATCGACAACTCACTATGCACAGGAATAAAAATAAAACTACCATTCATACATGGAATTTCATCAGACTATCTATATAAGTCTACCACTCTTATAGCATCTCAATAAGCAACAAAGGAAAGATATTTATTTTACAACAGCAGCCCTTCAAGTATCCATCCATCTAATCCCAACGCCTTGCAAAAGAAAGAGACACAAGAAAATTTGAGCTATCTCATACACCCAATCTTCTCCAAAACGCCATGCAATGCTACCCTCAAATTTGAATATCATCCCAATCCAATGAATTCCACTATTATCTTACAATCGCCTATCACAAGCACCATTAACTTTCCTACTGCAAATCCCTCAACTTCTTTGTCGCATAAGCCGCTCCGATAGTACTAATTGCCCCGATGAACAAACAGACACTAATAGCATTTGGACCTTCCGTTCCATGATGCTCCCCCTCCTTTGCATTTTGAGCTAACTCCGGACTTTTCCCTGGTTCTAATATACTGAAAACAATCATACTAATGAAAGTTCCAATAAATTGCGGAATTGTAGTGTAAATATTTAGAATCCCAAAGTAGATTCCGGAAAGTTCGCCAGTGGATGCAACATCTTCCTTTTCCCCGGAGGATCCATGTTCGAGACGGAGTAAAGATGGTGATGGGGGAGAGGTTGGTGACTCAAGCTCGATATCACGGTCGGTAGTGGAGAGACGACTATAAGACGGCAATCCGCTCATTTTGTTTACTTCGACACCTAGGAACGCATATGGTGCCCAAGATGCGACAGACCATGGTCTAAGGGCTATTAGTTGATGAAAATGGAGTAAATGTCAAGAACGTAGAAAACTCACAATCCACAAAATGCAATTAATGACGTCGCAAATCGGAACGAGGACGCAAAAGGTGCTAAGAACATAGCTGATGAGAACATCAAATGTCCAACAAACCAAGCTCCAAGAAGATCTGGCTTATGTTTGTTGTAAGCCTGAACAAACCGAGCAATGCTTGCTGGTGGTCGCTGGGTGAAATTATCTTCATCCGGCGACTTGATCAAAAGAGGTAAAAGGAATGATCCGAAAGATGAAACGAAGGAGAATACAACGAGAGACATGCTTCCAATTCTTCCAATATCACCCAAAGCATCTTTTGACTCTTTGATTTCATGTGGAGCATCATATCTGAAGTATGTTTCGCCAACAAATGTGGTACCATAAAATAGGAACGGAAACCATCCAATCCAACTCCAAAATTGGCACCATAAGATAGCCTGTATTTTGGGCGGAACTGACACTGTTGTTCTATATATTTGTCGAGTGATTTTGAGTAGTCCAGATTGACTGTCAGAGTCTTTGCTAGATATTAAAACACGTTCCGTCACAGCCCATGATGTGACACCCACGCAAAATATAAGTGCAAATGCCGCAATAAGAATGAGCTTCTTGAATTGAGTATCACCCATCGAAGGACCAAACCAAGCGACAAGATCAACTGTACCAATAGCATACCCGACCAAGTGTCCCAGAGCAGCCATTCTGCTGGCTGAAAAGTGTCAATGTTTGGATAGCTAAAAATAAGAAGAACAAACTCACCCCATGATGACCCCGCTTGTTGTTTCTGTATGGGTAATGTATCTACGATTAGACTTCGGCAACTCCATTGAACTATTTTCCATTAACATTTGCATCACAACCAGAAAATATCAAACTCACCAGCATTGATAGCGAAATCCACAGCATAAATTGCCAACACGGCCAAAAGTATGGTACAACTCTTATTAAAATCCCCTTCTTCAACAAAATGCGATACGATTTCCTTTGTCCATCCCAGAACCAACAAGCATAATGCGACAAGGATAGAAGCGCCCACCATATAGGGTCTCCTTCTACCCCATTTCGAGCGCGATCGATCTGCCATTGCCCCCACAAGCGGTGCCATAATCAATCCAGATAAAGGCCCCGCGACCCATACTAAAGAAGTCTTCGATTTCGTAAGACCCAGTGAAAGTAAATATGGAGTGCAATCTATTCAGGTCGATCTGTCAGTATTTTCCATGAACTGCAACAGCATTCGGCTTACAGGTCATTTCAATACCCCAAGTAAATCTGCATAATAAATTAGTCAATGCAGTAGTCCCTCATTCTTTTCAGAAAAACCTACTGCAATCCAACCAAAGAAAACGTCAACAATGCCATGCGCATCTGCTCCGTACTCCCCTTAATAGCAGGTTGCCCACTCCATGAAGCCATATCCGCCTTACTTTCAAAGTACCCCTCGAAATCAAGATCCTCTCTTCTAAGAACCCCCTCACCACTCTCACCCAGAACCTCTACCACACGAGTGCGAACCCTATTTTTTGAGCGTCCTCGTCGTTCCTCGAATTCGAATTCTTCAGTCTGGTGTTGTCTCTCGTCAAAGATACCGATACAAGTTTTGGTAGCTGTGTCCCCTCTTTTAAAGTAAATGCGCTTCTGCTTCTCTTCTACCTCTCTCTTCTTGAAATGCGAATCCGAATCTGCCGCATCATCATCAATATTTGTGATTGCCATTTTTGTTATATGCAAGTGCGCATACGGATCGAATACAAAATAGGAAAGTCGTCTCGTGTACCAGTTGGTATAGTGCACTTGTATGTATTTCGTTCGTACACGTATATAGAATTGCTTTTCATGAGGAAAGGGATGAGGAATCCAATGAACTTACTGAACGATTTTGGAATTGGAAAGGTCTCACATACCACTTCCGTATTTGCTTTCCTGAGATACTTCAATTGTAACACTCAGAGAGAAAAACGAGTGAAGATGGGTAGTGTAAGTTGTAACAGAAATGGAAAGTGCAAAGGGGGTAATATAAGTTAATTTTAACACCAATTATATCTTACACATAAGGTTGTACTCAGCCTTCTCTACAAGGGTAATTTCCATAAACGATGAATACGCAAGTACATGTAATAACCGCTCGGAACATTTATGAGCAAAATGAGTTTCATCAATAGTGGGTTTAAATGTTTCTGTGTGCCAATGTCCCGTTCCAATATTCCAATTTTGAGTATGGAGAGTGTAGAAGGCTAGATCCGGGGTAAATAGAGGTGGGAATTGATGCATCTTTTTGATTGGGTATCTCGCAGACCTAGCTAGAGCCTAACCTACGTGAGCTAGCAGCAATCAACAAGGCTGACACTTTTACACTTTTACACTTCTAACTATAATTATATATTTATAATTTAGACATCTTATCTTCCAGATCTTTCACCCAACCTTCTACAACCTTCATATTTCCTCCAATGGCCGTTTCTCCTCGTTTAATTGCTTCCTCAACTTTCTCTAAGCCTTCTTGCCATTTCTTGATATCGTTTGTCATTTCGGCTTGTTTTTGCTCCACTCTGTCCAAGTTCTCACTGGCTGTAGCCGCATCTGCATGGATAGCTCGTAATGATCGCAGCCTGTCCAGTAAGGATGGTAGAAGAGGCGCGAGATTTTCAATGGTAGGCAAAGTCCCATAAAGCGCATTTATCTTCGAAATCTGTTCCGCATCTTCTCCGTCCTCTGGTGCAACTTCTCCTCCAGCTGATCTCAAAGATTCTTGCGCAGCCTTGGCCGACTTTCGAGATTCTTCGAGTTTTTCGGCTTCTTGTGTCAATGTTCGTACTCTTCGACTTATGCTGTCAAGAGATGATGGCGTAGACTCGGTAAGGATTGAGACTTGTCTTTCGAGAATATCGAGAGTTGGTAGAACGGCTATTGAGTTACTAGTAGAGTCCATCGTCGAGTTGAGTCCAAGAACCTTCTCAAGAAGTGCCAATCGTGCATCGAAATCTGCTGCTTTAGCCAAAGCATGACTTTGTTGGTATGTAGGTGCATACGTAACAGTATATGTAGAAGGTTCTCCCATTCCTTGTGAAGTTTGTGGTGGCCCATTTGCCTTGATACCCGTTCCTAAATCTTTCGCCAATCTTGCCCCGGCACTTGTAAATTGGTCGCCTTGATTTGCGGATATTCCATCCAATAATTTACTCAACGAAGCAATATCATCTCCATCGATGGACTCTCCGTCTTCTTCCGTATCCTTCTTCTCTAGATTTCTCTTTACATATTCTTCCTTAACTTCCTCGATTTCACGTCTTAATCTTGCAAGCTTTCTTTCCAAGCTTTCTCCATCCTCATCATCACTAAAATCGCCAAATTCCTCCGTTCCATCTTGTCTTTTCCTCTGTCTTCTCGAAGAAGCTTTGTATGACTTCCTTTTTGCTGCGACTCTGTCTGAAAAGTCTACGTCGCGTGCATCTATCTGTGCGGGAGAGAAATGCGAACGGGCTTCATCGGGGTGTAATCGCGAACGGGATATCCCTCCCAACTCCTCGTCATCCTCATCAAAATCGTCATACGAAGAAGACGTTGATTGGGAACGAGCTCTGCCAGTCTAAAAAATGTTAGAGTGAATCAGGGGAAGAGTTTAATTTGAAGTAACCTACAGGAGCTGTTGAATTGTCCTCTGTCAACTCAGGGGTTTCGTAAATATCTGGTGCTGAATCCTTGAATATTTTGGTCAGATATTGAAGCTCTTATAAGGACCTTTGCACAGGAAACATACCAAATCTGGCAATTCCGCATATTTTTTATTGAGGGCAGCCATCTTGGAAGTTTTGTCTGGAGATTTCTGGTGAAGTACTGAGGCAAGTTCCAAACATTTGGAGCAATCAACAAGGTTAATAGTACACGGAAAGCGGGACCACTTATCCATTGACCGGGCTGACAACTTGACTGAGCCTTGGACCTTTTTACTCCCGCATAAACAGGGGTATCAAGCTTGGGCCACTTCTATATTAGAGTAGACTCCCGTGATACCGCACCCTTATCGAGCGTATCATAGCATCATATTCAGCTGTAAAAATATACGGCATAAGGGTTTTCTATTATAGATAATTTCAAACATTTCCTACAATATACAATCAATTAAATTGATATTTTGAAGAACTAAAGGAAAATGGAAATACAACTTTTAATTTTACTTTCACCTGTTGGATCTGGATAGTGAATGTCTTTCCACTAAATCCACGTTGCCATCTCATCTCAAAGACCCTTACTTTACCATAAGATACCATACGCGACGCGATCTTCGAGATGCAGCCCACAAAATTGGATCTTAATGACAGTAGGAAAGCACAACCGCGGCGTGCTGGACTTACTAGGAATTATCATCATAGTCTTTTACAATCAATCAATCCACCAAAGAAGGAAGAACGCCTCGAAATGCCTACTAAGGCAGGGACGAAGAACCGTGCGAACAATGCTGGAATTTCTGGCGACGTCAACGACGGCAATTATTCAAAATTGCGGAAGCGAGAACATAAAGGGCCGAACAAAGAGAATGAACCAGGGCTACCGGCTTCTTCTACCATGAAGGATACAGATCCAATTGAGGTTGAGGATGAGGACATTTCTAGACTTCCAGATGATTCGGATGATGGTGCGAAGTATATCATCGACTCTTCCGATCAGGATTCCCCATCGAAAATCAGCGCAGATATGACAAAGACATCATTTGGATCAAAAAATCAAAAGTCAAGCCAAATTACCACCACATCCCCTATCCTCAATCGAAGATCCACAAGTACAAAGCCATCCGAGCCCAATTCCAGTAAGGGTGTCAAGAGGAAGAATGAAGAAAACGACTCGCATGATCAAGATGTGGATATATTCGGCAACATGCAGAGTAGCAGTAAAAAGCGTAGATCATATATACAAACGCACAAAGAGCACAAACCTCCCAAACGTATGTCAATTACACTGTTGAATTGCTTAAAAAACTAATGGTAAATAGCTGGTGCCAACAATTTTACGGGGGAAAGGGCCAGACCGAAGAAGGCTAGCAAGTATGGGAAGAAGGCATCGCCGGTTAAAGTTTTCAAAAATTATGGAAGTAGTTCTCCAAGTCTGGCCAGCGATGATGGGAAGCGAAAACTACAAGATTATACAACAGATACCCCGACGAAAATACAAAGTCCAGCCAAAGGTGGTCTCGTTGTGCCGGATTTCAGTGATGATGATTTCTCGGATCTAGATTTACCCAGCAAGTTAAAGCCGTCAAACGGTACACTTCCATCAAGGAAATCCAAACAACTTCATCTATACGACGATGATATATTGGATGGAACAAAAGAGCTGGCGAAAGAACTAAATCCGGACACCTTCGGCATCACTAATTTTGGAAGGGAAGATAGTTCAGACCTTGACGATCACACGGGACCTTGTTGTCCCATGTGTAACGAGCCTGTGGCTGCTGAAGATTTGGAAGCCTTTGGGGAGATGAATACTCGAAAGCAAGAGAAATTCTGTTTATCTCATCAACGAAAGAGCGCGCGGTCAAACTGGAAGGTTAAGGGGTACCCGGATATTGATTGGACAACTTTGGATTCTCGAATTGCCAACCATCATGCATTCATTAAGAAGTTAATTGGTGGTGCATCTTGTCATTCTCGAGACATATTGGATGAGAAGATTAGAACTGGGAAAGATCGAAATTTAATGAAGAGCACTACGAATCTCACACCTGGTTATTATGGTTCTCGAGGTTTACGTCTAATGTCGGAAAATATTATGCACAAGTTCACACCAAAATTAAAGGAGAGAGCACCTATCGACCGTCTTATCGCAGCAAGAGGTCCAACTGCATTTGTGGAATCGGTTATCGTACCTGAACTTACAGTTTTATTGATCAAGGAAGATATGAAAGTTGATGAGGAAGAAGCAAGGGAAATTCTCAAGGAAAGTTGCGAGATAGGAGATTTGGTCAACGAGGAGATCAAAGATGTTGTAAAGCTTAAGCCTAAGAAGAAGTATATTAACGACAGTGACGATGATGATGACGATGATTTTAACTTTTAGCTGAAACAATATCGCGCGGATTTTGGCTACTACTTGCTTGCAGAGATTATGGAATTGTATAACCAGTGGAGTTAACTATTTACTTTCCATGATGTGCTGATCATATCACTGTAGAAGGATGGGTTGTATTGGTACTGCAATGGGGGATTATATTTGGCTTGGATTTATTGATGGAATGAGGAAGACGAGGAGAGGAGCATACGGTAGCATCCAGCTTGTGCGTTATACAAGTACAGAGTACAATATACATATATACCTATCTAAATCATATTTCCAAAACTCATATGCCAAATGTGCCACCGACTAATAAACTACTCGAGTACTACAAACAACCAAAAGCATACGGAAATCTCTAGCCCATCAAAAGTACTACCGGTAGTACTTCCAGTGAAGTGCACCCGGTGGAAGGGTCAACTTCGGAATTCGGGTATCTGCATGGCTCTTCTAACCAGTCCACCAGTCAGCCAACTCCAAGCCCACCAGTGACGCAGACCCACAACCCACACCATAAAAAAAATTTCCTCCAACCCCTCACCCCTCATCTTCAAATAATCCATAGGACAAAACAAACATCCCTTGCGCAACAAACAGAACAAATAGTTCTCTCTTTTCAAATATAGCCTGCCCGGCTAGCTCAATCGGTAGAGCGTGTGACTCTTATGGTTGTAAAATCTGATAGTTCATCACAAGGTTGCGGGTTCGACCCCCGCGTTGGGCTCAATCCCCTTCAATGATTTTTTGTTTTTGTTTTTCTTTTTGTGGGGAAAGAGATTTCGGGGATTCTTTGGGATGGTTTTTTTCTTCTTGATTGATAAGGATTTTTTGAGTGTTTATTTATTATGATGTGGTTTTGAGAGATGAAGATGATGATGCTTGGAGGAGTGTGACTTTCATTTTTCGGGGAATGGGATGGTCTACTACTGCTACCATGAATGAGTAAGTAAGTATTTTATGAATATTCGTGGCTTGAAGAGGTTAGTTACTCTTATTAGCACATGAATGAGAGAGAGTAAAAGAATAGTGGAATGAATCATTATGTTTTTTTGGTCGCAGGCGCTGTGTGGGAAATGGATGTTGATGAATCTTATAAGAACTTTTCTAGCTTGTGAGTGATATATTTTCTATGTAGAGCTCGGCAAAGTTGCTACTCGTCGTCAACATGATATGAGACTTATAGACTCACTTGTGGGATGTAGGACTGACTGCTCATCATATATATTACGCTGCGGTTATTTTCGTCTACGGAGAGTTCTGTGATCGATGTTTACCTCATCTACTACATACATACATACATCTATATACATATTTATATATAACTGTATGTGTAAAATACAAATTTGGGAATATCGACAGTGGGATAAAAACCATTATTATTCTCCATGCTGTGGAGAGGAACAAATATATAACAACAATTGTTAATGACAACAAATAAATTCCTTCTTGATTTGTCTTTTCGATAAAAAGTGCACGGTTGGTTGTATCTAATATGAGGAGTATATAAAGAGAACGGGAGTGATCATGAGGTTAGGAACAGCTCGGTGAAGGAAAGCAATGATATGGTAGGATTGCCAAAACGAGGGTGATAATTATAGACTGACTACCTTCAAAGCGGAAAGAAGATATTGTATCCATGTTATAGTAATGTATTCGTATATAATCCCTTAATATCTCAACTTACTTCCTATTCATCGGCTCTGCAATCTATCCATCCATTCATTCACTCATTCCGGGCTTTCTCCTCACCTCCTCGTCTTATTTCCTCTTCACTTCTCGTACGCTTTGCTTTGCGCTTCGTTTTAGAAAAGTAGATAAACCCACCTCATACCTCATACCTCACAAAACCCATACATAACCAAACAACTAAAAGCCGATTTCACCATATAAAAAGTAAAACCTAGAACAAAACAACAAAAGAACACCACACAACCAACCCCAGCCCTTCATCCCAAATTCCCCTTTCCCATTCCCCTTCCCCTTCCCTCCCCTCTTCCTTTCCTCCTCCTCCTCATACCACAGCACAGCACCTTCAAACCCTCCCACTTCCAATCCAGTTCATAGACACCATAAAACACACCATAAAAACACACCATAAAAACACACCATAAAACACCTCACAAAAAATCCATCAAAATCCACCATTTATACCCGCGAAAATGATTACATCATATCATATCACCTCACTCTAAAGTACTACTATAAAACATTATTCCAGAGATAAATCCATCACAATTACCATCATCATCAAACCACCAAACCATCAAACCATCAACTCACCACCTACCTAGTAACTAATACCTACAGCATTATCAATCTTGAAAATTCGCTTCCTCAGATAAAACAGTATAATGTAATACCCCTCGTTCTGTCCCATTCATTTTGGGTAGGCAAGGTTACCTAGGTAACATGAAATGAAAACATCACCCTCTTCAAACTTCATGATATACCTCACATTCATTTCACCACCCCTCTCATTTCGCAAATCTCCATGGTCATATAACTATTTACTTCCATTCAAATCCTATCCAAATATCACTCACTCAAACAACAAAACCAAAAAATCTCACGCAATAACTCATCATCCATTCATTCAATTCACAATCGAATTCGAATTCGCCATCTTCTGTATAAATAGGTAAAGGTAGGTACTCAAGTCCCAAGTCCAATTAACCATATAATAATCCATCCATCCATTCATAACTTCCATGCCATTCAACCATTCCATATCAGGAACTTAAGACCATGACCACAAAAGAAGTAAGCAGAACGGTCGATATCCGATATCCACAATGCCATCAAAGCGTATTGATGTTACCCCAAGCTCGAAAGTATCACCCTACAACCCTTTTTTTTTTTCGTCCACCCATCGCCCAGTATGACAAAGTCCCAAAGTCAAACTCAACTTAATGAGTATTATTCTTCTTCTTCGCCGCTTCTGTTGCCTGCCTTTCGATTTGTGCTGCTGCTTCTTCTGCCTTGACTTCTCTAACCTTCGCCAATACCACTTCCCTGAAAATTGCCCCTTTGGCTACTTTACTCAAACTTCTCCTTTCTCCAGGGGATGTGGATCCAGAAGCTGAAGATGAACCAGTATTTTTCCTTTCTGGGCTACCAGGAATAGCATCGCTAGCTGCGGCGTGAGAATTTCCGGGAACATCTGATTCTTCGCTGTCATCTTCTTGCATTTTGAGCATTTCGATACGATTAGCGAGTTTGACCATTTCGATACCACGACGGAGACGTGCTTTGGCCATGTAAGCTTTGATTTCTGGAAGCAAGTTATGATCGGTGGCATTTTCTCCGCTTAACCATGGGTGCGCCAGCGCTTCCTGTAAAACATTTAGAACCCAAAATATCAGATAATTTTTTGTAAGAGTATACCTTGCTTGTCGATCTATCTTCTGGAACTGGTTGCAAGAGATGGCCAATGAAATCCTTTGCATCAGCACTGACATCTTTCCAATATCTTTCATGGAAAATAACTCGTGCATTACTGCACTCATCGATAAGATCTTGAAGGTTCTCACTTCTAAAGGGAGAATAACCACAGAGAAGTGTATAGGTGATGACACCCATAGACCACATATCTACCGGTTTTCCATGCCCCTTCTTTAACATAACTTCAGGAGCAGCGTAACCAAATGATCCAGCCATTGTTGTAAGGACTTCATCTTTTGTATCGAGCATCTTGGCAATACCGAAATCTGCGAGTACGAGGTCGGAATGAGGATCTTTTGTAAGGTAAAGTAAGTTCTCAGGTTTAAGATCTGGTGATTGTTAGTCAGAACTACAGTCCAGTCATGAGAATCCTACCTCTGTGAACAACATTGTTGTCGTGAAGGTAATCTACAGCCTCGAGGACTTGTAGAATAGTTTGCGAAGCATCTTTTTCCGTAAACCTTCCTTGTTCGCAAATTCGATCAAACAACTCCCCACCAATAGCCAATTGTGTAACAATATAATATTTGTCCTGCGATGGATTAGTCGGTTCCCCTTCACAAATACAGGTTCTCTCCTTACTCTCGACTCGAACCAATCCACAAACTTGACGATATGCTTATGTTTCATTCTCTGCAACATTTCAAGTTCATCATAAACCATTTGTTCATTTCCCTTGACATTTTTCTTGAGAATAATCTTCACGGCGACCTTTCCTGTAGGACCATCTGCCTCTCTGACGATTCCATAGGTTCCAGCACCGAGTGTTCGACCGAACTTATATTTGGCTCTACCATACCATTAGCAAAAATACTCTTGCAGATTCATACTCCTAAACTCACTTCTTATCATAACTTTCTGGCTGACCATGCAGCTTATTGAGCATACCAGCGACTGGAGGATGAGAACGATAATGGTGAGCGCGGGTCATTATAATAACAATAGAGGAACCAAAAAGGATATTGAGAGGATAAGAAAAGAGGAAATAGTGATCTAGAGATTTCTAGGTATGTAGAAAGTACTCATTTTCATCTGCCAATACAGATGTTCTTGATTATACCTCCTCCTTATCACCTCGCGGGGAAAGTAAATGGGCAAGTCAAACTCACAACTCATCGTGCCTGCTTTCTTTGAATAGCTACGACGACCTCAATTATCTGCTTCCTTCTTAAATATCTTCTTAAATAATTTAGATATGTGATTACTGTTTGCGCAAAGTTGAATATGAGAAATTTGGGGGGAGATTTGTAGAGCTTCTCCTTTCAAGCAAGAAGTTCAAATGTTGTAGCGGAGATGTCTTTCTTGGTGGGGCTGGTGGGCTGAACAGGCTGGCAAGAGATTCAAAAAGCGATCAAAGAAAGATGTTTTGGAAGTTCAAGGTAATGCAATAGAATATGTTAGATCATACGAATGATTGGTACTGAGAGAGGAATTAAAGTATTCAAACTATTTATAAGAAGGAGAAAGATGTCGTATGAAAAGGAATAGATCTGTCCCCCCTTCTTCTTCTTCTTTCATCAGCCGCAGCAAATACATACATACATACATCCATCCATCCAGTGCAATCAAGTTTACGCAGCACAAGAATAAGGGAACGGCGGGGCAGTGGCAGTGGTCAGCAACAGGGTTCAGTCCAGAGTGTGGCTCAGATGTTAATAATTGGTAGGTACTAGATAGTGGTAGACATTCCCCTTTTGTTGACGTCGGATATAAAGTAAATAGAGAAGAGATAAATAGAAATCAAAACAACAGCTCCGAGGAAATTTAAATAGCTTCATATCCATATCCATCATATTCATTACTGACCTGATTACTGACCTGTACAGTACACATACAGTCTGTCTGTCTGTCTGTCTGTCTCTGTCTGTACCAATAAAGCAGGTGCCCTCAAATACTGCTAATACAGCATCAAACCCCACCACAGGACCCCTAGTAACCACTATAAAAAGTCCCTACACGCCTACAAGGGATGTTCATCAACCGATAAGCTTTTCCCACTCCAACTAAAAACGTTACCAAGCGCCAGTCTAGCCTTGTTCATCCGCCCCTCCCAAGCCGGACAGCTACCTATCTACCCACCTACCCCTACGCCTTATCATATGCAGGTTCCCATTCTCAAGAGAACCCAATACATCATCACCACGAAACATACCGAAAGATCAACCATTGTCATTCATCGAATCCGTCCTAGAGTTTACTATCTCGGTACTCAACAATAAACAAGCAGTGGGAGATCTTTCTTCGAGGTCACCTCAAGGCTATCGAGGGGATATTCAGGGTACACGATATACGATATACAACAGATACTTGACTCGAGCGATGGCCATGGCTATTGCGAGTAAACGTTTAGCTAAAGAGCTTGCCAAGGTATGTATATGCATAGTCTATATCACAGCTTCTAGAACCACTCTTCTCACTCGCAGATTCGAAAGCTAACCTTGTCTTTCCTCCCATATAGATCAACCAAAGTCTTCCACCAGGAATAACCCTCGTATCCGCCGATGATTTTACAGAATGGCTTCTCGATATCCGCGTCTTGGATGCGAATCCTCTCTACCAAGATCAGACGTACCGGTTAAAGTTTAAATTCACACCCAATTATCCCATCGGTATGTCTTTTTTCTTCTTCTTTGCCACCTTCCCCTCAACTCTTTAAACCTCAACCCAACTAACACTCTTCCTCCCACAGAACCCCCCGAAGTAACCTTCCTCCCCCTCAGCACACCCGCTCGACCAATCCCCATGCACCCACACATCTACTCCAACGGGATAATCTGCCTCGATCTTCTCGGAACACAAGGCTGGTCACCCGTGCAAAACGTCGAGAGCATATGCATGTCTTTACAATCCATGTTAACCGGTAATACGAAGAATGAGCGTCCCGAGGGCGATCGCGAGTTTGTGAAGTATAATACGAAGCGCCCGAGGGATATTAATTTTTATTATCATGATGATGGGGTTTAGGTGGGGGTTTGAGGAGGAGGAGAGGATGATGTTGCAGATGAGGAGAATGATTGGGAGAGGGAGGAAGGTTTCTTGAGTGTGGAGGGGGAAAGGAGGAGTAAAGTTTTTCCCAAGAGCGATGGAAGAGGAATGAGTGAGTTTGCGGATGAAGTGAAGGACATGAGGAACGAGTGAATTTATGGATGAACTAGGGAACATGAAAAATGAAGAAATGCATGAAAGAATCAAGAGTGTATAAGCACAGAGTTTAGGAAGGGATCTTTTGATCTTCGGCATTACAGCAAGGCGTTTAAGTGGTGGGGATTTCTTTTGGCACAGAGAGAGATCATTTTATATTCTGCAAGACAAAAATGTTGAGGTCCATAAATAGAATATAGGGAGCGATTATTATATTATCAAGATTTGTCTGTTGTCATTATTCCCACATCCATCCATCATACCCATTGCATCATCATCTGAACCCTCTAGCTGTATTCATACAATAACCCCATCTCTAATACTATCTTACAACAACCCTACAAAATTTTTGCCCCCGTCCCCGCCGCCTGACCCATCAAGAATTTCTTCAACGGCGCCATCGCATCCACCGCCCTCAAACCTAACGTCCTCCCCCAAACTACCGGTCCACGCTCCACACTATACAACTTATGCAGCTTATCCACCACTCCCAGTAACACATGATTCTGCATATACCTCTCGGAATTATACCCCTCCAAACTCATGCGCACCCCAATATCCATGCCATGTTCCACGGCATAGCCGATACTCTTCACTAAACTCTCAACATCTCCTTGTCCTTGATTTAGTCCCTGGCCCGCTAGCGGATGAATAGTATGTGCGGCGTCTCCGACGAGCGCGATACGTTCCCCGATGTATGTATCCGCGTGACGCATTTTGAGGGGGAAGGAAGCGATGCTATTTTCCTGGACGCCGGTTACTGGGGCGGGGACGGAGCCGGAAATGGGTGTATGTTGGAGACGCCATGACACTTCTTCTGCTTGGCCTGAGGATTGGGTATGCATGTATTTTAAATCTACAGTGCTTAATCTGAACGCTGCATTAACCATAGCGATGAAATCTCTCGGACTCAGTGTTTTCAAAACAGCCGCATTCTCCGGTGTGGTGCTCCAAACTAATGTTGCGTAGTTTCCTGGGAGAGGTAACATGGCCACGGGTCCTGTAGGTAAGAATCTTTGATATGCGATCTTGCCTACTTCATGTCGTGCTTCCAATCCCAACGTCGCTACTACACCTACACGACCATAATCCCACCCTCGACTCTCTATTCCTGCGAATTTCCTCACGGGGGAATTTTGCCCATCTGCACCGACTAGTAATCTCGCGGCGAGACTTTTCTCCTGCCCTTCAACCTTCACAATTGGCCAGCCAGAAAAATCACCCTCTTCTGTTTCGTGTCCCAACTCAATATTCGCAACCTTCCCCTCCAAAACATCAACCCCTCCTAACCCCTCTATCCTCCGCAGTAACCCCCTCACCAAATTCGCATTCTCATTCATATAAGCCACTACCTTCCCCTCAGCAGTATTATCCTGCACCAACCCCTGCCCTTCCTCAACATCAAACTCGATCCTCCCCCCACTAACCCCATCCCAAACCTGCATGCCCCCATAACCCTGTACCCTCTGCCGCTCGACCAATTCCCAAGCCCCCATCTCCTGGAGAAACCTCACGCTCTTCGGCGTCAAACTACTACATCTATTTGAATATTCTCCCTCCTTAAGTTTCCAATTGAGCGATTTGGAAAGGGATTGTGGTTCGATTAGGGCTAGACGGAGATTGCGAGTAAGGGCGCTTGCGCCTGGATTTCAGTGAGTTTTCATTTATTTAATGAATAAATGGATATATATATATATTTAAGAATGAAATATTGACATAGAGAAAGGAGAAAAGCATACGCAAAGCAGCAGCTAGACTTAATCCAGCAGGGCCACCACCAACACATACCACATCATAAACATCTGGGCCTGCGTTTGTAGTTGAATTTGAAGTCGAAGGAGAGGTCGAAGGGGAAGTGTTGTTATAGTACGAAGAAGTTGTGGCAAAACCTCTTATACGTCTCGTACACGCTTGACATATATAAGGCTTAAGCCTTTTCAGTGATGAATTCGGTGGTCTCATTCTGAATGTGAAGGGTTGTAATATAATCGGGTTGGAGTGAGGGGAAGAGAAATGGGGCGATGTGAAAGTGGGAGCTACCCTTGTAACCTTACTACAGTACTTCAAAAGCTTGATCGAGAGTCACGTGTATGTATATACAATGAATGTATCATTATTATCGGAGGATTTCGAGATGAAATGCATTTTAGACGGAAATGTACCAAATGAAGTGACGTTGTAGGTTATTTAAGACTTCCTCCGTATAATGGAGATGGCTAACTCTTGTTGTTATGTCTTCTCACCAAGGTATGAACATTAGGCAATAACAAGTGGGAGTCACTCATATTACATTGCACATCATCAATGTCAGGATGGGTCCATGAATGTTATCTTTTTGATCTGCTCTACTTTACTGCAAAAGTATGTAAAGATTATGTACAGCTATGACTATGATAAGATGGCAGTGAGCCTGAATATTTTGATAATTTGCGCTGTCGCTGTCGCTGTTGATGTGCAATGGTAAAAAAGGGAGTTTGTGACAAGCCCCAGTGAACGCCAGGTAAGCAGCAGCAATCAATGCGAGAAGAAATAAATCTTTTGCACTTTGATTCTGGGAGATCCTATCCTTCTCATTCCCTAACGGTCTTCCACTTACCCCAAGCCAGCCTTTAGGTATGCAAGAAAAAGTTATACCATGCAATGCCGCGATTCGTAAATGCAATAATTGATAAATGTTCTATTGAAACACAAGCAATAAGAAGTTCGAAGTCCGAATTTATATTGGAAAAGCTGCTGAAAATTTGGGTGGAATCTCTGATTTAGAATTCCCAATCATCCTCGTCCTTGATAGAATCGATAGCCCAAGCGAACTTTTCACGGAGAGTCTTGGAGAAGAACTTTTCGATAGGTACGTCAAACTTCTGGGAGAAGACGACAGTGAGACGTGGATCGATATAATTCTGAAATATTAGCTGTAAATTTTACAATCATTTCATTAAAAAAAAAACTCACAATCTTACTAGTACCGAGCGCAACCTCCTTGTTACCCTCTCGGTCTTCACGCTTGAGAAGCATGTTGGCGATTCTTTCGTCAATCTTCGTGATGTTGGCCTCGAACTTGTCGACGCTGGGTCCTTTGCCTTCAGCCTCAACTTTCTTCGACTTATTTTCCTTTTTGAATTTCTTCTCCAGATCTGTGGCAGCTTGGAGTCGCTCGTTAAGCTCTTTTGTCTTCATTTCTTTTTGACCTTCGGATACGAGTTTCTCATTCTCCTTTGCGAATTTCTTTTCGATCTTGATCCGCTCCTGGGCAACGAGAAAGGCTTGATGCTCTTGAATCCAAGCTTCATCAAGCTCTTCATCTAAGGCGAACCAATCAGCACCCTTCTTCTTCTTCTGCTTTGGATCGACATCGAGAATCATTTGCTTGAGGCGCCACTTCTGATATTTGAGACCCTTGACTGCATCATCCATTTTCTCAATTGCAGCCTCATGACTAGCACCAACAGTACGCTTGTGGTTACAAAGAATGGCAACTTTGCGATTGCAATCGTTGTACAGCTTGATTTTTTCTTGCATGGAAATGTCACTGTTCTTGAGCTTCTTTAGGAGATCCGACATAGTCCAAGAGGCGTTGTAAGTACGGAATACCTTGGCACTTAAACCTGGCATATAATTCGTCAAGTGCTTGTTCAATTGTGTGGTCTGCAATTGTCAGTAATTTTCCAAATGAAGCACAGTACTTGTACTTACATTAAGTCGATCAAAAATGTCATCACCATTCTTCTTTGGGGCCTTTTTGAAGATCTTCAGGTTCTTGAAAACTTGAGGATCAACTGTTACCTCATCGTAGAATCGGATACTGTCCTTTCCCAGGAAGTCAAAAATGACGGTATTAGGGGGTTTCAAAGTGACGTGCTCATATTTCAAAGAACAACATCCAACTGTTTCCGCTTCATTCTCCGCATCCTTTTCATTACCAGCACGCAAGGCAAACTTATCAATGAGGTAAACTGCGGTGGCTCTTTGCCGATCAGCCATAAGTTCAGCATGAAGATCTTGAGTATAATCCTTTCGGATTCGATCAATGTGCTCTTTCAACTCACGAGCTTTTTCAAACTTTTTGTAATCGCTCTGGCCCTTGATGCTACTCTTAGCTGCAAGCATGACATACTTGTAAGCACCATTGATGTTTTCTTGCCACATAGCAAGCCAAGTAGCCTTGTTGTCATGTTGAATGGCTTTCCATTTGTGGCCTTCAGGAGGAGAAGGCACTGTAGCTTCTTTGCCGATGTTGATCGTGATTTGCTCTGGGGTGACTCGGAGCTTGACCTTACCGGTTTTTGGATGCTCACCACGACCACGGAATAGTCCAGGAGGTTCAACACGAAAATTGCCCACATCCTCCTTGCGTCCATCCCAGATGCAAGTTTTATATGGAGCTTCGGCCTCATCCTTAGCCGCTTTCTCGGCCTTCTTCTCAGCGGCAGACCGAGCTTTCCTCTCGGTACTCTTGCCATCATAATACTCAAAAATTGGCTTGAAGTCGAGCTTACTAAACTCCTTGATGGCGACCTTGTTTCCGTCCTTATCCTTGGCACCTCCGGTTTTCTTGACCGAATCGGTGAAATCCTTGAAGAAGTTCTTCTGAAAAGTGGGATTCTCGACATTATGGGTTGAATTCAACATAGCGCCGAAAAAGCCTGCGATTTCTTCTGACTCGAGAGACAAAGTAAGCGGAATCCCATCATATCTCAATTTAACGTTCTTCGGAAGTGGCTCGTATTCTGAAGGGAAAACAACGCCATTGTGTTCCAATGTCTCCCACTTGATGCTGTCATCTTCCTTTTTGGGTGCATCCCACCAACGGTAAACCTCATCTGCTTCTTCGCTCTCATCCTTCTTGGCTTTGGCTTTCTTTGTGTCTGGCTCAGGTTTGACTTTGCCATTTGTCTTTTTTGGAGCTGTCCTCTTAGCAAGAGGTGCATCTGAATCAGATTCCTCTTTCTTTACACCATTAGTCTTCTTCGCCGACGATTTCACAGGAGCCACACCATTGGGCTTTCGCCTTTTAGGTGCGACATCCTCACCGCTATCGGAATCCTCTTTCTTGACGACCTTCTTTGGAGCTGCCTTCTTCGCTCGTATGGCTTTAGCTTCCTTATCAGCATGTCTTTCGATGGAAGCCTTTTCCTTGGAAAGTTTAACGGTGAGCGGCTCATCGTCTGAAGATGATTCTCCGATCGCAGTCGCAGAAGCTTTGGGGGGCAACCTCGAATTGCGCCTGCCAGCCAAAGGCATGTCATCATCTGAATCGGAATCCACGGCTTTCTTCTTGGATGTTCTTTGTCGTTTCGCCTAATGCATCATCAGTATACCGCCTAGTGGTAAGATCGTGCATCATGAAAGACATCATATGCTTGAATGCTGAAACTAAAAATCGACATACCAATGGCACCTCCTCACTTTCGCTGCCGCTTCCATCCACCTTATAATTTATGGGCTTCCCATTAGCAATGCTTGATCGTGACTTTCGCTTGGAAGCGCCATTTGTTGCAGGTCCATCCACATCCATAGGATCGTCCAAAACAGGTCCATTGCGAATAGAAATTCCTACGGAGGCAATCTTCGCATTTGCGACAGCCTTGTCCATGGCCTTATCGACAGTTTTCGATATACGAGCTTGCGAAACTGTGAATAGAAATTAGAACATGTTAAGCTGAGATAAAATCAATCCGACAAAGTTGTAAAGCTGAGGGGTTGGGAGGTCGGGAAGGTCGAGTAGAAAACGGCCGTTTAGGCTGTAACGGAAGGGGAGAAAAGTGTTTGTTACTCACCATTGCCATTGGTTCCATTTGTTCTTGCCAAAGGCATATCATCATCAGAAGAAGACATTTTGAAAGGAAAAGCGTATTGTCGAAATAGATGTAAATTTGAGGAGGTTGTTGATTGAGAGTAACAAGAGCTGAATGTTGTCAATAATTCTGCTCTTTCTTAGGCTTTATTGGCGATTCAAAACCGCGATCGAAAGTAAATTTAAATCAGAATCCAACCAAAGAAATATACCTCTGAGCGCGTGTTAATGTATGATGGGCTATGTGTCTTGTTGTGCCAAAGGGAAAGTCTATTATCCTAAAGACAGATTGGAGAATGAGGCGCGCTTTGCGAACATGCAAGAAAATGTAAAAAAGGTAGGCGTCTTCGGTGGTCAATCGGATTATATTGACGGACTGGACTGCTTCAAAACGAGGTCAGCTTTTTACTAGTATGCCGAGCTGCTCAGGCGAATTCTTATTGGTCGCCACAATTCCCCAGTTATAAAACCGAGAAAGCAAGGGTAGGACTGGTAGCAGAGCAGCTTTCCATGGAATATTTTATAATTAATTAGTGAATATATATACATGTCAATGAGTAGCAGCAATCATGATTTTTATTTCTTGGGGAGTTTAATTTGAGTAGGACTCAGTAGACATTGCTGGTTCTATTATGACTATTAAAGGAAACATTATCTTGGTAAAATAAGAAAAAGAAAACTTATCTAATTGAGGGTTACACTAGAACGATAATAAAGATCTGCTTTGAATAGGTATTACTAAAGGATGTTTGAATAAAGCTTATTTTATTTATCTAGTTATCTGTATATATATATATACTTTTACTTGCTCTACGAACTATCGCCAACCAATACTCTATTGCCTTCCCGTACCATATCCTCTCCCAGCTTTAGTAATCTTACCGTACACTGCTTATGGCTGGCTGGCTCTTCATAACTCAATAACCGGTCCGCTACGGTCGTGGTAAGCTGGAGTCGAGTACCCTACAAGTTTTACTTTGAGCTTTCCTTCTTGTTGACATCATACTAGGTATTTCAAGGCTAAGGTTTCCTGCAAAGAGCTGTTTTTGATATTCAGTGTCCGCATTGGGAACTTTGAAAACCTACTGGGTACATGTCAGACAAGGTCGAGGAAACCACTGTCCAGAGTGTAAATATTGAACTACCCTGCGGAGATCTGATCTTGGATAGTTAATAACTTTGCGATTCTGATGGACTTTGACAAACCGCATGTGCAAAAGGTCTCATACACTGCCTAAAATGTTGACATATAAACTGTTTAGCTTTCAAGAATTGTTGACTTAGAAGGAACAGATACCAGATACCAGATCTGCTCTCCTCTGTAAATGTCTTTAATATCTGAAGAACCGATACAGCTCCAACACCACGAGTATGAAATCTGTAAGGACACATAGAGTCTCCAGCTAGCAAGTATCTCAGACAACGTAGGTCAATGCTTGGAACGTGACATCTTCATTTCTGAAAAGTGATCGCGGTCCTTCCTCCACAATATGGACCCGAGTACCGAGCAAAACAAATCCTTCGTTCCTACCACTGGCAATTTAAGCAGAATATCTCAATGTCAGATACTGGATGAGCAATCTGAATCGTTCATTCTAAAACCAGTTCGAGAGTGCCAATCAGATTGCTTGCATGATGAGGCTGATTCCACAGGTTGAACACCCACCACTGAGTACAAGCAAACAAATGATTGTGGCAAACTTTGTGACTCCCATATACTCGGAGTGGTAAGGGGTTAACAAAACGACGGTGTCTGAAAAGGACAAAAACAACAAGCTGTATTCCTTATATTCCTGTCATGGTGCCACACCACTCCCGTGCCGTCCTAACCGCAAACCATAAAATGATAATCAGCCTTGAGAAAGAAACTGAAAACGACAAAGACAAAATGGTTGTGTCAGGACTGTGACCAGGATATCGTACTCGTTCAATCAACAAAAGATAATAGTCTGTGGTTAAGACCAATCCCGCGGGCTAGCAAAGGAATCAGCTAGACTTCCGCCGAGTTCAACCTCCTTGAAGTTTCCTGTACGCAATGATCGGTTTCCAACAACCTCATGTACACTGTAGATATATGAAAATCGATAAAAATGAAGTTCCTATCCGAGTCTGCCCGACAGTCACGTTTCACACGTGCACGTGAGTCACTAGCTTCATGGAAGCTTTTCCCGTTGAACGACGAAATCCAGCCGAAATACCGATTTCGAACTGCAACAATCAATTGATTCCTAACCTATTCGTGGTCGATTGAGCCTCGATATAGATTTAATTGATACCGTTCTTTTAGCTTTTCAAGATGCTTTCGAGAACTGCCAGACCCGCGCTGCGAGCAGCCGTCGCGGCTTCCGCCAGGTAAGACTTCTTCCGGATGGAGTGATGGAAATGGGACAACTATGGCGGGGTCTAAGGACATAGAAAAAATGATGCAAGACATGGAGGCTGATGATATTGGATCTGCAGACCGGTCGCCCCTCAAGCTGCGACCTATGCCACCCTCCGTGAAATCGAGGACAGATTAAAATCCATTCGCAATATCGAGAAAATTACAAACACCATGAAGATTGTTGCATCCACCAAGCTTACCCGGGCACAAAAGGCCATGCGAGAGTCCCGATCTTACGGACAAAGCTCCAACAGCGTTTTCGAGCATGCCGAGACCAAGGCCTTGGAGGGTGACAAGAAGACATTAATTGTGGTTGCCAGTTCAGACAAGGGTCTCTGCGGTGGTATTCATTCCGGTTTATCCAAGCGTGTCCGCAAGATGTTGGCAGAGAACTCGAATGCCGATATCGTTGTTTTGGGCGAGAAGTGCAAGGCCCAGCTCAGTCGTTCCAACGGAAAGAATCTTGTTATGAACTTTGCTGGTATTGGAAAGGATGTTCCCACATTCGCAGATGCTCAGGCTATTGCGGACCAGATCGTTCTCTTGCCAACCGATTACGCTTCCGTCCAAATTGTCTACAACAAGTTCATCAACGCTACAAGTTACGAGGCTACCCCAATCGAGGCTTTCTCTGAGGAGGCCATTGCCAACTCCCGTAAGTCTTATTTATATCCTGGTTGATGTGTGGAATAGCACTGATCTAATGATATAGCCAACTTCTCTGCATTCGAGATTGAAGATGAGACCCTTGGTAACCTCCGTGAATACGCTCTCGCCAACTCCATTTTCTGGGCCCTTGCTGAGGGTCATGCCTGTGAACAATCTGCCCGTCGTAACGCTATGGATGTAAGTTTCCCTAACATTTGAATTCTGGCAAACAAATTACTAAACTATATCAGAACGCTTCCAAGAACGCCGGTGAAATGATCACCAAGTACCAAATTCTCTTCAACAGAACCCGTCAAGCCGTGATTACCGGTGAATTGGTTGAAATTATTACTGGTGCTGCTGCTTCAGAGGAATAGAGGGTTTGTGAATATGTAGACTAGTCGATCGACTCAAGGTTTCTTTGGTAGCCGAGTCAAATGAGATTCCCTTTTGTGCCAATGCATCAATACCAGTGCATTAAAAGTTGAAAAGTGGATTTTTAGTATTTCAATTCTGCTAATTTAGATCCGCAGGTGCGGTCATGAGATTCAGATGTCCCAACTGCTTTACTATTCTTGTGACTTAGACTTTATATCATCATTGGCTGCGTCTTCATCTGCCGCAAAGACTTTATAAATAAGATCCTCCTTCAAGCGGAAGAGCTCAACTATTCTCGTTTATGACTTGCTTGTAGTGTACTCTCGCTTCTCCTTTTCCCCACTGCACAGCTCGGAACAGCATATAAACCTCTCCTCCCCCTCCCGTTTTCTAAATACTAAAAAGCAACACCGTCTTTACATTGCTCTCTATGGAGCAACCTGAAAACTCCAATTTCATTTATGTTTTCTTCGCCAAGATGGGGAGAAGGCTTGCCTTAAAGAAAGGATAAATCACAGGTTTGTTTATGTTATAGTCGGTGCTAAGAGGTGTATTGATAACAAGAATATACATGTGAAATCCTTCTGTACTTGACAGTGGTAAGGGACGACAGCTAGTGCCCTATTATTTCCATCATCATCGCCGCTTATACAGAACCATACACAGAATTTTCCCACTGTATCCGTATCATCGACCACCTCCCAACTCTCATGTTTTCTATATGCGTCTCCCGAGAGAGCCCCTATGGGGGTCTATACAGTCCATGATAGTATCTTTTCTTCTCTTTACATCACTCGTGGTTTTAGGATTAGCATTGCAATATTTTGAATAATATTATTCTATGTAATAGAGATATAAAACTTCTCGGCTGAGTTTATCAAAGAAGTGAAGGGACGCCGAATCTCAATTTGTGCATGTTCACAGGACGGAACCAAAGGTCCATGTTTCCTGAAGTCTCCTTTTTCGTCTCAACGCAGGAAGGGAATATAAATTACCCTTCTGACCTCTCAAGTGTCTGAATCATACTCTAGACAATTCCAAACGCTAGCGTATTTATGCAGTGGGTTTGTTTTTAGTTGGCAGAAAACTCCCACGCATGCATATGTGAACAGTACTTTACTCGAGTAGATCCTAGGAAATTTGTTGTGGAAAAGTAGTCGTAAAATTTAAAAGGGCGGTATACTCCGGTCATACTTTGTTAACAGCAATTTGCTCTATTAGGACGTAAAAATGGCAATGAAGATAAGATGACGGGTAAAGAAAAGAAATGATGGTGAATATTTATTAGACACTAATGATACTGGCCTTTTTGCACATCCTCCAGTATCACACTATCTTTCCCGAACTGAAAGGGGCAATGTGGCTATTGAGTGGTCAATTTGTCGGATCAGCTAGTCTATATAGTCTTTCCATTTTCCTTAGTGATTTTTGGAGATACTGATACAGATTTGGAAAGTATCTATGTTTTATAGTTGACTTTGTAGAACTTTGCATTTGGGTCTTTTACTATAAGTATCAATCCATTTCTCACATTCGACAGCATTAATCTAGTATTTATTTCTCGAAACTGTAGACGATATGGGGGCACAGTCAGAATACCGGACTATGTTGATAGTGGAGCCTGGAAGTGATTAGCATAGCATTACACTCTTGAAGTCTATTCACCAAGGGTACATGGAAGAACATGGAGGCATAGCCTCCTTTATAGGTGCTTTAATTCACTCTTCTTTCCTTCACCATTTACTATCCTATACATTGATCTCTACTCCCTTATACCCAACTTCACTCTTTTCATACCTAAGATACTTTAGTGCTCGTCTTACGTCTTCCTGCAACATCTCAAGGTAGCAGAATAAGAACGTGCACAATTTTCTATCACACTTTCCTCGTTACTTCCCAAACATCCACAGAATCAGTTGAGCTACCATGAAATTCAATAAAGGTCGAAATGGCCCACCTTTGTTTTCTAAAGACATGCTCTCTTATGGATCAATCATATCCGTAAAGGGGGCTTGTTGGAATATTCATGTGCGGTCACACATGTGAATTTCAATGACGACAGCGATAGTTCTAGGTAAGATCGGGAGTTAAAGGCCGGTATGCGTTGTTCAGAATACATATCTCGATACTAGTCTATTTTTGAGAGTAGTTTTACAATGTTGATGCAGTATTGGTAGTGAACAGGGAAGAAAATCATATAAAATTACAGCAACGAGCCAAGTCCTTCTCCGGAATATAGAAGTATGGAACTATTAACTAGTAACTACAAGAAGAATATCTCCGCTCTGCATTTCCAAAACCCGAGTTCAAAATGTCCTGGATTATACATATGCTGCGTTTTAAAAATTCTATAGACAGAAATGAAGGGAGGAAAAGGATTTTATAGATGGAGGTTTCGTTTTTGGAGCGAGGTGATAAAGTTCTACTTTACGTAGGCATAGGCTAACATTTTTGGATGCATTTTGGGCTTCCAAGTTGCCTGGTATGATACGAGTTTTTGGAGGAGGTATATATAAAAGGATACTTGAACATTCTTTCAATCCGTGTAAATAGTGGTGAACGAGATGGACGCCCTGAAAAGGTACAGCTGCCAAAAATATATCGCTTGGCTTGATTTCCTCCGGAAAGGAGCGGTATGCAGTTGATGTTTTTGTGTGTTACGGGATAGAGATTGTAGTGAGAGTGAAGGGAATGAAGTGATGATTAGGGTCAAGACACAGTGTAAAAAGGGATCGGTAGCATGAAATATGAAATGACGATAATAGGATGCCGCGATTACAGTATCAGTTGGGAGTACTGTTCAGTTCTTAACCTCAAAATTGTCTTTCTAGACGCCAAGCTTATGTATTTCGAAATCATGAGTTAAGATATTGATTTCAGATGCATCAGCGTGAATGTAGGTAAGAAAAAACCCAGGCCCGACCTTTTATGGTTAAGGTTCTCTCTAGTTAGCATGCATCTACAAACCGCGAACTACAGGTCTTACATCCCCCCCCAACTTGTGTCCTCCGTATATATCACATCTCATTGCACAGGGTACGACCAAAACCCCTATAAAATCCATTTCTTACCCCTCTATCCAATCTCCAAATTTTCCAACATTTGACGCGAAGTTCAAGCTTAGGTATATGGGCAGATGGGGGATGAAAGAATATCTAATCCACAAAGTTCCAACATAATCGACTATTATATTACACCACAACAAAGTAGTGGGTGGAACGAAGTTGCTGTTCCAAGTAATAAACCTCTAAATCTGTCAATGATACCAAGCACGACTTCCATAACAAGCAGCATAGACTTGGTACTGGTAATCAAAATACGTCGATATTGAAAAGTGTACTCATCATGGCGATCACAGCTCTGCTAATCGACAACATCTTATATACAAAGGCAGCAAAACTGCCTCCGACCACTTTTGGAGCTTAAATTAGCTTTCGTGTCTCCCCTGATGTGTTCTTCGGCCAAAAATTTGCCAACTTTTGCGCTATAAAGAGAACAGATAGATAACTAAGATCTTACAATTTATCTAAACCACAATAGAAGGAGTCAAGAAATATTGGCGGACATAGCTAAGAAATAACAATGACCAGCATGCAAACCCTTATCACTTGATCTCTGAAATATCCTCTCATGTCGCTCAACCTCACCACATGTTCCCATTCCATCCCATTCCATCCCATTCCATTCCATCTTCCACTCTCTCTCTAAAATGAGTCCCGCATCCCAATCTCGCACACCGCACCTCAACCTACACTATAAATAAAGAACCCCGTCCCTCTCAGCATAAAATCCACATCTCCACCATCCAACTTCTCGACTCTGAAGGATGGCAGATAGGATCTTTTTGAAGGGAGTCAGTCAAAACATATCTATTCGGTGAAGCACGTCCCAATTCTCCTCCCCCCTCCCCCTAAATATTTTTCCTCTAACCACACTTTTTCATTGCCAGACGAAGCAAGTGGAATAAGATCTTACCTCAACCTAACAACATTGGAAAATTAATATAAATTCGACAGCGATCGTATCTCTAAACTAACAGAAGATTACAAGCAAGAGTAGGTGAGATATATATTCATAACACCAACAATGAAAAGAAAGCTATCTTTAGAATCAATAACCTCCTTCGCATTTTTGCTAACAAAATCACAACTTTCTTACCCAGTAAAATTATCAGAGACCTCGCAGAACCCCCAGCCAACATTCCTCTATCTTCCAAGTTTAGTTACAAGCAAAGGAACAAAAAGGGCTTGGAAATTTTATTGAAGAAATGGCGTACCTGAGAGGAGACCTTTCACCAGCTGACCCGTCATTGATGACCTCAAAGAATCGGCCAGGATGGAAATCATAGACCAATGCTTCTTCACCATAAAGGTTTTCATATCTTATTTCTATAATACAACTGTGTGGATAAAAATTCCCATCACGCCACATCATACCAAAGTCATTCCGTCCCAATCGCCACTTTCTCCACTCCCTCTCACTCCTCAATCTCTCCTTTTCTTTCTCCTCCTGCTGCTCTTCCCTCCAATCACTCTCATCTCCTATCCTCTTCAATATCCTAATCCTCCCTTCCATTTTCGGGCCTACCCACCATCCACCAGTCACCAATCTTCCAGCATCCCTGAGCAAATTATACGTTCCAAATTTGTTCATCTCTTCGAACATTAATTGCGTTTTCAAATCAAGAAATCCATTACCCTCCTTATTTCCTTCCACAGTTTCCACACCTTGCTCTTCTACCCTCCTGACCTCCTCCGAACTAGGTGCCTCACCTTCCTCACCAACACTGACATTATTTGCCCTATAAACACCCTCCAATCTTTCCGAAAAACTACTTCCATCTCCAGGCCTCAACACCTCAATACCGGCATACGCAAATACCGTATCTAAAACCTCCCACTTGCTTCTTCCATCAATGCAGCCGCTTCCCCAATTCAGGGAGTCTTCGGTTTTGTCGTAGTCCAGCGTGACATTCTGATTGTGGGGAAAACGTACTGTTGAAAACGAGTTATGCCTGTCATGCAAGAGAGAACGTCCATATGAATTGAGATATTTAGATCTTGCGTGCGTTGCGTACGCGGAGATCTGGAAAGATCTTTAAGGATATGAGTATGAAGCTGGGAAAGGGCATCTCCGCCTGGATAGTTGAGGGAGGAAATCATCAGCATAGCTGATGATGCCACGAAACTCAAAGCAACGGATCCAACTAAAGCCAAAGACCCGAAGGTATAAAGCCAACTCTTCGAACGTCGTGTCCAAATATACGAAGCCGAGAGAGAGGCCGCGGCAGTAAAAGGTGGCACAACATAGATGATGAATCTTGACTCTTTGTGAGGTTGTAGACTATATATTGCAACAAATAGAAGCGAGGGAATAATCAGATCTTTCGAGGTATGTTTCGTTGCCGGAATAGTCAAAGCTAGAGGATGTAATAACAGAAGAATCAAAGGATTCATCAATAAACGAGGCAATAGCGAGATAAAGTAATGGAAGATAGGAGAAGTACCCCACTCAGAAGACTTCCCCTGAATAGCATTATAATAAAATCCGGCCAATTCTGGCCACAATGGCTCTTGCCAAAAATATGAATCAATAGGTACTGAAATAGCGAGAGCTAAGATAGCACTCTGTATACCAGCTGGAATGACCATCCTCAAGGAAATCCTCGATAATAGAAGCAAATATACCAATTGCGTAAAGAGCAAAATAGCAATTTCAGATCTAAATACCACACCTGCAAGTACAAAGAGGAATATCCCAACTTTGGGTCTACTTCCTCCTCTCGCTGGAAGAAATTCGGTAAATGCTAAAGTTGCTGCATCAAATCAGTATTTTCAACCCTTCATCAAACGTGGGAACACGGGACTCACTAAGACCAAATGCAAACATATTTGGCAATGTTCTGGAAGCATAATAAACCACATGAAACTGCGTAACTTGCAAAACCATATACCATCTCCCAACATCCACCCCAAAAGCCCCCGTCAACCCATTTCTATATCTAAGCAGACATGCCGCATTAAATAACCCCAAGATACCTCTCACAATCACCTGAGCATATCTACCCCGCGTAAGTAGTAAAATAGGTTTAGAAACTGTAGCTAGAGAAAGTGCTCCGAAGAAAGTCCTCGGTACTGCGCCGGGAAAGGTGGTATGGTCATAGGTGTTTAAGGTGAAAGAGAGATTTGACGTAGGAAGACCGTAGGTTAGGATATCGTGGGTGGCTTGAATGTTGAAGGATTCCTCGACTTTGGTATAGGGTGCTAGGAGGAGGTGGATGAGGATTAGGGTGGGGAGGGTGAAGGTTAGGAAGATATCTGATGGAATTTAGCATATTACATTGACGTATAGAGGTGAGAGCTTGAAATTACCTATTCCCTTCATTTTTAAGATCTTGCAGAGGAATGTGCAAATAATGAACGAGGCTATGTCTCGAGAGCTGTAAAGCTCCAGACGAGGAAGCTTCACTCTCTACTTCCTTCCACGAGATAAATTAAAGAAACTGGCCAATGGAAGTAAACATTTACAAAAACAAAAACAAAAACGTCATAGCAAGATATTCCAAAGACTTGTAATATTCACAAATTCAGAGGAAGAAAACAACATATAAATAAGTAAATAAAAAATCCCGAAATATCATAAAACCACAACTCAAGGAACACGCAGCCTCAGCCTCGTATGGTCCGTGCACGAATCCGACATCTGTGGACAACTTCACCTCTTCATTTATCCACAGCCTTGTCTATATTGCAACCTCCTCCTCAGTTAATATCAGTTCAAATCACACAACTACCACCCAAAACAACTCACAGGATCTCTCAAGATGTTCTTCATATTTGGAAATTTGATTTATAGTATGTCTCCTCACACACTTTTGCTTCCACATCTTGCACTTCTCCATGCGCCATATCTACATACCCTTTGCCTGCATGATATATTCCGAGCATGGCGCGTTAATTATAAATTTATATACTGATTCTTCCAGTCATTGTCCTTCTCACCAACGCCGTCGCAATCTTATCCGAAGATCGTTTCCTCGCGCGCAGTTTGTTTCCCCATTTACTCCCCCCTCTCTCGCCTTCCCCCTCCTCACTTTTCCTCCATCTCACTCCTCTCATCCATTCAAAGCTCCGGAACCCGAAGCGTATCAAGCCCTCGCTCACAGAATTCTAACTAACAGACAAATAGTCGGCTGGTCCAACTCAGTCGCTGAACCTGCTTTTGGCGGAAACAATGCAGACACAAGTATTAAATCGAAACTCGTAAATTTGATGACAAGTGTTAGGACACTTATGAGAAGTGAGTTTATTTCATTTCTCTGTTATTTGTATTTTTTCGGGGGATTTTTAGGGATTTCGGGAAGTTGGAGCAGAGTAGGGCGAAGCAGGTGGGATGTTGAAGCGAAGGGAAGGAGACGTAAAACGATCAGGCTGCGGGGAGTATCCAAAGTGGAGAGAGCTCCGAGATAGAATCCAAAAGTGCAGTTTGAGAAGAGACTATTATCGGAGAAGCAATCAATACAAGCTAACACAACACCACAGTCCCCCTAATAGGCATCAACTCGGTAATAATCATCTACGAAATTGCACTCGGATGATTCCAATTTCAATTCCAATTCCAATTTCGATTTCGATATCGCAAACCAGAACTGCATTCTACGCAAGATGGCATGCATGCATATCCAAAAACCATCTCCAGAATCAAGGCCAAAAACCAAGAATATGTACAATTTGAAGCCAGGAAAATTCAAGCATACAGAACCATCAGGCATAGGGAGGAAAATGTAACAAGAAACGAAATTTCCTGACGGGCTTCAGATGCGAATAATGCGCTTCATTTTCATAGGAAAAGAATTCTCAGGAGCGCATATACTACAGAATAGAAGAAGGGCTGGCGTTTATGTAATAATGTATCTACCATCCACCTACCTAGGCAGTTAGAAGCTATGCGAAGGAGTTAAGGATCAGAGGGAAAAAAACAAATAAAAACATAGAAGATCAACCAAGATATATCTCACAATACCAATCAAGCAAGCACCCTCTTAATTCCCAATATAATTATCACCTACCTGTGAATTTTATTCTCAATCTAAAACCTTCCTTACCTACCTACCCACTTGACTATAATCTACACCATATCCTATAAACGTCTCTCACCCATACCCAAATCATCACTCCAACTTCCCATCATCCCTTCCCTTCCTATCCCATTGCATATATACACACACCCACGCTCCTCCTCAAAATACAGCAATAGACACATATATCAAAGGGTAAGACATATACAAACAAGTAGGCCATTTTATATTAGTGTCCGATGTAATATGTAATATAATGTGATATAATGATATAATATAATATAAGAAGTATATGAGTTTTTCAGAAAATATACAAGTCAATCAATCAATCAATCAATCAATCAAGTAAAAAGAATCAAACTTTCTTTTCCGCGTCCGTCCGTCCGCCCGCCCATCCATCCCCATTTCACCTAATAAGAACAACCTAACCCCTTTCATGCCCATGCTTGCCTTCGTTTCCATAACATATGCATACATGCATGTATATGAGCATGCAAGCAAGCAAGCAAGCATATAAAGGATAAATAAAACAAACTCGATATCAACCATGCATCCCAATATATTCACATGTTCACACACACTAATAGCCATACTATACCATACCCCAGCCTTAATGGCATTCGCACCACATCCAACATGTCTCAACATTTCTCGATCAACATCAAGAAAAGCATGACATCCTCGATCCCGATCCTGATCCCTTACTCCTCTTGCCCTTCTCATTCTTCCCATGCTCTCCTACAAAAATGTCAGATAGATACATCCTATTATCCACCACCCGGACTCCACAAACTACTCTTCTTTCGACCCAAGCCTCCAAACGAAAATCTTTCCTTCTTAACCCTCTCATGTTTCTCCGGTGTTTGCGGTCCCGATGTTCCTTCAACTGCCGCATTCAGATTCGTACTACTGCCTGATCCGGGTATATTGCTATTCTCTCCACTCTTCTCTCCATTCTTCTCTTTCTCCTTTTCCTTTTCCTTCTCCCCGTTCTTCCCACTTAAAAATCCTAAGCTCTTTCTACTCATACTCTTACTGCCTTTGTGACCCCTGCTCAGACTTAAACCACCAAAGCCCTTACTATCACTCTTCTCATTCCCATTATTTTCCTTTTGACCAGTAGTAGCTATCGATTGTCGTCTTTTCATTTCCCCCGTTCCCGTTTGTTTACTGAAAGCATTGGTCTTTTTCAATTCCGCTACATGTGCTTTTCTCTCTTTCGCAGCAATCTTCTCATTGGCCTTCTCAAATGCCTTTTGATTCTTTTTCGCTTCTTTGTCAAATTTCTTTCCCCGTTCTTTTTCTTCCTTAGTTTTGGGTTTAAATGCCTCGAGAGGTGAAGTAGGGGTTCGACTAGGTACTGGATTGCCTGCAACAGAGGAAATTAAGGTAGGTGCGGTTACTGCGTGGTCGAGAGATCTAAATCCATTGGTGTCGGTCTCAATCGGTGTGCTAGGCATTGCTAAAACCTGTTTTGAGTTTGAAGAGAGATATGTGCCATTTTGCTGTAGATGTCCCGATGAAATATCTGCTACTTCTGAAGCGGCAGCTACTAGATCGAGACCTTCAGCTTCTTGATCCTTTCGCATTGCCTCCACTGTAGTTTCCCGGTAAAACAACACATAGGCACAGGCCTGTCCTGGTTTATCTCCAAAGAATTGTCGCACGAAACTTTTATCTACCGGCTCTACCATCTCATCATCAAAAAGTAACCAACCTCTATCTTCAGTCTTGATTACCGCAACGTAATGTCCGTGAAAAGCATTTGTGCCAATATGTACAACCACGGCATAAAGTTCATACAGTCGATCAGGATCCTCCGCATCATCAGTTGTATTGAACATGCGTAAATGATAGGGGTAGTTGACAGTATAGAATAACTTCTGTAACCGAGTCAAGTCATCAGTCCACTTGAACCTTTTAAGGTGAAGCACTAATACTTTCGGTAACGTCTTGATCTTCATACGTTTTTCCGCTTCCTGTAAACCACCACAGGTATCGCAATGGAATTTATTCTTCTCGCATAGCATTTCTTCCGCCGAAAACTTTTGCAAACAGGATGTGACGGAAGAATTTTTCTCTAAATCGATGGAAAGGTCCAAGAATGTCTCATCGCGCTGTGATGTGGTTTCACATGTCAAGCACTTCGTTTCCGAGACCATTTTCCCCTCAAATATATCATGAACCCATTTGGTCCCTGGAGATTGCGCCCCGCTTGCCAAACCCATCGAATCCGCAACTGATCGAACGGCAGCTGTCATTGAATCATTAATGCCTCCCTTGTCTTGAGGCGCTACCGAATCCCGCAGGTGTCGAGCATTATCCTCAACATTATTGATAACTGCGTTGAGCATCAGTCCATAAAATTCGTGAGCATCTTGGTGCATCGATGTTCGGAACATCTCATTGTCTCTCCTGAAAACTTCCAAGAACCTTTGCGGGCTGACAACACCCGTCCGAGAGGGGTGTGATATCATGGCCGTAAAGATATCCTTCAAGGCTGTAAAAGTCGTTTCTTCCATGCCATATGAGCTCGCATGTTCCGTCGTAATTTCTAATATCGGGCCTGCCATCATTGCATGTTTCTTCTTATATTCGGGTGAATCGGGTTTGTCTTCAGGCCGAGTTCCTGGTACACCGGGTCCAGGTTGACCGGAATTCATAGCTTGTCTCCTTTTCAGGGCTTCAGCAGCTGATATGCCTTTGGGTTTGGCAGTTGATAATGCCACTCCATTGGGTTGTGGAGCTCTTGTTGGAACAATTAATTTGAGTAGTTGACCATTTGGGGTATCAGAAGGAGAATGCGGTGGGTATTTGACAACATTTTCTCTAAAAGGAACCGAATAGTATAACGCCTGTAAAATCGAATTGGCATAACTGAAATATGTTAGCATTATCGAGACGAAACCAAGTACAAGAAACGAACCATGTATTTCCGAACTAATTTCAACAAGTTAGCATAAACCAATGGGAAGTAAATTTGGGGAAGAGGTACATTTTCTAAACCAAAGAATTTATCACTTCCGTCCGGCCGTATAGGCCCTGCATTCTGTAGCATCTTCACCAGTGGAGTGATCTCCGGTTCAGGCTCTACATCTTGAGCTTTCCGACTTGTATTTCCATTTCTATCCGTCTATCCAAGATCCAATTGTCAGTAAATGATAGCATCCAGAACCTCCTCGGACTTAACTGCGCCGGCCCTCCCCCGCGGTTATAGCAGATGCCGAACCTTCTCCACACCGTAAATATGGGAGGAAAGAATTAACTAACAGCAGGCGACAGCATTCGAATTATTGAAGCCATATTTCAGGTATTCCGAGCTCGTCGGTGGTTGTTCGACCTTGCCCTTTCCCTTCCACAGTTCGCGCAGCGCGACTGACGATCCCAAAAGTATTATCTAATTATTTTAAGTTGTGCTCATGCGCATAATTGTTTGATCGAATTTGAAAGATTTTCTAGCAGAAATGCTCTTCATCTGCAAAAAGCAAGCCTAAAGAGTGGAAGTGAGATGGTTCGCTGATTCCATAGAGTATTTGCACCAATAACTGCACATATGAGGCGTAAAACGTGGGGTGGAAGGAAGGCTTGTCTTCAGGAGGTCAGAATTGTAGTAATAATGTACAAATGATTGTGATTAAGATCACAAGATCAAAGATAAATGTATGTGAATTGAAAAGCGTTTCGTCTGAAAAAGAGATTGAATAATCCGGTGAAAGTGGATAATGTAGTAATAAGTAAGTAACCAAGTGAATTTATTACAATGGGGTAGAGAGGAAGGTAAAGGATGAAAGGTAAGACTTATGATCGAGCCTTGGTCATGGCTTGGGAAGGATGGGGAGAGACCATTGAATGACCTAAGCTTCTTTTGCTTTGATTCCACTTCCAGTTTACCGTTCTCCGAGCCAGCTATGAGCTCAAGAGAAGAAGCTGGAGAGGGTGGGAAGAGAAGAGAAAAGAAGATGTGGATGTAGCTTTGGTGGTAGAAGGAGAATTCGTGAATGATTGTTGGATGAATCTATGGAGGATAAAGAAATTGTTCATACGGCAAGGTAAGTAAAGTAAGTATTCGGATGAATTACAACACGGGGTAAACACTTCAAGACAACGGCTACAACTACAAAACTACCCAAGCGAGTCTGTTGCGCATTTCAAAGCAAACTTCTGATTAAGATACGTCAAAGCCAACGTCTACTCGAGTAATATCAGCATATAAGCATATAAGCATATACCATCCGGTGTCATATTGTGTGGAGGCAGCTTGATACACGAGTGAACAAGACCATGTCCGGGCTGTATAAATCAACTCTCAGGTCATGCTCTATCATTCTAGTGTTGTCACATCAGGATGAATGACAAAGGCTCGGACTTTTCTAGACTTTCGAATCCTTCTAATCAAGCCTTGACATCTCCCTGAATCTGCACCCTTAAATTAAAAGGAAAGTATCCCAAAGTGTCAATTTCGCTACATCCAAGCCGTACCACAAGCCAAGCATCCTTTGGCTTGGAAACCAAGTAGAGGGAAGGTCGAAGAAAGCTGCACTTCCTCTCTGCTTCGTGCTACCAAAGAACGATATGTACCAATCAATCAATCAATCATATTCATTCTGCATCCTTTCTTTTGCATCTGCAGGATCTAAATCCAAACGTCGATACGGTACGCCCCCTTCGCATACCTGCATATTCATACACTCAAAGCTTCTTCCTCGTCTTCCTCGTCTTCCTCGTCTTCCTCGTCTTCCTCGAATAGTCCAAACATACAATATTCCCGTTCTCTACCTTTCACCCACTCACATATTTCCCAAGTCATCATATTTCTCCTAATCCTACCACCACATACTTATACATCCCAACCTTCCCGCTTCCCTCTTCCCTCCTCCCTCCCTCCCTAGTGATTACCAAAAAATTGCCACACCTCCTTCGTAACACGTCAAGGATCAGGGTCATGCACCCGTCAACATCCTTTCCCACCACGTTATTTCGAGGTTCCTTCCTCTGGTTCCATTTGCGATCAGACTGTGGGGTCAATAGACATCCAGGTTTACCCTCAGCTTCCAACCAATAAGAAAATTCACTCCGGATTTTCTCTCCAAGTTTTTCACTGCAAAGGCGGCACTAAAACGGTTTGATATAAAAAGGTATGCGTGTGCATTCGGAATAGACCGATGTTACTTTATGATATAGGGAACCGAGTTTCGTATTTGTGAGAAGCGGTAATTTTGGCATAAATTTAGATACACAGGTTTGATATTTATTTTTGGATCGAATAACGTGATGCCAATTCAATCAAGAAGGTACCGAGATATGTATCCACGATTGGATTTACAAAAGTACTCCGTATGTACTTGCATATCATACATACATTTGAAGTATTCCTCCGCAATACTCCATACCACGTATCCACAATGACGAAGCACAACATGCAAGAACGGAGCCATCGACCGAAAAAACCATCCAATCCCATTTCCATCCAACCCTCCACGGATGCGGATATATACAGGTGGCATATGATCCCTCGTCGAAAGGAATAAAAGAGACAATAATGACGATAATCCATCCAACTGTTGGAGTGAAGTAGCTACCTAGGAGATGGATGACATTCAATCAATATTCCCGCGGACTTTTCAACCGGATGAGAGCTTACTCCGTCCGTACTTGTCTTTTTATTTTTCTTACTCGTCGTATTTTGGCTTGTGTGTGTTGTTTTTGTTGGTTTGTTCATTCATTCATTCCATCAATCCTTTAATTAAGCCATTATATATATCATAATGATAATGGCAATGATAATGATACCTACCTAACATTATGTTTTCCCTCCGCCGCCAAATACAACCTCGGAAGCTCACTAGAACGGGTCAACCTTTCTAGAAAGGTGATATGCAGTGTTTATCAACGGTTTCCTGCCGCTGTACCGCCGCACATCAGGTAAACTTATCACTTTGCATATTCATTCTAACTTGATATATATAAGATCAACAACATCAATCCAAATTATGGATATTTCGCTGTTTGGTCTTGTGAAGATTTATCGCTTCGGTCCTACTGCCGCTACTCCCGCTTATAAGTATGGAGGATGGTTACTCTCTACAGTATAACCAGTTGATATACAATCCTCAGATCTTCTATTTATCCATTCTACTCCAGAACTTCACTTATCCAAAAAAACACTATCATAATTCTATAAAACAAATAAATACACCATAAAACAAGACAGATAATCCCATTACAGTACTCATATTCCCACCCATCTAATCCCCTCATCCCATAAAACCATACACCTCTATCACCAACTCCATCTCCAACTCTATCAAACACCAAGTACGCTTCACACTACACCCCCAACTCCAAACTCCAAATCCCAACCTCCAAACTTCAACCTCCAAAATCAAAATAAACAAACAAACAAACAAACCACCCGCCCTAAAAATAAAATACCTCACACACCCACCTACGGTACCTACCTTATACATCTATCTGTCTACCTTCCCTCTAAGAAATACCTAGTACGTACACACTCTCCACTTACCCAAAGAAGAAACAGAACCAAATCATCGGGTTTGGATTCGGGTTTGGGTTTGAGTTTATTAAATATTTGAGTATGATTTAAAAGATTTAGATTTATTTATATTTTCTATATTATATATATTATATTATATAAAAAATAAAAATAAAAATAAAATCATAAATTATAATTAATAAATAAAAAATATTTATTTATTTATTTATTTAATAAAATTTAAATAGTAATTTAAAAATAAATTTCAAAAATTATTTAATATAATAAATAAATAAAATCTATTTAAATATTTCTTTAGTTTTATAATATATTTTTATATTGATTTAAATTTAGATTTATATTTTGATATTTAATATTGAAGAAAAACCTTCAAAGATATAATTATATCAAATCAATTAATTATCTTCTCTCTTGAGTTTCGTCAACAATCAACTAATATACAATCAATCAATATAGATAAATTTTAATATTTTAATATTGAGCATTTATAATCTCAAGCTAGATAGCTTCAAGCCAACGTCAATCAATGAAAACGTTAAATGCACTACGCACTACTGCTAGTGAATTCTGGCATACATATATACATACATGCATGCATCATCATCTGTCTATCATTTCGTATTCCATCCCATCCTTTTTTGCATCTCCTAAAAAGATACCGCTCAACACATCCCCCCGCATTCATTTCCCGCTCTGTTCTGCTATCGTATCCATCATTCCCCCTCTCTCCGCTTTTGTAGCCCATTCCTGTACACACACAACAAACTCTCATTTTCTTTTACCGCCTTCTCCATTTCCACTTTCCCCGTTCACTCTCCCAGCCTCCGCCCCTATAATAAAGACACGTTCATGAACCGACGAAAAAGAGAGAAAAGCTCGCATTAAAAGCACTAATCCCCATCCAATGCACCGCCATCCCGCCCCTAGAGGAATACCGCAAAAGTTCTCAAAAAAACAAAATCGAAAGTCAATCCTCGACTTAACGCCACGCCACCCCGCTTCATCAATAAAACTCTCTTTTTACAGTTTGCGTTGCCTTCCACGCCTCATCATATTCTCTCTTTCGGCTTCCCTAGCCCCAAATTACGAAAATATCTGAATAAAACATCCAACGCCATGCAAAATGAATGTCACCTCCGGCCCACCACCCTCATATAATGTAGGTATTGTAACAAAAGATGAAAAAAAGGAAAACTTTCAAAAAAAGAAAGGGAAAGGAAGGCATGTTCGTATCTCCCCATAACGTAATTATCTCCTGTCCGGGTTCGTGCGCTTATGCATGCATGCTTGAAACCGTTTATATCATAGTCCTTTTCCATTTGTCAGAAGCAAAATATACTAATCGATCTCCACCACTTCTCTCTTCGCCGTCCTTGGGTTTATGCCTTGATTGGAAGATTTTCTCTTTAACATATTCTGATTGATATTCAAGTTCATATTCATATTCATGTTCATGTTTGGAGCTGGCATGCGTTGATGTCCTTGGCTACTCCCTTGACTTTGTGGATGGTTCTGGGAATTTGCTGGCGTAGGTAATTGTAACTTTCTCTGTTGTTGGATATGTGAAGATTGTTGTCCTTGTGACCCTATAGCTTGTGCCTGCGTTCTGGGCTGAGACTGTTGGGAGGGCTGAAAAGTAAGGTCCTCTGGGGATAGATTTCGGATTACTGCATCGACCTTTTCCAGGCAGGTTTCAATACCACGATTACGACCAACGGCGCTGGTGCGCATGCCTTTCCAGTCATCATCTCCCGGCGAGTCCCACACAGATTTCAAACACGCATCAATTCCATCATCTGGTAGTACTTCTCCTTTTCCGCCCCTCTCAGTCTTTTCGGTACGACGTACAAGCCACCATGGTTTTTGCTTTCGATGACACATTTTAATCTCAAATGAAACTTTTCGTGGAGGCGTATCTGGAGTGCTCGATTTGAGTATGTAACGAAGGTTAAACCACTCGAAAGCTCTGACGAATATGAACACTTCACCTCTATCATGAAGGGGGGCCCAGGCATCTTCTATGGTTTCGAAAGCCCGCAAACAATAGAGAGTTTGTGGAAGTAAAGTTGTGACTGCATCGAACCCCCCCTTTGGAATGTTCAAAACTTTGTCCAAGGCGTCTAAAACACGTATATGTGGGTTACCCGTCTCTAAAGTAAGCTTCATTTTGCCTTCAACCAAGCCTAAACTGACCACCGCTTTATATGACCGAGCTTTTGCCTTATCTGCACCCATATCCGATCCTGTCTCAGCTGCTGGCGGCATCCCATAAGAAAATGTGATTTCTTGTAGTGAAATAGTGTCACATTTGATAAACTTTTCATGCTTGCGGAGAACCGCAGTGCAAGAAATAAGCCGTTCAATCTGAAATAAACGCTCAGTCAGAGATGGAATTATCGATTCGCCGACTTGAGACCGCAATCTGAAAGCGATTTCTCCTGTTTGGGCCTTAAAAGCGATATCTTTATCTATCTTTTCGTTTAAGACCGAAAGAGCCGGGATGGGCACTGCCATGCGCGCTACTGTGACTAGTACGGCCTTCTGCTCCAGCTTATGGCTAGTGGCTTGTGGATCATCAGCTGGTGACTGGGGTGGTAGAGATGACAGTGCGGGGAGCGGCTCCAGCCCTTGAAAAGTGAGTTTTAGGAAATCTTTCGCCCAGGTTTTCTGTGCCGCGGGTTTCGCTCTTGCTGAGAAGAGTTCAGAAATATGTATCCATATTGAAGGGAGCTTCACCGGTGAAGGTAGGCCAGTTTGTCGAATAGTATGGTGGATGCGTCTATCATGAAGAGCTTTGAGATTAGTGTACTGCGAGATGAGGCCTCCAGCAAATATATGAAGAGTAGACATGAATACGTAAGAGGGTGTTGGTGAGACGGCTTTAATGGGTATGTGGATAGAGGTTAAGACTTTGACGCCTGTCGATTGTTTCGATCTACATTTGTTAGCGTGAGAATATGATGCGGTTGACGATACATACGTTTGAAACAGCCACCAACTCTCCCCACTCATACCCAATGTAACGGCAACAAGCCAATTCTCCTGCCATCCAGGTCTCCTGAACCAATTGATTTGTTTTGTGTCTTTAGGAATTTTCCGCTTCAGATCTTCTCGTGAGATTCCAGGATTGTCAGCCCTTCTCCATCCAACACTAGTGCCAAGGATGACGAGCTCTTCGGATATAGCTAGACATCGAAGATTTTCGATATTGTAATGGGCATCCGTAGCAGGATCTCTGTCCAGACTATTAAGCTTATTCTGTGATGAGGTAATTATCCGAGATGCCGGGCTGAAAATGAAAATTCCTGTGACCGGTTCTATAGTTATTGATACATGCTGTTTCTCTGTCAATTGTACTCCGAGTACAGATTCCTTTGGCTCAGTCTTGGATGTGTGTAATGATAAGGACGCCTCGCGATTGGCAAATATAGGTTCGGCAGCCAATTTGTTATGTGTCGATCTCAAGATGTGATTGACATGCATTGCAATGACAGTCTTTAAGAGTTGTTCGGCCGAAATGTTGACTGCATCAAGTGGGATATCCACATCTTTGACTTCTTTTGAATCCCGAAACCATCTTATAAAGAGTCGGCTTGTCGTTCTAGGATCATGGTATCCATCCTTTCTCCGTCCACTGTGTACTCCTATAATTATCCAGCTTCGTGGTCCATTTTTCTTGTATCTATCCAGCCAATATTGGATACATAGTGCCCGATGAAGTGGTTCGACCTTCACACCATCAATCCAAGTACTTCTAGAGAGTTCAACTGCTTGTCTCCTAAACTCGCTAATCTTATGGGTCAACACCATTTCATGCAGGTAAGTGTAGCAACCAGATAGGCCATCCTTCTCCAATGCCGCATTCACTTTACTCTCTATGTGAAATTGGTGCCGAGGTGGCAATTCTCTAAGAGAGGGGGAGAACAGAAAGCGAAAGTCAATGAACCAAAATTGTGACTCCTGATCCTCATCCGCGATAGTCAGGTCGATTTCAAACTCCCCGGCCACCTTGAAGGTCACACGACCTGATTTTATTGTATAATCTTTGAATTGCAAGGGAAGCTTGTCGTATTCGTGAAGGTTCAGGCGAATGGACAGGAGAGTATTCAATTTTTCCAAGGATTTGAGTATCTCCTTGGAAGTCATTGGGGGTGGAGCAATATAGCCAAGCTAGTACATGTTAGCGTCGCTACAAGATATGAGCAGGAGACTCACGTCCGGCATCCAATTGGCTTTTCCAGTTGACAAAACCTCTACTGCAGTTTTTAGATCAGGACTCGGTGAATCTATGTCGCATAGTTTCTTCTTTACGTCACCAACATGTGCTAGAATAAGATTATATAGTCCTCGTTTGTGAATCAGATGGACATTCAAGTCAATAATTTTACTAACTTGATCGGCTTTTCGACTCCAGTCCAGTAACACCAGTTGCTTAACCCAACGACTATGCTGAGTTTGGGCAAAGTCTAGCAAGCTCACCTTCTTGTTCACGTTATCGTTAGAAGTATCATCTTCTTTGGTGATATGAGATGGGCTCCCGTTGATCGCTGATTGAGGTGTTGGCATATTTGCCAATTTTGTGATCTCCTGCCTTAATTCATTATGAGTTGATTGTGCCAGTCGGTTCAAAAGCTCCGTTAAGGATAGGAAGTTGAATGTGATATGTTCGACTTCGGGTGGAAGGTCATGTATACGATCCAGAATATCCTTTGGAATTGGGTCTTCCCCAGAATTCTGCTGTCGCGCTGGGCCATCTGTGAGATTCCCATTCATTCCATTGGGAACAGCTCGACTAATCGGTGTCATATTCTGCTGAGGCTCCGATCGTGCCTGATTTTTGTCCCGTCCCTTCTCGGAAGCTTTTGCTTCACCATTGGTACCATTGGAGTGTCGATCTCTGTCGTGGTTGGTATGCGATCCATTCCTACTCCCGCTATCCATGATGATGCCGGGCATACTAGCTGGCCCTCGCTCGCCTACCGAACCACCTCCTCCTTGCGACACACCCGCAGCAGCCCCCTCTTCAACTGTTTTATGGTCTATCGACTCTATCTTGGCTGTCGATATAGTATTTGGATATTCGAGCCTTTCGAGAGGGGCTCCAGGAGCAAAGTCGCATGCGCTACCTCGGAGAATCCAGGAACATGTGCGCAATAAACGTCAAGAGTCCTTCTCAGTCGTCAAAGGTTAATCTCAATATCTCGGGTATGGTAACAATTGTCAAAAGCTCTTTGTAGGGTCAAAAATGCACAGCGCGACCTTGCATGAAAGGATGGCTGGGTCTCTTTTATGGGGTACGACTCGAGATTTGTTGAAATCTTAATACTTTGGACAGGTCAGATCGGTAAGGGTTTAATATGCGCCTGATGGTGAACAATAGTTTGGAGAAGGATTTGTGGTTGTTGAAGAAGATTTTGTGAATTTTCTATGATGGACCGTTCTTCAATCTCCTGTATGGAATCAAAGAAACAATTAACACAACTGGGCGGCTTGCTGCTTTCCTGGAATTGAATTGCGGATGGACGTACTAGGCTAAATTAAATTTAGTCTTGGGCAAATCGGAGCTGGTTAGTCATGTGATCCAGAGTGGATGTATTCTACGGTTCTAATTGGCTTAATCCTGATACCGGTACCGTGGTCAGAAGAGAAGATAAAAGATAAAGAAGATGATGATTGGGAGAGAAGGGAAGGAGGGAAGGAGGGAGGAGGGAGGAGGGAGGAAGGAAGAAACCGAGAGAGGAAGGAAAGCATAGAGGGTAGGAAAAGAGAAAAAGCTTTGGGAAACATAAAAGATAAAAATTGGCAAGGTAAGAGAAAATAATCAAATGGACAATAACACAACAATGTGTCATTATCGGACCAGGTCTGAATCATTTATCGTTTGTTCGATACCGATACCGATACCTAGGTACCTAGTATTTGAAACATGTCTATTTAGAATCTTCTATGCCTTTGTTGTTTGCAGCTTCTCCAAGAACAATCAATATGTTTCTTATGTTTCTTATGTTTCTTATGTTTCTTATGTTTCTTAGGTAGGTATCCACGTTGAGGTATCATAGACGGTTCCATCCTTTTTAAAGCAACAAATCATTCTATTATATACTAGGTATTTATATATCAAAGTTATTTTCATATCATCACCTATACTCAGTGTTCTTCTCTCCTCTTCCTCCTCTTCCTCCTCTTCCTCCTCTTCCTCTTCTTCCTCTTCTTCCTCTCTCCCATTTCTTCCCTCTCCTTTCTCCTCCTCTTCTCTCCTCCTCCTCCTTCCCTCCATTCATATGGGCTCATTCGATTCCAAGATGTTGAAAAGTGGTGCTGTTGAGTGCCGAATGCCATGCCCCTGTTTTATTTCCACCCAGGTTAAAGCGTCTATCTCGTCACTTGTGCTTGTTTCTGAATGAAGTACGTACGGACTACAAACTACGGCTTACGGATATCTTCTATGAATAGCTAAACCCACCCTCACTCACCCTACCTACCTTTCACACTCACCTCCATTATTATCACTTATTCAAATGTACAACAGGTATGTAAAAAATAGTAATACCCATTTTCGGAAGAAGGAAAAAAAGTCTTTGTCCTTTCTTGTCTCCCATTCCATACATACATACCTACATAACCATTAACTCATATTATTTTATTAACTTTTATTAATTGATTTTTTTATTTGTAGTTATTTATCGAAAAGAAGATGATCAAAATCATCGTCACTATTAATAAAGTCCGCTTAGCATGATGTTCTAAACGCCTATCGCTATTCACTGGTCCCCGAAATTACCTTATCCAGCGCGCAATGGTCCCTCGCAACTACAGCGAATCCCAGCTTCGCCCCGAACCAGAACGCGCTCCTTCAAATAGTACCAAAATATCTTATAGATCTCATTCTTCATCTTTTGAAGCGGATGACGAGAGATCTAGCTCTGCCGATCACGATAGTATGGACCCCGATATTGGTTCTGCTCATAGAGATGTTCCTGCTCAGTATGCAGGTGAGGATACACGATTGACGAGTCGGAAGGAGCTGTCGGGATGGTACGCCTACGGATTTGCTGCAGAGGTTTTCGTCATTTGTGGTATTGGTACGTCTTGAGGTATTTTCTTTGATCTTATATTTGGGTTATTGGAGTGAAAATGGTTCAGTTGAGTTGTTGCCGTTCGATGAGACCAATCCATCGAAGCGTAAAGGGGTAGCATTGTCAGCCTTGTTCCAAACAACTTCATCAATGACAGCATTGTACCTCCAAATATGCGAGTTCCATTACAAAAGTTTAGGTTTTAAGCTTGATAGAATTTGTGTTTTTTACTTAAGCTAACGGTTACGTTTCAGGCTCCTTCATCCCGATTACTTTGGAACAATTGGCAAGAGAGAATGGAGTCTTACTTTCAGATCCAACACAACCATGCGGTTCGAGTTCCACGCACCTTCCTCCAGGTTTACATCCAGGAAGCGCAAAAGATTCACAATGTGTAATTTATCTCGGTGGCCTACAGATAAATACGGCTAGTTTTGCTATGTATAGTTTCTCCCTGAGTGTTCTCTTCCAGGCAATATTGGTGGTTTCAATCAGCTGTGCCGCAGATCATGGGAATTACCGCAAACGATTATTATTATTCTTCGCATTCGCCGGATCTATAACGACTATGCTATTTTTGACGGTTGTCCCGAAGGTTTATTTGCTAGGTGCTCTCTGGGCAATAGTCTCGAATACGTGCTTTGGGGCAAGTTTTGTCCTGTTAAATTCGTTTCTTCCCCTCCTCGTTCGACATCATCCGAAAGCTCAATATGGCACGCCAGATTTTTCACCCGAGTTTCGTCCCAGTTCCGTCGATGAAAGTCCTCCGGAGCACTCGCTAAACGAGCCAGAAGTTGCGGTGTACGATGAAAGAAGTGCACTCCTACCACATAACAGAATCTCCTCGCAAGCTTCCGATGTAGATGAACCGTTTCCATCATCCAAAGATGCCACTTCAATTGAGCTTCAATTATCCACCCAGATATCTTCGACTGGTATAGGAATTGGTTATAGCGCTGGCCTTTTTCTGCAATGCATATCAATTGTTATTATTTGGTTGCTCAACGGCACGACCTTTTCCCTGCGACTGGTATTATTCTTCATAGGATTATGGTGGTTTCTCTTCACAATTCCTGCCGCGTTATGGCTCCGCCCTAGACCAGGACCACCATTACCACACACGGGTGGTGAAAATTCAAAAGGCTCACGAAGTTGGTTGGCTTATACTATTTACGCCTGGTCATCACTATTTCGCACTGTAAGACTTGCCCGGAGATTAAAAGATATTACTCTCTTTCTCGCAGCTTGGTTCCTCCTCTCCGATGCTATCGCTACGGTCTCGGGAACTGCAGTTCTCTATGCCAAAACCCAGCTTCGTATGGCACCCGAAGCACTCGGTCTCATTAATGTGATTGCTACTACGGCCGGTGTTCTAGGTGCATTCTCATGGGCAGCCATTTCCCGCACTCTAAACTTAAAACCCCATCAGACGATTCTCGCTTGTATATGTATTTTCGAAATGATCCCGCTCTACGGTCTTCTTGGATTTCTCCCCATCGTCAAACGATGGAACGTCATCGGTCTCCAACAGCCTTGGGAAATGTATCCTCTCGGTTTCATTTATGGTTTCGTTCTCGGAGGCTTAAGTAGTTATTGTCGTTCCCTATTTGGTGAACTCATACCTCCTGGATCCGAAGCAGCATTTTATGCTTTATATGCCATTACGGACAAGGGATCCAGTGTATTTGGACCTGCCATTGTAGGGGCAATCGTTGATCGAACTGGAGAAATTAGACCAGCGTTTTGGTTTCTGGCAGTTCTAGTTGGATTGCCTGCTCCGTTAATATATTTCGTTAATGTGGAAAGGGGTAAGAAAGAAGGTGCAAAGTTGGCAGAAATTATTGAGGGTTTTAAGATTAAGGATGCAGAGAATGCAAGCGAGGGGAGTAGAGGACCGAGCATTGATCATGAGAGTGGGCAGAATGAAGGACTTATTTATCCTCGAGTTGGGGAAAATGAATCAAGAGGGAGAAACGATATATGACTTGATTTTAAGCGATGATTTGGCGATTACTTAGCGATTCAATTTGGTGTTCAGCGGGGAAAGTACACTGCAAAGGGACTTCAATTGTATAGGATTGATTCACATTATCAGCATCATATTTGGTATATTTGGTATAGGTAGTTGGGATCAGTGATTCTTGATCAGGAAGAAGAGAAGAAGGAAGGTTTGGTTGGTCTAGTTGGAACCGACACGGCGTGGCGTTTACATCAGAATGAATGAATTGCATGAATTGGATACGGTTATTGGGAATATATTAAATTATAAGGAATAAATCAAATTTAAATTATATAAAATGAATTGAATTGAACTGAACTGGATTGTACTAAAATGAAATAAACATTTAAAGAGATGGGATGAAATAAAAGATGTTTAAGAGAAGAAGTAGAGAGGGGAAGAGAAGGAAAAAAAAAAAAGAGGATAAAATATTTATTGATTTTAAAAAGTTGAAAAATATATTATATTTTTATTATATTCATATAGATATAAATATAAAGATGTATTAAAAACTTTATATAATATCTTTTTATTTATAATCTCTTTATATCTACTTGAATATATAATATATATTTATATTTATATTTATATTTATATTTAATATATTCATTCCACTCAACTTGAACCTTTATCTCTACTTCATCCATCCATCCATTCACTCTCTATTAAGACACTCCAAATCCCACCCAATCATCACCACGCCTCCCTTCCAAGCGCAAGTAATATACACCCAAAAATATAATATAAAAATACAGATAAAGATCCCAGAGCAGAGTAGAGTAGAGTAGAGTAGAGTACCTATTAAATTTCTTTTTAACTATACAAGTCAAGGGTCAAGCGCCAAGTGCCAAGTGCCAAGTGTCAAGTGCCTAGCGATGGATGAATCAATCGATCGATTTAGAAGGAAGGGATGGAGCGGATGGATGGATGGAATGTGATATGTTATGTTATGTTATGTTATGATATGATATGCTATCATATATATTCAATCATCACTGCGAAGAACTATAGACGGGACTAATGTATTCAAGGGAAAGGAAGGGAGGGGAAGAGAACAGAAGAGACTCCAAGGAAGAAAGCAAGAAAGGCAAGAAAGGTCTAATAAAATACGAAGGAAATAATTGTAAAAGAAGGTATCTAAGATTACTCTCCCTTTTCATAATATTCTTACAAGCGGATACCAAGTACCTAGTCTAGTCAAGTTTGCCGATAAAATATTTGGTATACATATACATGATTGAATAATAAGTACGTACAGATACAAGTTAGGTAGTTAAGTTAGATTTTTCTCTTTTCCCTCTTTTTTTTCTTCTTCTTCTTGTAGATGTAGAATAGAATAGAATAATTTCAAAACCAAGTTAGAGAAAAAAATGAAATAAATTGAAAAATGAAATAATGTATGAGACTAAGAAGAAAATACGCAAGTAAATGCAAAAGATGGTATCAATGAAGAATAATCTTTTTCCATTCGCTATCAAATGATGACGAAGGAATGCAAGAAGGCAAACGGGCGCAGGAAACAATAGAGCAAGGATGCATAGAACAGTGGGTATGAAGCAATCTGGTAACTGTGACTTTTCGTGGGTATGTTTTCGCATGCGAATCCGTTGCTCGTTCATCGTTACTTCGTTTCAAGGATTTTGGTGAGAGGAGTGCTATGTAGGTAGCAGGGGGTTTTCCGAGTATATGGTTCGTATTTCGACACAGTGATGTGATGTGTTTATTCCCTTTTCTTTCTCTTATATCTTATATTTCCTGTGACGAGATGGAATAGAAAGACGGAAAAGAAGGAAAGATATGAGGATGAGGATGAGGAGGAAAAGATAGACTGTCTATTTTGCAACAGGCCACCAGCCTATCCTGATATAACTATCAATCATACCCTGCAACAAGTCTTTTGTAAGTCTTGGGTAATCATATTTGAACCCAACCACTTTCTCAATTCTGCTCCCATCCATGCTCAAATCGGTATCCTTCAACAATTCCTTCTCCATGAATGGTGTAAGAGGGCCTGGCCTTGTAATACCCGCTTCCTCGAGAAGATCCGCCCAGGGCCCAAGGACCTCTTCGTTGACATCATCCACAACACTATCCATATTCAACTTTGCGAAAGTGCTAACCAATTGTCCTTGAAATCCAGTTTTGATGCCAAAAATCTGGCCAATGAGTTCGGCGATAGATCCTTGGGATGTTTCCCCTTTGTCCACAACATTGAAAGTAGGGACCTTGCCCATAGATTTGACGTCCCAGTTTGGCTTTCCAGAGGCATACCAATCGGCAACAGCCCAAAGCGCTTTGCAAGTATCATTTATGTTGACTGTGTTTACGCGCAAATCCTTCGTCCAAAGCCATTTCATCTCTTCGTCGAGATGTTGATAAATGCGTGCCATGGTGAGGGCGGTAGGAACGAATTGTGAAGCATATTCGCCGTATACATGTGCCAAACGAACAATGATGAGGTTTAGTCTAAGTAAGACTAGATGTTAGTGAAAAGAACAAAGAACAATATGTGTCTTCCCAAACACCTCTTCATGTAGCCGTCGCAGCCAGGCGAAAGGTGCAGATAAGGAATTCAAACTTACCCCTCCATCTTAGCCAATTCCTCCTCAGCCTGTAATTTAAAAGTCGCAATTTTACTCCAAGGCTTCAGCTTATCCCCTTCTTTACTGGGCGTTGAATCAGATTTGTATACCATTCCCGTACTCAGCTCTACGAAAGCTTTGACGCCTCTCTTTGCAGCCTCTTTTCCTACAGCAATACTCAATGCCAATGAGCGCACCCTGTAAACTTCATCCTCTTGTGAGTATCGTGTCTCTCCTCCACAGTTGAAGACATAATCCCATTGTTTCCCATTCGCGCGATCGAATATTCTCGGTAGTGATTCTGAAGAGCCGTAGGTAAGATGTTAGACGAATGAAGACACGACATGAAGGGGGAAAGTGGTGTGTATTAACATACGCTCTTTACTAGCATCTGCTTGCATGAATTTATCATTCGAACAAGCATCTGCAAACTCCGGTGCCAGCCATGCTAATTGTGGTAGCACTTTATCCACAATCCGGACTTCAGATGCTAGATTGTTTTTATGAATGTGTAATGCAAGAAATCGACCTATGTACCCGAGACCTCCGATGATGAGAACTGCTGGCTTCTCCGCCATGTTTGTGGTATTTCGGCTGGTGTTGGTGTTTGACACTTGGGAGGTTCTTGGGAGTTCTTGGGACAATGAAAAGATGTGTCGCGCAGAAAGGATGAAGTGTGGATTTGTGGGTGAAAGTTGAAGATTGAAGAAGAGGTATTATGGTCTTCTTGTGGTCTGTGGTTATCCCTTCAAAGAATTTAATATGGAGATGTTGAGAGAAGAGGAAACCCAAGAGGATGGTTTTCCCGTGTTCTTAAATTAAGGAAATGCTACTAAACTATGCTTGTAGATGAACCCTCTGGAAGTATGTACGGAGTACTCTGTAGTTTTCGTCGAAATCTAATTTGGAAAGTCGGTATGCGTATGCGGTCTGCGGTAGGGCTTTGAGAAAGTTTAATCTAATCTGTATGTGTGCGGGCGAGGGGGATGTCTCCCTTGTCTTGTGTCTTGGGTTGGTCTTGGGTGATCTTGGTGGTGTTGATGGTCTTGGTTGGTCTTGGTTGGTCTCGGTGGTTCCTGTATCCTCTTTTTGTGTATGGAGTAAATAGTAGTTGGAGTAGTATTCTATATGCAAGAATCTGGAGACGAGATTTGTAGAGTCATTGTAGAGTAATAAATATCCTTTTCCTCTTCCAGGCATTAAAAGTAGTCACTAATATCGATTAATGGTGTAGTGAAGTTAACATCTTCACCATGTCTAATCTGCCCAATTCCGGATGAAGGTTTCTCAGACCCTTTTTTTGCCTTTTCTGGTGAAGAAACACACGAGTATCTAATTACAATATGTCTATGAAAGGGGGTTGCTTTGCTTGATTTTCATTTCTACCTATTCATCCCTCTTTTCCTCTCTCTTCCTAGCTACTTTGATATAATCCATGTTTCAATCCATATCCATCTGTCTAGTTAATAAGGTAATAAATAATAATATATTCCAGGGCAGCTTTTTTTGTGGACAAACATGCGAGGCGGAGTATTTTCTATCTCATTATATTCTTAAAGGATCATCAGCTACTAAATGGAGATGTATGCGGGCAAAGCGGCAGAGCAGGAACCAGGTGAAAATCTACGAATCAGGAAGGAGAAATTCTATGAGTAGTTGTGCAGGTGTATAAGTGTGTAGTGTGTAGTGTGTAGTGTCAAGAAACGGTACCTAGCTAGATGGTTTACAGGTTCCAACGCCGTACATAATATAATCCAAGACACATGCATACATGTTACGCCACAGGAAAGAAAAAGAAAAAGGAAAAGGAAAAGGAAAAGGAAAAGGAAAAGGAAAAGGAAAAGGAAAAGGAAAAGGAAAAGGAAAAGAAAAAGGAATCAAAAAGAAAATTAATTGAAAATTGAGATTGAAGATTAAAGATACACAAAATGTTATGGTGCAGCGCAAGCCAGTTACCACAGATTTGGCAGGTTCCAAGTGTTTTGAGCGTTTTCCTTCTTGTCAGTGTCAACTTTCAAGTCTTGTCAAGTGGCATGAATGATCGACCGACATCTGCAACAGAATAGAGATTATACGGTAGAATCAATGTGAGTAAGTGGTGGTACCTGTACTATGTGGTACAAGCAGCCTTGTTCTCGGAAGGTCCTGTACTATTTTATTTGGGGGCAGTTTCTAGGTTCTGCTGCAAAGGCTCCTCGGTGTAACATGATGACATGACGATGATGCAAACGTCTGCTTGCTTGCATAGTACGATACAATTGCAGGACCACACCTGATACTTCATGGTTACCTATCTTCTTCTGTAGACTGTGGGAGAGAGAGAGACGTCAAGTTGTTAAAAGGTGGATTCTCCAACATTAATTGGCTACGACCTGATGATCCTCATTTATATCCCCATATATATTTGGAGATACATCAAGCCAAACATTTCGCAACATGGTTTAAAAAAGGGTCGAAAGGATCAAGTCATTTTGATTGATGTTTCCAGGGGGGGTTTTCAATCACTATGCATTGGGTATTACAAATACGGGGAATAAACGGTTGGTATCTGGTTTTTGATACTTGATAGTTGATACAGGTGCTTCTGGTGTTCTAGAAGATTAAGTTCTAAGGGAATAATCTAGGAATCTAGGAATCTAGGAATCTAGGTATCTAGGAATCTAGGAATCTAGGAATCAACTAATCAACTAATCAACTAATCAACTAATCTACTAATCTACCAACCCACCAATCTACTAATCTACTAATCTACTAATCAGTACTTTAGTCATCCAGCAATCCACTAATCCAGTGGGGTCTCAAAGTTTATATCTCCTCTTCCTTGTACTCCGTAGGTTCACCTCAGCCCTTGTCTTTGTGCTTGTCAACTTCAACTTTTAGCTGCCGCTTCCTGCGGATGTTACCACTTTTAGTTTACCAAACTTCAAACTTCAAGGGTACACGGTACTCGAGTACTAGCAGTAGGACCTTGTGCCATATGCCATATGGACAGCCGACTACAACGTTATGGAGCACACCTCACCACAATTCCCTCGATTGATTCGATTCCAACCCACCTGACTAGGATTGATGAATCTGAGAATTTTACCATCTTAGTTAGCACCATTTTGTCTACCGAGAATATTGTCTGCACCTGCCACTTTAACATTCAATTTTACCACGACGGATCCGAGGTAGCACAGGGGGGAGGGAGGAGGGTACACCAGTAGAGATCCACCAGGTCAAGAGCTAAAAGACCAAGTTGTAGTATTTACCATGGACTATGAAATGTTAAGGCAGCACTGAAGTTTCATTAGGGTACTCCACCACTCCATATGTCGAACGACTTTCGGTTTCGGTACTCTGACAATTTTTCTCATCCTTGTTTGCATCTTCTTCCCTTTTCCCTACCGAGTCGTTCGGATGGAAAAGCCTCTCTATCTAGTACAGGCGGATCTGGTACATACATGCAGAATGTTTTCGCATTAATCTCCTTGTGTCTACCAGGTAGGCAAGTGGCCAGGTTCAAGTACTACCTACTACGTACAGATAAGGGGGCATAGTTCGAGACAAACATCATGGCTTTACCAGCACAGGCCTCATTCCCCCATTTATCGCGCACGCACAGGCAATTAACTTTTCAATTCTGAGATTCGATAGATCAAGAGGGGCGAACTATAATGGCCTTTTTGTTATGATCCAGGGTTCAAACTCAAAGTGAGCAATATAGATACCTAGAATATCTGACATCCGCAAATGCCGAGCACAACGCTGAGAGACTGAGAGACTGAGAGACTTGGCAAAGCGGTCAAAAATACCTCGAAGTCCTCGACCGCCGACGATAACCTTTTCACTATTTACTATTCAGCCATCACATCGAGCCTCCATAACTTGGCAAGATTCATAAGGCAGGAGGGCTGCTTGGTTTATGGTCTTCATTGGATATTGTTCCGCCGGGTCATCGGGTTCATGCAGGAACAGTCAAGGAAAAAAGAGAGAGAAGTTCTCTAAACTCACTCACCTGCATACAAGTAGTATGCAAGTCATATCAAATTCATTTAAACCTCCTTCTTTGAGCTTCCATCTCCTGCATAGAAATTTTTGAAACGGAAATTGTAAGATGGCGATCCCATCTTGTTGTGTGATTGTTCCGAACACCTGCATATCCGTGTTCCATCGCATAATTGCGAATTTCATTCTGTGGTGTTTTGCTTACCAAGGACTTTCTTTTTTGGAGTCATGCATACAAAGTCGTGACAGATAAGTACCGACTTTCTAGAAGGATTCGAGAATTTCCGAAAGAATTTCTTTTGCTGCAGGAGATGCACACGACAAATGAGGAATGAGGAACGTTTCTTTTGGGGGGATACTTTTTGCATGAATAAATTTCCAATACGAGGTTTGATGTTATTTTGAGGAGTTGCTTGCTTGCTTTTAAAAGTTTTAAATCTTAACACAAGTGTGTATGTTGGATGGAAGGATCAGGTTTCGTAGGGTGCCATCAATAGCTAGGCTTTGACTTTTAATATTCGTATTCTGAATGAACAGGGAAGAGAGAATATTCATGGATTAAATTTCATTCACGGGAGCCATTTTCCTATTATAATAGTATGCTATAACATTGTTGGCATTCTTTCGATCAGCTTCCCCGGAAAGGGGAAGGGTCAAAATGCTGGATTCTTAATAATGAGAATTTCATTGTAGGTCCAACGAGCTGCTAAATTCAATATACCCTCTTCTCACTTTTCCCACTCGATCTCAGCGGATATTGTACCTAAGCAGGGTTGAAATTCTTTTCCCAAACCACTTCGGTCGATATATTTTATCAATACGAGAAAACACAATCCATCCATCACAAATCCTTTTATTCTTTGGCATTGCGGTGGGTCTCCCTCCAGTGTATAAATATAGAATATCCATGCTCTATTACCTTAAAATTCAACACATCCCCTTATTTTCCACGATATCATGAGCCACAACTCAACATACCTATATCACGCGCATGTCCTGTATTTGGATACACAAGACACGATCTGTATATTTAAGTCAATATGTGAATCCGGCGGAGGGATATATACAAATGGTAAACTAAGAAGTGTATCTGGATTTGAAGCCGTCGATGGCATATAATAAGAAGTATTGTATATTTGAGCGTAAGCGTGACCGTGAGGTAAGACTGAGCGCGATATTGAATGTTTAATTGATAAATATATACACCCTTCCCGCAACAGGCCTTGGCAACGACAACAACAACTTTATCAATAGTAAAGTAAAGGGTTTTGTATTTTATAAGGATCTCAATCAAGAAATCAGGAGTATTAATTATGTTTTCGGGGTATGTTCTTTCGATTCTGGATATCAAGTACAACAACTGATGAACGACAATATTAAGATTCTAGACAAGGTCTAAATCAAGGTTGAGATTGATCTTGATTGTATTATATTTATTTATAATTTAAAGAATGATTTGGATTTGTTTTATATTACAATTAATAAGGACTTAAAAGATATATTAATAAATATAATAAATTATTTATCTTTGATTATGCATGAATTTTGAAATCAACTAATAGACGTTGTTGGCACAGACGCTATATGTATTAAACTTTAAGGCTAACCAATCAAAATCCCCGGGCTTCTGGCGCAATGGCAACGCGTTTGACTTCGACTTCTGTTAGAAATAACAGCTGAATACGGCATCAAAAGATTACAGGTTCGAGTCCTGTGGGGCTCACTTTTTTGGCATTTTTCTTGTGAAGATGTTTGTCGAAATTGATTATCTTATCAGTTCAGCTTCCGCTTCGCGAAAGCAGAACCGATGCCCGATAAGTAGATTCGATAGAGGTTATAAATGAATGAGTAGATTTATTGATTTATTAATTTATTAACAAGTTGAAATTGTTACGAGGGATGCGATCTAGATCACGTGGAAGTGGCCTGGATCCTCGAATGGTTTATAACTAGGCGTCAAGCAGGAGCTTTAAAGTAATATCAATGGTTGCAATTCGTAACTAATAGTAGGTTATACTAAATGATTGATCTTGAGCACGAAGCTCCTATATACAGGAAACCCCTCTGGTTTATATAGATCTTCGTATCCTGTAGATTCGTATGGACCTACGATTCGTATGGACCTACGATTCGTATGGACCTACGATTCGTATCCCTGTATATGTAGGGTCCATCACGTGATCTCTAGGATCAGACTATATGTCCGAGCTTGCTGAGGGTGGGGAGACCACATGAGGCGATTACCATACAAATTTGTATACAAATCGCCTTGCTTTTCGATGAGGCCTAAGCTCATGTGGACAGGTTGACTGTTACCTTGTAACAGAAATATAAATAAATTATAAATTAGATTTAAAAAAATTATAAAAGAAACAACGTTTTAATTTCTTAATATTATAAAATTATATTTCAAATTTATGTTATAAAATTATTTAAATTTTAATAAGGTTTTTAAATTTTTAAATTTATTAAAATAATTTAAAAGACAATATAGATGATAATATATAATAAGTCAGTGGTGGTTTTGAATAGAAAATGAATAGTGATGAGTTGAGAATAGAATGTCAGGGATAAAGATATAGATGAAAGTAAAAATAAAGATAGAGATAAAGTATAAGATACAATAAGTGAAGTGGTGAAATCGTAGGATTGTGAGATGAGAGGAAATATAATTTTTGAGTGAATTAGACTTTTGAATGAAGGGGTATCTTTTTGAGATTGACTCTTGTATAATTTTAAAATATATAATCTGGGAGACATTGATATATATATAATAGAGTAGACAATCAATGCTCTTTTATTTTCATATCTCATGCAAACATAACACATATCCCAGCACATCTATCTAATCTTTCTTTATCAAATACCACATCTTCACCTTACTTACTATCTACCTCTTCATAGCATCCAACATCTCCCCCCTAACCTTCCTCTCCTTAGCCCCCTCACTCAAACTTCCCAAACTCCTCAAATCCCCAACCACATCCTTTGCCTTCCCAAAATAAACCTCCTGTAACAGATTTCTCATCTTCAACTCCATATCCTCAACCAATCTTCCAATATTAGCTATATGTTCCGCATCATCAAGAATTGGTAAATCCGCCTCAATTTGTCGTGTCATATTTCCACTGAGATCCATCTCGCCGAGTTCGTTTCCGTTGGTGGAGAGTGAGAGGATCACAGTAGATGTGAGTTTATAATGAGCGGTGCGGGCACGATCTACAGCTTCGAATACGTGAATGCTGTCCCAAGAACCTGCGGAACTGGATGATGTAGGAGCGACTATTAATGCAAATTAGCATCCATAATAATTATCCAACATCCAATATGCCAAATATCCACCGCATTGAAGGAGAATCAAAGAAATAATCCTCACCTTTCTTCAAAAGAACCACTCCCGCAAACCCATCATCCAAGTTCCAAAAATAAACACTACTAACACCTCCCTCATAATACAACTCCCTATAAACATCAAAAGCCTCATTCGCTCGAATTTCCATCTTTCTAACCCTTTCGCTAGGCACAGCACCTTCACCCGCCCCATCATTATTTCCCTGATCATCAATACCACCAGGCGTAGTACCACCTATAGGTGTCTCAAACTCACCACTCCATGGCGAACGATAGCTATCGCCATCACGGTTATAATCGCAGAGAAGATAATCGCGACCGGTTTTTCGGCAGCGAGAAATAGTAAGAGGTTGGTCGACAGAGCTGAGGAGATCTTCTGTTAATGAGGGGACGAGATCAATGAGGGAGTTCAGGTGGGTGGTGGTGTGTTTGGGGTTGAGACGGCGGAGAAGATCCCTGTGGAGATTAATGAGTTAGTGAATTATCGCATATGGGTTTGTTTTTATTCGCAGATATAACTTTTTGGGGTAATGGAAAATATATCAAAAGCTTACAGCGCGCTATCAAATTGATCAACTTCTGCCATTTTGACGGTGGTTGTATGAACTATGGAGCTTGCGTTGTCAAAGTTGAAGATGGAGGGGTTGACGTTCGAGGTACGCTTTAGCGAGCTGCCAGGGTCTGAACGACAACGAGGGGTTCTTTTATCAATTTCCACGTATTGGAAGCTTACAGGAAAAATTTGGGGCGGATCGATACGAATTCACTAAAGTAATTATGAGAATTGTTGTGTTTACATGATTTGTATAATTATGTATATGCTATTTCTGGCGTAAATACAACATTGAGCCCGACAAGACTCAAGCAAGGAAAACCAGCTATATGCAACCAATTCATTTACCATCCTCAAGTTTGGTTCAAGTCCCATCCGTCCATACGCCAGAAGTTAGCCATCCACCCCGTTGGAAGTGCTCCAAGCCAATGTAATAACTCCATTGTGATGAATCATCACACCTACTTATTGTACAATGCCAATGCAATGCAAAACCAGGAATCCATCTTACAAATCCAGTTCCGAACCGGAATCTTCAGCATAACCACTTGCGTTCCTCTTTGCTTTTCTATCACGTCTCCAAGGGCTCCCAATGTCCTCGTCTGGACCTGGTAGACTAGGGTTATCCTTTTCATACTGTACTCTGAAATCCCAAGCGTCTTTATCCCATTTCGCCGATTTCACATTATAATCCGCAACAGCTTCCTGATAGATTCGTTTTCGTTCGAAAGCCCTGTCAACATAAGGTTTCTTTACATTCTCTGGAGCTTCATTCCACATTTTCGTGATCATTTTCTTAACTTCGTTGGTAATTGGTTTACCTTTCCCTGGCCTTCGGCCTTCCTCGCATTTTCTTTTAGCTTCCTCCCATGTATCCTTACTGTACATTTGGTAGGAATTGGAGTGATTCTTTGCAGGCTTCCAAGGTCGATCACCGAGCTTTGCGTATATCGCATTCCATATCTCACTTTCATATGCCTCAAGACGCGCCTGTTTTGGATCCTTAGGAACTTCAATGGCCTCAGCTTTTCTCTTTGATGCCGATTCCTTGGGTGGAATGAAATTCTCCGGAACTTCTATTGGTCCGATGATAGATTCCAATACCTCCGAGGCTGCCCTAAGACCCGAGATGTAAGCTCCATGAACGGTAGCTGGATGTGTACCACAAGTATGCTCTCCACCGAAGAATAGGTTACCAATAGGCTTTGCCATGACTCCGTAATCATCACTTTGGAAATTTGGCCCAGTGTAAGAGTAACTGCCACGGGAAAATTGGTCTTTGCCCCAACGAGTCACAATCGACTCTACAGGCATAGGAATGTGATCACCGAAAACACCTCGTAGAACTCTTGTAGCCTCACATATTAATTCTTCGTTTGAGGTCTTCTCCGTGTGAAACGCTGCGTCGCCCGCCATGAGAGCTAGTAAAGTTGGCATGCCGGATGTCTTTGTGCAGTTAAACCACTGGAAAAATCTTCCTCTATGTGTGAAATATTCTCCTTGATCTAGACTGAATTTGTTGGGTGGATTACGCAGAGTTCCAAAGATATCTCGGCCTTCGTCCCAAAAAGGCTCTTTGTAGACCAGGATAATTTTGTTAAGGATCCCATAACCGATCCGCTGAATTGCACCAGTCTTCCATGAAGGTAGTTCTGGTTCGAATTCAATCTTGTTTTGCTTCAAAACACCCAGCGGGATAGTGGAAACGATGTAATCTGCCTCGATTGACTCGCCATTCTCACAGTCAATCCTAGAAGAGGCAATGGTAGGATGAGGATTGTAGACAATACGTTCCACTGCACTTCTTTTCTTCACATCCAGTAGTCGTGGGAAATTGAGTAGACCTCGAGGAACTTGTTGGTAACCTCCTGTGACCATTGTGTGCTTGCCTTCCCATTCATTACCGGCGTCGAGATCCCAACCTCCCAAGCTCAACTTATTGCAGGTGATCGCATTACTGTATTCGAGATTTGCAACGTGCCAATTAATGAGCCTGAGATCAAGCGGAGTAAAATCAATCATCCTCATATACTGCCGAATAGCGTCATCAAATACTGACCCAAGTGTAGCATTCTCTTTACTCGTCGGTCGTTCAAGGTCTAGATCAAATTCAATGCCAACACCATCTCTAAGCTTCCATCCAATCTCGCGGGCTTTGTAAGCAGCAGTATGCACAGCTGGAATCCCGGGCTCCAAATGAGCTCTTCCGGTGAGCCTGTCTGATGCCACTGGCACCATTTGTTCGAGAGTAGATGATTTCTCACTTGCAACAGACTGCGTGGCAAAACTGGCTCTATTCTCAACCTCGCTAATTGTTCGAGATCCATCCCCATTGCCATCGCGTCCCGCATCTAGATGGTCTCTATCACCATCGATGAGAGGCGGTGGTGGAATTTTAAACTTGTACTCGCCAACGCGGTCGAGGATATAATTGAAAAGCTTTTCGGCATGCTGATCGCGTTCGAGGTCAACCGGGCGACCATCATCATATATCGTAGTATCTGGCTTCAATGGATGATAAGGCAGCGCAAGTTGTCCTCTTACAATAACGTTTAGCGGATTGCCACGATCAAACCCTGTAATAATCATACCGCCCATTTCTGCAGTATATCGACTGCCAGGAATTAGGGTTGGATATTCTGGTCGCGATTCGTATTGCCGAGAATATACTCTCCCACCAACTCGGTCTCTGCCTTCTATTATGACTACGTGGGGTAATTCCTCACCCATTTCATGAAAACGATCTTCGAATTGGGCGAAGAGGCTTTCTAACTGTCTAGCACAGCCTAAGCCAGACATGCCAGCTCCAATGACGGCAATAGTTCGCCTATTTCGTCCGGTACTTCGCATCTCGCTTTTATCTATTTTGGATTCCGGGTTTTCGAGACAACCGTAGTTGATATAACCGCGCCGAGCCAACCATTCGTGGCATATCCGAGCAGCTTCAAACCAACGAACATCTCTTGCACATCCAATAGCTTCATCTCTCATTACATGTATTGACGGATTGCGGGTCCAAAGCCTGAGGATTCCATTTCTGATATTAAGATACGTCGTGACCTGCTGATGGCTTATATGCCTACGTAACAAATGATACTCCTCTGGATGCAAAGTGTATGGACTGAGCCGTGATGATTCTGCTGCTGCGATGCACTGTCTGGCATATTCCGCTGGGTGAATATCCGTGGGTATCGATTCTTTCGGACGTACATTATATTTCTGTCTATTTTCATCCAAGGATGATATTTTTGTAACCTCTCCGAAATGCTTATCGACATATGCTGGAGAATTAGGGTGGCTTGACAGTGAGGACAGTGATGAGGTACCGTCGTCGTGATCTGTAGTCATTGAAGAGGCTAAAGAATCTCGAGCGCTTTCGGGCTTCAGGATTATGTTGCCATCAGAGGCGTATTTGGATTGACCTGCAGCTCTATAAAAGGTCAATAAAAAAGCCAACGGCTCATTCGGGACCCCACAAGCCAAAACGGGATGGTCGATTAACACGTACTTTTTATTGACGTCCGTACTAGGTTTGAGATTCTTGATAACCCTTGCACGGGATTTGACATCAGGTTGAAAATGACCAATAGAGCTGTCAACGATGATAGTATGCTCAAAGGTTTCAAAAGCTGGTTGTGATTCAATGGTATCGATGGTTGGGTCGAAGCCAGGAGTAGAAATAGTATCAGGGGTGGATGAATCTCTTGCGTTCTCCGTAGACTCAAATATAGCAAGGTGGGAATCTAATTCTTGAAATCCCATCAATGTATCGTGACCCAAGTCATCTTGTTGACTTATCTGGGCATCCATCGTGGTTGCCATGTCGGGAGGTCTACACCCTGTGACTTCTCTGGAATGCTTCGATATAAAAGTGTGTTGGCAGGGCTCAAAATTGCGAGACGACGAAGTGCCCATTGACAGGCCTCAAGCCGAATCAACCCCTTATTATTGTCCAATTCGATAGGATATGCTCTCAAATTTCTGCTTTGATAACGTCAGAACCTTCATATAGCTAACATATAGAAATATACGTCTTACACGTGGATTAGTCTCACCTCTGTCATTGAACATATTGCGATGGATGTCGCACACCGCACCGAGTCTCAGAAATGAAAATGTCCGTATATCATCGATACTCGCAAGCGAAACTTTCGAAAGTGTTTTTAGGACTCGAGGGAATCTGTTGATCGTTGTGTCGTACGATATGAATATATCATGTCTTATGGGATCTCGGCTGGGCAAAAGATGCGGATAGCGATCACGTGTGATGTTTATTTAGTTTTAAAACGAAGTTGACAAGGAACCCCAAAATTGCAATATTTCCGAACTTATTGTAGCGATGCATTCCAGACATCTAGGAGGGGAAGGTCATGGTGATGTTGTTGCACATAGTTTCATTGTTGGCAAATATTTTCATTTAGGATTACTATTATTGAAGTAGGCACTCTGCCCCTTTTATCTTTTGTTCATGATAATTCTCATTGTTCTTCATGATGTTACGTCTGGCACACTACTCCTGCCCAACGAGTCCTTCTCTATGGCCACATCCATCATTCGATTTCCGCTTATGATTGACGTTGTGCATATGATGATCTGCTTCCGTGCTGTATGTTTGTTAGTTAGTGCTGAAGTGTTTAAAGAGTAATACCGAAATGCATACCTTCTTCTTGCTTCGCGATAAACCTCAAAGCTGCAATTTCCGTAAATGTCACTCCACCTAAGAATACAACGAAAACAGTCTTCTTCTCACCACTGCCCGCCAGAAGAGCTTTTGCTTTAACAGCTTTATCTTCCCCTGCTTGTACCTCGTCAAAAGTCTGGCCTCGCACATGCTTCAATAGTTCATCAAATCCTCGCCAGCCTTGAGAGGCTCCACCAGTAGCGACATTCGCAGTATTATTCGCATTTGCTCCTCTGGTCATCGACATTAAATATTGCTTTTGTAATATGCATTGAACAAGGCGTATTGAGAGCGGCGCATAGCCACTGTAGACATAAGCGATGTCATTTGGATCGTGCTCGTTAACTTCATCAACAATTAGGCGAAGCTGTTTTCGCAGATAAGTATAGTCAGTATTGGTGCCAGGTTGGGATCCAGCCCCGGTCATAGGGATTATAGATGCCATGGGAGATGTTCTTGAAAGGAGTAACTGTAACTTTTCTAGAGCATCCAAGGTAAGCAGATGCTGGTAACCATAGGCCTGTAGAATCATTTTCTTGAATGTATCCAAATCCCGAGGTTTGACACCACCAGAGATGCATGACTCCAGGCACAAAAGTCGCAGAACTTCTGGAAGAGGGGCATCTCGAGCAATGAGCTCTTCGATGGCATCGTGCTGCGAAGAAGGATCGGCACCTGCAACTAGATTCTGTTGAACTTCTAGCAAACGGCTGAACTGTTCTGAACGAGTGTGTTTCATTATCTCCTCTGCTAAGCCAGTATGTATTTTCAGACTCTGTTGTTCGGCCTGGTAACCTGGAAGCTTGTTTACGAAATCTCGCAATTCTGCAGTACTTTTTGTTCCATGTCTACTTTCATAATCATCTTTAAGACGTCGTGCGACCTTATTCAATAGTGGCCCAACAATGGCAAAATTGGTGTCCCTCAATTGGGTATAAAGTTTATCGGACGAATCCAGAATTATTTTTCGCTTTTTGGCCTGGGCGGGTGCTGCTCCGACAGTTTTCGAGGACCCTTGAGCAACTTGAGGAGCCGACCCCACAATGGATGAGTCCACATCAGCTTGATTATGTTGAATGCCTACCGCTTCGTCAATTAACCCTTCATATGTCAATTGCGTCAGTAAGGGAGTCGCGTAATCAATTTCGCGATCGATAATAATGAGGCTTTCAATCGTGTTACTTGGAGAGAGCCCAAGCTTGTTGCTTTCATTGGTATCTTCGCCCGCGATCAATTCTTGTCGCATTCGTAAGAGGAGATCTGAAAGTCTTTTCGCATTGTCACCTTGCCCAGTCATTCGGGGAAACAGGCCATGTTTTTGTTGTATGAGCATCAAAGCACGTGCGAGGAGAAATGTCGGTGTTGGATCTTTTCGTAAATACAAATCTTCGAATGATTCGTCCAATTCTAATGACAAGAGGTCTTTTTCGAGTGGGAGAAAGTAGAGAGGAAATTCGGCAATACTGGTATCACCCAGTACTCCGGCTTCTTCAAGGATCTTTTCTGATACCAATGTTCTCCGTGGAACCCAAAATATGGAAAATTCATGTCCCGTTTGGCTCTCTCGCTGCATGCGCTTGATATGATCTGGGGTTGTCAGCACGTTCTGATAGCATTAAACACAAGGTGAAATCGAGAATACGCTTATGTCCGTGTTGTCTAAATATATAGAAATTATCCATGTAAGGGATCAAGACTGACCGAATAGAGCGGGAGAGATACTTCTATAAGGTCTACTTTCGAGATCCCATTAGAGGTTTGAGGGAATAAGGAGTCGCCAAAATGAACAAGCACTTACCAGCTATCGATTGAGCATGCTTCGCACTCTCGCCCCTAGCAATGAACACGACATTCTGCTGGCTGACATCTGCATTGCCATTCTCTAAAAAGAAAACCTTATCGACGCCATAATCTTGAAGAGTGGAAAACTTGACGATTATGCCGAGTGGGCCAGCCAAACTCTTATCAAGTACCAGATTCTTCTTTCCGCGAACCTGCGAGGAGTAACGTGTCAGCTGTGGCCCGGAGCAGCTTGGAGGACGGTGAGGCCTTACTTACGCCCTCTAATAAGTATAATAAATCCTTTCTCGCTTTATCTTTGATCTGATCTGTATCAAACCCAGCATGAGGAGCCATGATGAGCTCTACATGCGGGCTGAATAATGATCACAGATTTGATGGAAGAGGATGAGGGGAATGCTAGGGCAAGCTGTGGATTTCTTAAGATTCCAAGTACTTCGAGTACTTCAAGCTTTCCATGATTTGGTTCCGAGCTCATCGGATCTAATTTGAAGATTTCGCCGATCACATGAAGGAAGCTCCCCGCACCTCAAAGACAAGCGAGTTTTCCTGTACCACATACAAAACAAGTACTCAGCCTCGCGATTGTGCATAAACAAAAAATATCGAGCCTACCCAATGACTCAAAATCGAGGATATTGAAACCCCCAACCTTGTTAAAACTCCCTGTCGATATGAGAAAGTGAATGAAGGTCTTTCAAGCTCAATTACTTAGATCTGCGAGATCATCACGACTTTCACGACTTTCGCAACTTCCACGGCTTCCACAACTTTTACAAATTCCCAACACACGTTCGGCTTGGGCCCCCGCGACCCCCGCTCTCACAAAAGCAGAACGAAAACAATACTACGAAGAATTAAACATGGCTAAAGGACCAAAATTTGAGTTGAAGACTCCAAAGGGCACGAAAGACTGTAGGGAACCCCATACCTCCGTCAAATTGCTCTACACAATTCCAATTTCTATCTATGATTATCGACAAACATGTGACATGATACTTATATCTCAATAGGGCAAGGAAAGGATATGGTCATCCGGGACAAAATCTTTTCTACTATTACTGAAGCCTTCAAGCGCCATGGAGCAGTCACTATTGATACGCCGGTTTTCGAGTTAAAGGATATTCTTGCAGGAAAATATGGCGAAGACAGCAAACTCATTTACGACCTGGCAGACCAAGGTGGGGAGATTTGCTCACTCAGATATGATTTGACAGTACCATTCGCAAGATGGTTGGCCATGAACGGGAGTGTACAAAGTATCAAGAGATATCACATTGCGAAAGTCTATAGACGGGATCAGCCAGCAATGACCAAAGGTCGCATGAGAGAATTCTATCAATGCGATTTCGATATTGCAGGTGTCTACGATCCTATGTTACCCGATGCAGAAGTAATCAGGGTTGCGACGGAAGTATTTGAAGGTCTTGGCTGGAAGGGACGTTATACTATCAAACTCAACCACAGAAAAATATTAGACGGAATCTTCGAAGTTTGTGGAGTTCCAGAGGATAAAATTCGCACAATCTCTTCTGCGGTAGATAAATTGGATAAACTTCCATGGGAAGATGTGCGCAAGGAAATGACAGAAGAAAAAGGTTTGGCAGAAGATGTTGCGGACAAGATTGGACAGTACGTCGTACAAAAAGGCCAGAAAGACCTCCTCAGCAAATTGCAGGGCGATGAGAAATTGATGGCCAATGCTTCGATGAAGGCCGGTTTGGAAGATATGGATCTTTTGTTCGGTTATCTAGATGCATTCAAGTGCTTAGGGAACGTTTCTTTCGATTTGAGTTTAGCACGAGGTCTCGATTACTACACAGGAATCATCTACGAAGTCGTTACTGAAGGGTCTGCACCTCTTGTGAGCACATCAGCCGCTCCTGCTGGCCCACCAAAATCGTCCAAGAAGCCCAAGAAAGTAGCTGATGCAGATGAGGATCGCTCATCAGATCCTAGTGTGGGTGTCGGAAGTGTCGCAGCTGGTGGACGCTACGATAATCTTGTCGGCATGTTTGCTGGCAAGGGAAAGCAAATTCCCTGCGTTGGTATTTCGTTCGGTGTTGATCGAATTTTCTCAATCACAAAGGCTAGAATGGAGGAAGAGCAGACGACAGAGCAAGTGCGAAACAATGATGTAGATTGCTTCGTCATGGCATTTGGAGGAAAGGGTTTCACAGGGCTCCTGAAAGAACGAATGTCAATTTGCTCAACTCTTTGGGAGGCTGGTATCAAGGTTAGTAAAGGGTTTTCCCTGAGGATATCATTTACTAACAATTATCTTAGGCGGAGTTCCTATACAAAGTCAAACCAAAATTACCAAACCAATTTAAGGCTGCGGAGGTGAATGGTGTACCTTTCAGTGTCATCTTAGGCGAGGACGAAATCGCTCAAGGCAAAGTTAAGATTAAGGAGAATGGTCTGAGGGATGGACACCCGGAGAAAGATGGTGTAATGGTTAATCTTGACGCTTTAGTCTCCGAAGTCAAGCAACGACTAAAGAGAAAGGCTGATATCGATAACATGACTCGAAAAGCCGATGGTCTGAGAGTTGTAGGAGGCATTAAAGATGATAAATCTAAGGAAGATGCCATTCTTGCAAAAGACCATACTGCTGAGGCTCCTGCAACTAAGCCTACAGAGTCTGAAAAACTGACAGAAAGTGCCGAGCCTCTCGCGGAAAAGCCTGCAGAAGAAACTCCCTTATCCCAAGAAGCTATAGGAGCTGTTCCCACTTCTTAAAGAATTAAATGATTTTAAGCAATTCACATGTACACATTTGCAACGCAGTATCATAGAGTGTATGAGACCCAATGCATTGATGATCTATTCATGAGATCATGCTACCATCTAACGTGGCGCCATTATTTGTTTCCCCAGTTTTTGTTTCCCACTATCCCTAGGTAAGATGTTTCCAGATCTGATTCAATACGCACTAGCTCATGATGGCTTGGGGTATGAGATGACTATTCAGATATCTCGAAACGACGTGGGTGTTTGACATTTTCATGAACGGAGAACTTGTGGCTTGAAAAAATGACTTGAGAAAAAGTCTAGTAGATTGAATAAATAACTATCCATGAAGCATGGATGATAGCACCATATATCAGATTACACCATCTAGGATCTTACCGTATCTACTACCAGCAGGTACCCAGCCTTATGTACTTCGTAGTCAGAAAATATATAAGAAATAATAATGGTGCAGCCAACTTGGATGTCTTTTCCGAGGGAGTCCGTGCTAGCCGGATGCCAAGTAAACATCAGTGCATTTTTTGTTTCGGAATCGTCAACACTTCACTTATTCACAGACTTCAGATGTGAAGGATCATCATAAATTATATTTGGATGAACGTTTCTTTCCCTGAATTCATCTTATCACACTTGTGAAAAGGCTCTCAAATATGCATTGTATTATGATGATACTTATGCTCGAACAAGTGAAGCCTGTGAGTAGTGAAGCTGAGATGATGGTTGCCCGCACAGTCTTGGTTACAAACATTACTTCTCTTCTCTGGTATTATACCAATGAGAATTCGACACTGATACTTCCACTTCAATCTCTATACTCTTTTCCCTTTCATTTGTACTATGACCCTATAATTGGCTTTATTGCCTTATGAGTTGTTTCTTCCGTTTCATGTATCAATTCTCATCTCATGTTCTTGATGTAAACAACCCTTTTCACACGCCTTATGAATGTCAACAAACTACTCCAGGTAACGACCATACCAATTTAGATTCTGATTTATATGCCCTCATAATTCATATTACCACTGGATACTTGGGTTGATCTCGAGTGTACTGGTCCACAACATCCCAGTGGCTAACGACTTTTCTGGGTCAAAATACGGGAGCTTGCATCACGGATACCAAGGGTTTTCCGTCCGAAATCGATATCGTCCCTACAAACGGAGTCGAGAAATACGATAAACCTTTGTTACAGTAAGGATAATACGGCACAGCATTCTCAAAAGTGTAGGAGGGATGATACACCTTAAATTGCAACCGGTGGAAGGGAATTCAACATCCTCAAATTCTCCTACAACATCAATACCTTCATCGACGACACTTCCACCTAAGAAACAAAGACCAAAACCAATAAGGCCAATCTGGGACAGACTCATATTTCCTTACACTCTGGAAGATTGGAAGATCATTATGGATGAAGTCAAGAAGTTGTACTTAGGACGGCAATACAAACAGTGCACTGCACGATGCATCAATATTCTCGATAGCATCACAGATCCAGTATGTCAAGTTCAGTGATTTGTATTTGTCATACTAACATAATACTCAGTATCGGGTTCATCCTCTTTATTCACTTTTCCTGTCCTTTTATTGTGCCACTTGTTTAGAGATAACGGCATCGAATCTTCACAACAACTCTCCTCAAAAGCTTTCGCTGCTTCGAGATTCTTTATTGTACTTTCAAAAAACAGAAGAATATCTCACATACGCAGATATACCCATCGAAAGCGATGATCTGACACCAGCCAATCGATCCTCTTCGATGTCATCTACATCGAGTGCTCGTTCTTCTGTGGATTCCGTGTTCTCATCAACATCATTTCCTTCTACTGCAGACGGGCTCTCGCCCGCTTTCTCATCCTGCTCGTTCGAGGATGATAATGACGAAAAAAGTCCTACACGCAGACGCACACTCTCCGTGTCATCAATCGCATCGGCACAATCCACACAATCCACACAATCGACAGAAACCACTATTACCACAGATAGACCCGCACCACTGCGAATAAAAAAGAAAGTTTCTTTTTCTCCAGCATTACCCACATTGATATCCGCACAGAATCTTGAAAACTCAAGCAGTATGGAAACTATTCCCCGCTCTATTCAATCCCAATTTACACTTCCTCGACCTATAATCTCCTCCAAATGCCAGTCACCATCTCCGATTCACCCCTCTCTCAACATACATCTCACCAGCTATAATCTCAACCTCTCATCATTAACCACGCAACTTACCTATCATATCACACACGTCAACAGCGCCATCGATACCATCCAAAGTTTACGTAAATCTCGACGCAACAATCACTCTTCATTTTCCCCTTCTTTATTCAATTCCTCTGGTGATCTCAGTGACGAGGATAAAGAGGAGATGAGACGAAAGGGAATTCGAGAAAGGATCGAGAAATTGAAAAGTGCAGGCTGGGAAAAGAAAAGATGGGACGGGAGTAGATATGAGGCGTTGAGAAAGAAAGTTGATAATGAGCTGAATGGATGGATATGATATGATGATGATGATGTCCTTTTCCTTTTCGTCGCTTCTCAAATTTTGAATAATGTGTTGTTTGGACACGATAATGATATGAGTGTTTGGTATGATGATACAATGGTATGCTCATTGCAAAAATGTTGGATTTTAGGAGTGAGGTGGTTCAGGACGTATTGGAGCTTTCGCTCCAAAGTGTTGAGCTTTCAGCAATGGGCTAGATGTGTATCGAGTTGAGGGTGGATGGTTTTACGATTCGCTCTCGGTGTACCCCTGATGATTCGAACAAGGAATGTCGCAATATTGTATTTAAGGCTGTGACCGCAGCCCATGCATCTGGTTGCAGATTCTAGTACAGAATACTCGTACAGTAACTAGAACCAGGTTTCCAACGGAGATCTCGGTAAAAAGGAATGTGCGAGCAACTTTTGATCTCCTGTACCGTACTTGGTACACTTCTCTTCCATTTTCATCTTCAATTCCCCCGGTCGTTTTCATGCTTGTTGCACTGCGGTTGGCGATATGATTGATGGAAAAGACTCACACTTCACAACTCTATTCGGCCATGCATCTCCGTGGGTATACGACATTACAGTATTCCTACAGTAATATAAAAGATACCCACGGCCCAGTATTCATATGGTAAATATGAACAAGCTAAGCAGTGACTCAGTGAGAGATGCTAGCTGCTTGATGCTTAATTTTAGCGCCGATTCACTTACTGAAATAGTCCAATTTAAACTGGGGCGGTCTGAGGCTCAATCAGGAACTTTTATGGAGTTGTGCATGCGGGATGCGGGACGGGACATTCTTTCGCCCGAATGTTTCGATGATTAGTCAACACACAACACGTATGTACATGAAATCTTTTCATCATGAGAACTTGGAAGATACTTATTAGGTAGGTAGCATTTTCGCATATCTACTCGTAATGGCACTCAAAGCCAGAACATACATCTGTACGGAGTAGCCATTCTAAAGTCAGAGATATCAGATTAATCAGAGGCATACACACACACACACACACACAGAGTATCCATTATACAATCCGAGATATCAGATTAGTCAAAGGCGCCTTCCGGGTGCACGATCCCTCGGCATCCCTTAAGTTTTAAGTTTCTGCGGTTAAATCTTCCGCATCGAGTAAAATGCTTATGTCGCACTAATACATCCTTCCAAGATAAGGTTATTTCTTATTTCCTGTGCCCTATTTCCGAGTGGGAGAATCCCGTAAAGACAATCTCCCAATCTCAACTTGTCGTGTCATCTCATCCACTCGTCAACCTCACCTTTCGTAATGCATCCACTTATATCTGGCATTGATATTTGTAAGCAACCTTATTCCACGATAGGGATAGTGTAGTACGACGCAGCACTTTAGTTTATGAGTTTTAGAGTTTTCAGCTGGTTGCGAGCATTTACGGCACTTGGCTAGTCTGAAAGGATAGCGTGGAATCAGAATCCACTTGTTGAGCACATACCAGAAGACGATCAGCTTCGGATACGGAAACAAACATTACGCGTAGAACTAAGTGGAGGTATCGGAAACATACTTCCTGCATGATTTAGAAGCTGCTCATTGGCTCAATTTCTACAGTTCCATCTATTTTACCTCTTGGGATTTAGAACTCCCAGATTGAATCAGTCAACCCCTAATGTCGCGCACATGCGTCTGTAGACCGCTCATATGGGTGGAATTGTCTGTCTCATAGCAAGTCTTGCTAGACAGAAGTTCCTGTTCTCAAATTCTCGCAACGCTTGTCACATTTAGATGAGTCACTGTTCGCGTTGTCGCACATTTTTCAAGCTACTTCACTACGGAGTGTACATTGGCACCGGAATGTTCAGCACATGGATAAATCCTTTCCAGCAGCCGCAGTTCTGAACTCCGCGATGCTGGGAAACTAAACCTGGTGTGGGAGCCGTCGGCGTAGGTGCCATGCATCTTTTTACTTGAAGTGGGTAATACTTTGCAAATCATCAATCTTGGCATGAAGTTTACATGGCAGTTTCATTCTCGATGTACTGTACTTCAGACTCTGGGTTCATCATTTTTTGAACACTGCAAAAAAGTACTAGTGTGCCGATGCGCCCTGACGGTATGATCACCGAGTTGGTGGTGGGAAAACTGCTGGCTAGTTCATACATATATAAAGGCGATGACCTGCATAGAGACTCCAGCAGGAACCGTGAAAGTCCAAAGAACATAGCAGAAATGAAAATTTTCTGCATGTCTTCCATGGCACGAGAATGCTCTCGAAAGATAGCCGACTAAGCAATTTTCATTTTTGAGACATTCATCCATTCATCATCATTGATATGAGAGTTGCACGGTGCATCAAGTTACCAATATTTGAGTTAAAAGAAGATATAGTCGGTACTAAAAATAGACGGTGAACCAGAATCACAGTTTTAACATGGATTATTGGTAATATGGAATGTTGGTACAGGTATCTCGTTAGAGAGGGGTGTTGATATAAGGTTACTTCCCCGTTTGACCCTAGCGCAATGAGATAAAGTGCAGACAATAAATTAAGCAATATAATTCTTCCGTGCCACATTTCGCCTCATCATGTCCAATTCTTCATAGCTTTGTAACCTGGGCAAGGCAGGTTCAGTGATCTGACAAATCTATGAGTCAATGTTTTCAAGATAAAGTTCAAACCTGGGGTCCATGCAAGCAAGATGCAATATTCAACGGGTAAATATGGAGTGCGATGATAATGAAAGACATTGCCACTCGTCGGAATACCGTGGTCTTGTGCATATTTTCACGCCAAGAAAGGAGATTACGAATCTACACAGCTTTGCTACCAGTAAACCTAAAGTCCCCTTAACTTCTGCGAGTCGCTGACATTGGCCGTCGTTTAGTTCTTTATGTTTGAGTTTTGAGCATGCGGTATTCGGCAGTCATCGTTTGTCCGTCGTTTCGGAGGCCCACACACACCTGCATGCATACGTCCAACTTTCACTGAGCTTGTGAGCCTGCGGCTAACAAAACGTCCTCTAACGTACAGTAAGCTTTTGGACCTTGTTGTTGATTAATAAACTCTTCTCCAACGTTCAGCAAGCTTGTGGGTCGACGATTAATGTCTTCATATCCATACGCCCAGTAGGCTTGTGGGCCTGCGATCAATATACCACATGGGCGATGTAACATTCGTACGGACTTGGTACAAAAACATATAGTCCGTAGAAATGCTTTATATAGCTTGATATTTCTCAGTCAGATTGTAGCTTCACTACTCAGCCATTGTCGCTTTAGTTTACGCTCTCGCTTTACTCACAGGAGACATTTCAACAATACTATTCATCACCTATTCCCTCATCATCCTTCAATTTCCTCTTCCTAAACATGACGGGACTCGAAAAACCACTCATACTGATATGTGCCCTCGGCGCAGCCGGGCATATGGGCCCGTGCAAATTCCTAGCCAAATCCCTCAAGAAACGCGGCTATGACGTAACATTTACAACCGCGTCAGAATACGCACCCATGGTCGCGGAATTAGGCGTCGCATTTGTTCCTCTGCAAGGCCTTGCAGATTTCGTCTTTGATCCCGAAGCAATCGACAAGAGATGGCCTGAGCGAAGAAATCTTGAAGGCCCTGCAGAAATGCTTTTCGACATGGATAATATATTTTGTGAACCCATCCCATCACAATTCGAATCTGTCCAACGCGCTTTGAAACTCATGACGGAGAAAGATCCAGGAAGACCGGTTATTGTTCTTCAAGATCATAGTTTCTGTGGTGTCCTGCCGCTTCTATTGGGTGCCGAAGGCATCAAACCAGCAGGTGTTATCGCTATTGGACATACAGCTATGATGCTTTCAAGTCAGGACACTCCACCCATGGGAAGTGGAATGCTTCCAGATAGTTCGCCGGAAGGTCGCAAACGCAATATAGCTCTGCATGAAGAGTCACGAAACGGAGTATACCGGAAAATCATTGAAAACTTTTACCAGAAATTCGACAGATTGGGTGCCCGACGCCCAGAATACGATACGATTGATTCCATGTATGTCATCCCAGACAGGTTTATCCAACTCTGTACTCCCAGTGCCGAGTTTCCTCGGAGTGACTTGCCCAAGAATATAGTTTTCGCGGGCAATTTCCCGAGAAATCCTTCGGTTGGAGTCGTTGCACGTCCTAGCTGGTGGGAAGAAGTCACTACAAATCCATCCAAAAAGCGCATTATATTTGTGAGCCAAGGAACCATAGCGGTAAAGTATGAAGAATTAATCATCCCAACCATCCAAGCATTCGCCGAACGAGAAGACGTCCTCGTTATCGTAGCGCTCGGTATCAAAAATGCATCATTACCTCCCTCGGTAAAAACCCCCAGCAATGCCCGCGTGGAAGATTTCATCCCCTTCGACGATATCCTTCCCTACTGTGACGTGCTAGTGACAAATGGCGGATATGGAGCTTTCCGACACGGATTAATCAACGGGGTTCCGATGGTAATTGGAGGTGGTACGCAGGAGAAACCGGAAACGGCCGCGAGATGCGAGTGGGCGGGTGCAGGGATCAATATGCGCACGGGCAAACCCAGCGTGCAGCTTTTGAGGGACTCGGTTGAGAAGGTGCTGGCTGATCAGAAGTATAAGAATAAGGTTTTGGAGATTAAGGCCGAGATGGAGGCTGTGGATGCGATTTCTATTTTTGAGAAACATATTCTTGAGTTGGCTCAGGGGAAGACGGCATAGGCGTTGTTGAATGGTAATTGAGATCCGGGGTCGGGGGCTTTTATGCGGGGATGTGATGGGCATAGGATAGGGATAGGGCTAGGGCTAGGGCTAGGGCTAGGGGAGATGAGTATTTTGGTGAATGGGAGGGCGTTTGGATAGATTTGTTTCTGAAGGGGGAAGGGATACGGGACAAGCTACTTTTTCTCTTTTCTTTGGGTAATCTTTTGATTGTGGTTAGGGGCTTCGAATAGATGATGGGATTTCGAATTAGACGGTACATATCGCATCATATCATATTTAAATAGATAACTTTAGATAGTCGATTTAGCAATTACATCTCCATTCTCTAGATAACATATGGCATCCTTGAATGAGATTTCTTCGCTTACTTCGATCTGGATTTTTGCTGTTTGTTCCGTAGCTGGGCGTCTTTCCATCTTGACTTTTTCCTTTCGTCTTCTCTTTATACTTTCATACTTTAGTTTGAATGAGGAAGGGAGCGAGTAGTGGTTTTATTTTTGATTTTTGATTTTAGTTCTCAGTGATATATATAAGATAATATCTACCTAGTATACATATAAAGAATTGAAAGTGAATAAATTCTATTTTTATTAATCATCCGTCGAGATGTTACTCCGGATTTTGTATATCTAATTTTTTTTAATTTATATTGGTTAATATTGTATATAAATATATCAAATCAGTAATAGTAAGAATTATTAATAATTAATTTAATAAATTAATAATAAAAATAATATATACAAGATGCTATATAATAAAAAACTTTTTAGAATTTAATAAATCGTTAAGAATTCATCTTGAAGATTCTAGGATAGTGACTGTTGAATGATATATAATTGATGATTGATATATATATTTGGTAGATAGGTGTTCTTTAAACTGATATTAATATAAAGACTAAAGACAAGAACAAGATCATACGAATCATAATATCCCGGGCCCCAGCCGAAGGACGGGATTTATCCTCAAATTAAATTTCTTATACTTTTTAGTTACATATACACATATATATAATTATTCAGCTGTAAACTTCCAAATTCTAATACTAACAATGAGCCGAAAAAACCTGTACTAACCCCCCAAAACTCAAAAAACATCAAGTCTTATATACCTCCTTTTCAAGTTCTAAAACTTCGTCACTTTAAGTTTCCTCGCCAAGATTTATAGCCGAAACCTTAATACTCGGTAAGGTTAAGCATTCACTACCTATTGAAGAGCCCCATTACCCTTCTTCATCCTTGGGGATTTTTTGGTACTTCCATTAGTCTTATATAAAGTGTCTTCTTTTGATCTTTGTTGAATGTTGCTTCTTCTTCTTCTATTTATATTCTTGATTTTATGATCTTATTTATTGTTTCCTCTCATCGCTCATTTCTCCTATCTGTGTTTCTTCCCTCACCATCAAAACACTCGTCTATATCAAGTGTTTATCCACCATCAGACGGTTCTGCCTTCTAATATCGCCCATTAGAAGATCCCCTGTCATCGCTATCCCTCACCTCCCACTACCCATCATCAAAACACTCGATTTATCTTCTATCCACGATCTGAAAGTTCCTGCCTCTTCCATCTGAGTATTCTCTCCCAGTATTCCCTCTCAGACTTCACCTCTCACCTCCCATCCTCACAAACAACAACAACAACAATTCAAACACTCAAAAACACACAACCCCGCACAAATCCCTACACATAAATCACATATTGTTCCTCCACCTCTCATATGTATTTCCACTTCCATTTTCACTTCCTCTTCCACTTCCTCTTCCACTTCCTCTTTCTTTGCTCTTTCCCCCTCCTTTTTGTCTCCTCCCTCATCTTTCCCTTTCCTTCCACTTATTTCCCTTTCTATCTTTCCATCCGAATTATGAGTGACAGCAGAATAAGATTGAGTAGCAAAAAATTGCATAGTCATTGGTGAAGAAATAGGACGCTAGATTTGTTAGTTTCACACTCTTTGTCAAAAGAGAAGAATGAAAGGAGAAACAGAGATTAAGAGAAAAATATAGGTGAAAATAGAAATAGAAATAGAAATAGAAATAAACTAACAGGTTGCTCACAAACTCTCTGCTTAGCACCTCCAACAACTTCAAACTCCAAATCAAATCCATCTAATCCATCGAATCTCACAGATTGATGACACGGCATCGGTAATTGCAGAAGCTGGACGGAAGTCATTTCTTCTCTGCCTCTTTTCTTTTCCTCGCCTTTCCTTCACTTCCTTTCTCAACTTGAGTCTTTTTTCCACCAAAAAACACCTTCTCCCCCAAGAAAGAAAAAAAAGACAATCTAAAATCTTTCCTTAAATCTCAATCAAATCTCAAAAACAGTCCTAAAAATATTAAGTCTAGAAAATTAGTCAATCAAATCAATCCTAAAAAAAAACAACTAGCAAGAAAAGAAGCTCGGAAAACCAAAACTACATATATATATATACAAATATATATACATATATAAACAATCCCCTCCCCCATTTTAGGGGGTTTCCTTATCCCACTCCTCATACTCTCATACTCTCTACTCCCCATTTTCTATACTCCTCATCCTTCATCCTCCCTCTCCCTTGAGCCCTACAATCCCACCACTCCTCTCCAAAGTCCATCTAAACGCCAGGAACACTCCCTCTACAAAGCCCAAGAATCTCACAAAATTCCATAACCGCCCACTAATACACCAGGTAACCAATCTACCAATATACCCAAACACACATACCATCCAAATGTAAGCGCGCGCCTCAGCCACGATTGATTCTTCCCCAACTTCTCATAGAAAATTATTTACTAATGAATCGTATATAAGATATTCGATTCATATGTATATCTACATGTATATATAAATAACCTATATAAATATCTCTCTAATCACAGACCTCAAACCTCAAACCCCAATTTCTAAATCCCCAATCCTACTTTAAAATCTCCAAGCTGGGAAATGTTTATTTTATTTCCAATTTCCTCTCCACCCCAAATTCAAAAGAAACAACTTCTATATCCTTCTATCTTCCCTTCTCCTCTTCCTCTCCTCCCCTCCCATCCCTCTCCTCCTCCCTTCCCAACAGCTCTCCTCCTCTGAACCATAAAACCCAACCCATTACTATCTATCTCTATACTCCTCCCTCTCCCCTCTACAACCATCCATTTATTAAGCATTTCAACTATGAGTATCTATTATATTAAAACTGTTGTATATATATATAGATATAATCATTCGAGTAGTTGGCTTTATCAAAAATCTCAAACCTTCAACGTTTTTATACATTCCATAGAATGATCATCATACCAAGGACTTACGCAATAATAGATCATAACTAGTACTCATTCGTATAGATAGCACTCGCTGAAGATAAATAAATCACATCGCGTCACAACATATCAAAGTAATCCAAAATCACAACCAAAAAATATAACCGCGAGGACATCACGCCAAAAAGATACCCAACTCCATCAAAGTGGAAAATTTCTTCTCATTTACATCTTCGCACGATAAACCCCAACCCAAATCAATTCAATGCGCCATTTCAAGTATGCCATACCATACCATTAAAAACGCCAACCCATCCATCCATCCATCCTACCAAACCAGAACCCCCAAACCAATGTAAAATGCGTCTGTCTATGTATGACCGACGACAAAAATCCCATGTGCCCAAACACCGTGCATGAACGTACTCTGCTCAAGTTATGTACTCAAAAGTCATATACCAATCCCTGTTATTAACAAATGGATCCACTTCCTTCAACCCCAAAATCGAGAAAATATCTATTTCTTTGTAGTGTCATCACTGTCATCCTCTGGTCTTGAACTTGTGCTTCCTACTACCGTTGGACTACTTTCCCCATCGTATAATGGATCATAGTCTCTATTTCCTGACCTTAAACCAATTCGTTTATTTCTTGGGGTTTCTGGTCTAGTCTTCGTATGGACTTTTGCCAAAACTTCATCATCTTCCTCCACGGAATCAATCTGATCAATGCTTTCGCTTGGGTCGGCATAACGTTCTTCTCTTCCTTCCACATCACTATCGCTGTCTTCGCCTGGTATGAGTTCATGATCAGGTTTTTGATTTTTGATGAATGAATCGATGATATAGTATTGAGTTGCATTCATAATGACCGGGAAGATTAGCATGACGAATATGACTTGTAATGCTGTATCACCTTCCGTCCATCTCAAAGCCCAATCTCCAATTCGAGAGATCCAAGGCAGAACAAGGAAGATGATGAGCACGCATATTTTCATACCCATCAAACCAATGAAATAAATGATCGATTGTTTGAACCACCAGAATGCTTTTGGTGGGTGACCATAATTTCCTGATTCGATCGATTCGGGAGGATTACCAAATGGTGTCATAAGGAAGAGCGCAGTAAGTATTCGAAGGAGGAATATGAGTATGGGAATGCCAATCGTTGTCTAAAGTAAAAGTTTAGTATACATCGGTGGACCATGGGTAAATATACTTACATCGATAGCCAGATTCAGCAGATAAAAACTGCAAGGATTTGGCGTATACTGTCCAGCATCATCCACCATTCTTGTAGACACACTACTCGCATCTAACTTAATACTGAATTGTCCACTTGATAACATGCTCATCAACAAGTTTGCGATATGTACCAACACACTTCCAAACACTTGTTTCGAGACATCGAAGAACCAAATCTTCATAGGTCGTTGAGGTCTTTCTCTCCATCTTTTATACACTAATGCCATCACAGCCAATAGACCCAAGGCGCCCTGGACTAATATGGCAAAATTACCAAGAAGTTGGCATTCTCCATTATCTGGTTTCGACTGTATATTATCATTTGTTGCCACCGCAGATGATGAAGTTGTCGTAGAGGTAGGATTCACAAGATCGAGTAACAACGTCGTCGAAGCTGCTATCGCAGATGTAAGAATTGATGTGGGAGAGGCATCGAATGTTGATGTGGGCTCCAAGCCCGGTGGCGGTAGCATTAGCTGTCTTGTACGACGAAAGTCGATATTCTTGAAGGTGTATAGGAGGATAGAGATTCGTGGTGAAATGTAGATATTGTTACGTGATCATCTGCGAAAAAGTGATAATATTGAATATCGAGAAGGTTGGATCGTTGTGGTGTTTGAAATACCCGCAAACAGGGACTCTTAAGGTTATCTTTAGTGACGGGATCGTTAATGACGCAGTGACCTCAAAGAAGAAGAATAAGCGATCCTGATCAACAGTAGAATAATTGTTCTATCTACGAAACAATTCGAACAGTCAATAGCTGATAAAGGATGATATAATTATTGAAAGTATGAAGATAATGCAACTTGGGATGGAAGTAAATATACATCAATGAGATGAACATCTAAAATCAGGAAAGGAATATTGCAAGCTGAATCAAAGTGGCGGCTATGGCTACCTAGGACTCAGTAGTATGTATATGTTGATGACCTAAATTTGAGGATTGCGGCTTGTGCCTTGTGCATTCTAGGCTAATTGAAGATTTTCATCCTGTGAACATAACTTGATTTGATATCATCAATTTAAGCATTTCCCATGGCTCGTAACCATAAATTAAGGTTTCATATATCTTAATTCTTCTCCACATGACAAGTGATAGCTTGTCTATTTTACTCCGTACTCTGTATAAATATCGCTTTTGTGTCATGGAAGAAAATGATTTTGACATCCGAATGCAAAATACCCCTTTTACATTTGACCTACCCAATGAAATACATAATTCAGTTATACCACATCTATTGGCTTAACTTGGATGAAGCAATATGAAACATGAGCTGCTGCATCGTTCGCTGTCTTAAAACATAAGGAGCCTTTTACTGAAACGAATTCGTTCGATTTTGAAGATATCGCTTATAGAGAAACGAAATATGTGACTTTGAGGATGTCAAGTTGACGGATTCCTCCTATGTATGTATCAATGAATTATTACCAGTGGTGTTGCGATCACACAGCGCTGCATAATAGCATTGTGATAACGGTGCATCTTGCGATTCGTGGAAGTGCTTGGCACAGAGAGCTTCTTAGCATGGACGGAAGTTCCTAGTCATTCCTTATAGGTCGCTGAAAGCAAAGTATGAAATTCATCATCATCAATCATCAATCTTCATCGCAGAGAGACCATCAATTTACCCCCTCCATACACCCACACTCCAGTATAAATAAACAAGCCACAAACTAATCAACCATCCACGCATAAAGTCGCCGCATACCAAAGAAATCAAGACCAACCAGCCTCACTCCATCAATCCATCAACTTTCCCCAACCGCAACCCAATCCCTCTCCCTATCACTCTTCCTCTCAACCCAAATCATCTCACAAAACCAAACCCCAAGATGCAACCAAACCAAACCTCCACCCGGTCCTTATTCACCCCCATCCCCAGACGACAATCTACTTAGCACTAGGACATTTCTACACAAAACAAACAAACGATTAGCACACACTCATCACACACATCATCTCATCCCCCTCATCCACACATCCTATCCCCGCAAGCCCTCAACCCAACCACACACTCCATTCCATTCCCTCCCCTTCCCTCGATCCAAACCCCAAACCCCAATTAAAAGAAAACTCAAAGAAAAAGAACTCACAGCACCACACTTGCAAACATAAGTATCCTTATTCGCGCCCTCAGGATACGCCTCGCCACAAGTACAAGCCGTTCCACCATAATTCACGAGGACGAGAAGCGATTGCATTTTGATATTTGCTTTTTGGTATCTTATTTCGCGTTTGCGTTTGCGTTTGTATACTCGGTAGGTATATATATATATCTTCCTCAAAGGGGCCGGGTGAGATATTCGCAACTTATAGATTATCGATGAACGATTAAAGATTGTAAAGAAGTAGAAAAGGTTCAACGTTTTATACGTTTCAATTTGTAGTTTGGAGTTTAAAATTTGAGTTTAAGTTTTAACAATGAATACACCTCAGCAACTCAGATAGAAGAGGGGTAACAATTCACCTGGTCGAACGGTCAAGTGATCGAGTTGACTCGAGTCCCTACAGAAAACAATACGGAGTACAACAATCTCCCTCCCCCTCCTTTCCCCATCCCACCTTCCAAGTCCCCCTTCAACCAATCAACCACCCACCCAACCACCAAACCCCTATATAAATCTACAATCTACAATCTATACATCTCAACACACAGCACAACGCAGCACAGCACACAGCCCCGCAGGGAAATACCTACGTACCTACATACAAACCTAGTAACCATAATCTTGTGATAAGAATCCAATCCAATCCAGCCAATCACAACACTGCACGTACCTAGCATTTATCCATTTTATTCACTTATTTATTTATCCCCATCCATGTCATTTATGCATGCATAATTATGCCCTCGTGATGCATACATACCTACCTACTAGGTAACACTCTTTATGTAAGCCAATTTCCCGTCCCATCGCCCCCAGCACGAGTCATAGCGGATGAATGGATGCTTCGTTTCGGCAGGAAATGTTGCATGTGGTCTTTATACGCCGTGTTACAATATAATATTACGATCCTTGGGTTAGGCAGAATCTTACCTGTTCCTTTGCTCTATATCGGATGTCGTACTGACAAGGCAGAGATACAAGGCAGGAAGACAAGGCAGGAAGACAGTGCAGGCGTTCTTCGAAATGACTTGAGACAGTGTATGTGAGCGAGTGAGTAAGATGAGTAAGTTAAGTAAGATAAGTGAGTAGAGTGTGAATCAATAAGGCTCTAGTGTAGCAATTTTGCATTCAAAGCAGAGCATACCATATACAACTGTAAGTAAGCACCGAAGAAAGAGGAGAACCAACTTTGCGAGTTAGAATCATCTTTTGAATAGAAAAAATATCATATCCCCCTTAGCAGAAGCTCTCCACATTGCATATTGAAATATTTGCACTCTCCCCACAAAGACGTAGAAGAGAAGAGTAGCAAGTCAAGTTGAAAAGGAAATAAATCCATGTAAAAAGCCAGGGCCGTCCCCTTCAGTAAAGTAACAACACCGCTTAACGCCTAGAAACCAATCCCCGCACAAGAGCAAGGAAAGAGGTATTACGCCTTCCACCTGCCACCGCTGCACCTCCAATCTCACGATGATGTTCCAAATGTAGATAATTTCCTCCCTTTCCATGCATAGCAGTCGTAGTAGAAAATTTCCTGGCCGTAACTGGTGCAGATTGTGTTCGTTGTGTTTTCTTATTCCTAACATCCTCCAATGGTGAGACATTTCCAACCCTGGATGACGGGCCCATAGACGCTGTAGACTTCGTACTTGATACGGCGTTTGGGCGGACTAGGGGCCCGTCAAAATGTTATTCGATATTGTTCGCGGTTTTGAGATGTTCTAAACTCGCTTTGCGAGCAGCGTATGAATCCGATTGATTTGAGTTAGCGCGCATCTTTTCCATCTTTTCCGGTTGATGATAGAGAACTATTTGTGTAAATATTAGTAAGGACCTCGACTGAGATTGAGATAGATTACAAGGACATACCGACTAGATATCTATTTTGAAAGTTGAACCCATTCAACTTGTCACAGGCAGTCTTAGAATCCGTTACGTCTTCGTAGACAACAAATGCCGTACCCTTGGTGTTGGTCGCGATACCTTGACGAATTTGTCTGAAATTCTGTTAGCACAATGCACCCTCCATGATCGAGCCGCCCATTTCCACATAAATATCCGACGCAGGTCTTTGCCCGAGGTTGCTCCCTCCATCTGAAAGTACATACCGAATGGCGCCGAATTTGCCAAACAAATCGAAGAGTTCTTCCGGCGTTACGTTGTAGCTGTTATTCCAGAATCCATCAGCCTTATGCGCCTTCATTCCATTTCCATGGGCACCAAATCCAAAACCCCATCTCCGAGTCCCAACACCTGCTCTTTCCTGCATCAATCCACATACCTTAGATTCTTGACGAACAAAGCTCTACATTCAGCACATATGTTAGCTAGTAATTCTCACTTCCGACAGCCAAGAGCTAGAAATGGTCGTGCATACCGATTAACCTCAGGAGCAAGTTTACCACCTCGATTCATAGCTTGGCTAAAAATTCTCTTCCTTTAATGATTTCCGCTCTGTCGGGTCTTATATTGTTCAATTATTAGGTAGTGATAAGTTGATGTGAAAAAAGTGTCGTGGTATGGTGTATGTAATCGGAGGGGCGCACAGGTGGAAGGAAGTAAGCCTTCTTTTGTTCGTTGAAGGTAACGGGATCCGAGCTAGTTTATATTGAGGTTAGCGTCACTGCTGCCTTTGAAATTTTTAGGATCCGATGAGATCTTGATAAGATTAGATCGTTTTTGATGTGATGATGATTTGAGAATCAGAAAGTTAGAATTTCAAAAATTGGAATTGTTCTTTGTTCTAAGACTTACTATTTATTTTAGTAAAAGAAGGATAAAGGATTAGTTTTTATTCTCGGTGGCTATGCCTATGGTCTTTAGATTATTTCTTCCTATATATACCTACCTAATATTCAGTCCATCCGCCCGCCACGTTGCTTGATTTGCTCTTAAATGGGATTGATGGAACACCATGAACATTCACAGCCTTCATGCTAGTAACCATTTTATGATTTGTGTTTCTAACCACGATTTCTATGTGTTACAATTACAACTGTGGCCTCTTCATCTCTTTCTTGCATATCTACCCACTAGGTAACGTTCATGGATTGGAATATTTACTGAAGTATTGATCATGGCATCGCTCGCGGCTGTCACAAATTAAGTTGCCACATGCGTTGTCGCCCCGTGTCAAGGATCCCCATTTCGTCCATATGATATTAGTTGCCTAGGCTGGGCCACACGCTCGAATTTGTACTCTGTATACAGCGGATGTAAAGGAAAGTGGCACAACATGATTCTCATGCAGAAAGTCTGTCCGTTGTGCCAAAAGCCTATAGGGCATGCTATGCGAAGCAAACACTTTCGGGTTCAGGCCAGATGAAGAGTACGACGCCTTGAAGAGGATCAATTGCTATTTCTATATGCAATCAATTACCACGTTATATATACTTCTTTGAAATCCCCTTTCCCTTTTAAAGTCCCATTCTTTTGATATCCACTTATGTGCAATGATTTTTCCTTATCAACTATGACTTTTGTTCCTGTTATAGTAAATCGTCTCTCTGCAGGAACCCATCCACTCTCATTAGCCCATTCCTCTTCTACATCTCGCGCGAATCCGGTTACTCGTGAGCAGGCATCTGAATCCCAAATGCCTTCTCGATATCCTTTCGCTTCCTTGAGAATATCAATCGCTTGACTCCTTAGTAGTCTATTCCGACAATGAGATCCGACCATAAACATTGGAAGTATTATCCCAAAGTCAAAATGATACTTCCCCTCTCCTTGGATTATACGCCGGCGGAGTTTCATCACATATGTCATGATTGTATTAAACTCCGCAAGGTAGTCATCCCATTCAGAGGCATCGACAATAAACACACTTGATACTTGTATCATCATCATAGCCACCTGTATTTTCGCAAGGCATGCTGCCAAAAATTCACGGGAATCTTCGGGAGCGCGTAATCCTTTCCCTATCCACGGTGCTGCAATACTTTCCCAGCGCGCAATGTCATCAAGATATGTAGCACAGTCCTTTCTCAGGGTCGGGTTAGTACTGCGTATAACTGCAACAGAAGTCCATGAGCAGTTCTCATCTCTGAGATCTAGTCCTTCATCATCCGGCAAGTCGACTATCGGGCTTTCGCCATTCCTTGACCTTTCCTCAAGTATAGTTTTTCGTGCCGTTGCGATCCAATGGAAATTTCTTCGCAAAATAATCTGCCACCAATCGTGGCATTCTTTGATATTTGAAAATGATAAAGGCATCGATAGCAGCAAATGATCTAAATCACGAGTTCGTTGCTTGTGCAGCTTTGATGATCGACGATCAATGACGCAGAGGGCCTGAAGGTCAAGATCTGAGAAGGCCCTGCAGAGGTCATCGTCAATGGTACTATCTTGCTGGCAGCTGAAGGGATGACGGCTCTTGTTTTTTCGGTCGAGCATAATTTCATGAAGGAGGCTTTCTCCACTAGCAGCATGAGAAGCGGCTGTGGCAAGATGGCCCTGTATACTTTCGATCGAATACACCAGTAGACAAGCAATGAGTGCTTTACGAGCATTGTAACGGCTTCCGTTTAGAGCTTGTCTCATTCCGACGAGAGCTTTACCATACTGGTCAAGGCCATGTTGACGGTGTAAAGACGCCTCTATACCATTTGTTGTGCGCCCTTTACTAAAGGCTCCAAGGGCAACCAGAGCTTGCCCAACGAACGGCTCAGATTCGCTTGCTTGGGGAATCAATCGTTCCCAAACTGATCGGTTGAACAATCTACCGATATCGCCTGCGAATGTTTCGCAGAAATAACGAAAATATTGAGAATCTTGTTCGCTTCCTAGTATAGGGCCGCATGGTATATAAAAAATCGTTGGTCGTGACTGTGAAGGGAATTCTACCAAGTCCATTGGATTGGTGCGCTCTCGAGAGGATCGTTGGGCAACGTATGATGGGTACCCTTCACATTGTATTCCAGTCTTCTTACACCGTTTGCAAGAAGGTTTTGTTTCCTAATATTCGTTAACATCCGCCTTCTCAGGGAGTGGTGGAATTGCCGTTAGATGCTTCGACTGATCAGCCGACAAGATATTACATACATCGCATTTGACTCGGCGTGCTCTAGAAATTCGGTAATCAGCTCAAGTTATTTTAGTATTTTCGATGTACGACATTGTAATATGGGGATAAGCCTCGCATACTTGCATGTATAGCATCCCGTCTTAACCTTTTGATGTTTCACCCGGGATTTCTTGGAATCCTCCGAGGTAGCGTTGATCGCCTCTAAATTTTTAAGAAGCTTTCTCTCATTTGATGGTGGAGTGGTCATAAACTTTGAAAGGCGAAAAGGCTTCATTGTTGCTGTTCTTGCATTGCAACATCATGGGCGAGATATTTCCTCGTCTCCATGTATCTGAATTATGTTAAGCGCTGTGCATGCCCTTAAACAACCTGAAATTCTTGGTGGATCATTTCTCAATGACTCAAAATGGTGTACGTCTTGATTGATGTGATTATTTCACTTGAATCAGTTCACCAAATGTGTAGGAAGTACTTGTCAATAACGAGGAGGGAACGGAAGGAACACTAGACGAGGGCTCATCAACCAACTGGACGCATCGGCCAACTGGACTGCCTAACCTAATTAGGTCACCGTCTAACATATTCGGGGCTTAGGAGCCTATATTCAATTCGAAAGTGCCATTCTGGTGATGTATCGCTCAATTAGGCTACTAGTTAGACATTCAGCTGGCTGGTGCGTCTAATTAGCTCATGAATCCTTCTAGTTCTAGTACCCCCGTTAAGGATATGCATAGAGTATTCTAGAATAATAATGATCAATTCAATCCTAGCATTGTTAAACTAAAGTAAGATTTTGAATTTATAAATCTATTAATAATTAATTTTTATCTTTATAATTTTATTTTATTAATTTTGATTGAATTATTAAATAAATTTAATTATATTTTTTTTAAAATATCAAAGATTATTAAATTAATAATTTTATATAATATTTAATGATTCTTATAAAAATATTAAATTAAATAAATATAAATAAACTATATCAAATTCCAAAAAAAATCATTTATTTTAAAGTTTGATATTAAATTAATTAATAAAATTTATTTATTTAAATTAAATATTTATTATCAACTTGTCGATATTATATTCTTACTATATACAAGGTTTACCCGGTGTAGATAATAAAAAATAAAAAACTCGCTTAAGTGAGTCGCGATCCTGACAATCTGATTGGTTTAAAATACCCTGATAAATAAATCTAACAAAAAACTTAATATAAACAAGCCTTACAACCTTAGATAAATCTGACTTGAAACTTTTTTTAACTCAACTCAATTGAAATCATCAACTCATTTAAATCAACTTTATTTATTCAATTCATCTTATTCAATTCAAAATAATAATAATAAAATAATAATAATAATAATAATAATAATAATAATAATAATAATAATAATAATAATAATAATAATAATAATAATAATAATAATAATAATAATAATAATAATAATAATAATAATAATAATAATAATAATAATAATAATAATAATAATAATAATAATAATAATAATAATAATAATAATAATAATAATAATAATAATAATAATAATAATAATAATAATAATAATAATAATAATAATAATAATAATAATAATAATACTATAAAATATTATTATTATAAATATTATAATTATTATTTTAAATAAAAAATTTAATTTTCAATTATCAAAACAAATGAATATTCTGTCTGTACTCTGATATATATTCAATATCTATTTATTATAAAAATTTTAAAACTTAAATTTTTATTAGACTTTCTCGAAGCCAGGGATCCGGGGCGCAGGCCCCTGGTATTAATTGACTTTTATAAATAGTTTTATATTTTCAAATTAAAAGTTTTTTTTATTCTTTTGAATATTAAATTTTTAAAATTATCTAAAGATCTTTGAAAAAAATTATTTTGATTTTAATATTTTGATACAAAAGAACAAATTTAGATTAATATTGATCAAATTTGAAAATTATATTAAGATTGATTTTATTTTATTTTAATCAAAAAAACATAAATTTCTCTTCAAATGTCAGGAATTCGGGTAATCTGATTGGCCAATATGATCTCTGCTAAGCGATGGCGGTCGTTTTCGGCATCCTAGGGGATACAGATTCGACCTGTTTGTCTGGGGTTCTCAAATCAATCTTCTGAGTGCCTTTTCGCAGTTCTGAAAATTTCAAGCCCACGAAAACAAGGTCATGTCAATAGTGTACGTAGTTAGTATTCAAGATTGGATTACAACCATGTCGGTGGGGAAGCATGCTTATGGGTCTACCAGGTACTTGCAGGACCCCTCCACTTATATTAGCCGAGATCTAGTTCCACACCAAAGATAATTAAATTATGTAAATTTCTAAAATAAAAGGTCAATAATTAAATTCTTATAATATTATTAATTAGTTTTACATTAAGATTAAACTTGATTATTTTAAAACTAAAAACTCTTATGTATTCAACAATAATAAATATATATATATATATTTTTTTTTTTAAATAAATTAAAACAAATCTTATTTATTTACTTATTTTCTTTATCATATAATCTAGAAAAATAATAAAAATAAATCTTAAATTTTATTATTATTTTAAATCAAAATATTTCATATCTTGAATTTGAATAATCATATATTATTAAATAAAGTTTTAATAATTTATTAAAATCAATGAGTTTAATATAATAACTCTACTTAACAAATAACTGTGATCTAATACTTGTAAGTATAAGCAGTATGATAATCTACTCCCTTCTTGTGATTAGCAACGGAACAAAACATTAAAGCCTCGGCTAGTCAGATTCTGGGGCCATCTATGTCAGGAGAGTGGTGGTCGAGAACAGTTGTGCTTGCCATTCTATGGAACTTATTAGAATGCCACACAGACAAGTGTTTGTGGAATGGTACACTAGATACTATGAGTATATGAGAAGGCCAATTCCGAAGCACCAACAATTGGGCTACTTTCGCCCGTTTCTTCAGTGTCTAGATGACTGCCATTAGACTTTATAAGTTCTTTGCACAAAGGAGAAATTTATACCAACCACACTGACCCATATTTTCCCAATGCTTTCATAAGAGCTTCGGCTGGATCGTATGTTAGTGGCTGAATTTCAATGAATCCCACTCAATGAAATCCTCTAGCCACGATACCATATATGTATGATCTCTCGAACAGCCAAGTCGTTTCAACCTACAATCATGTGGCTAATGGTGCTGTGCAGCAAAGCGTACTAGCCTCTAGGTGCCCCTATAATCGTTGAACTTCCCTATAGCTTACTATTAATAAACTTTGATGAACTTCCCCTTGTCTATCAAGCTATTAGTTTTAACAAACTATCCATCGCGAAAGCCACTGCGATTGAACGTCGCAAGTGTTTGCTGGCACATGGTTTAACATTTTCAAGAAAACTCGACTTCGTTAACATAGAACCGATTTGTTGGAGGCCACAGCCGGTCCTAGAGTTTAAGGAATCGGCGGGTAAGTACTACTTAGCGGCCCATTTCCTCCTGACATTGAAGAATACCGCAAATGCTTCATGGAGGAGCATCTTAGTGAAACAGAAAAGAAATCAGGTGTTCCGGAAATAATCTCACGATCTGTCAAAGAAGAATTTCCTTCAAGACGTCGTCAGGTATTGTCTATTCATTGTCAAAGATTCAAGCTGACCGGAATGTAGGATTTCATTTTTCTTCCCATCAATTATTCATCGTCAGTTTCTTACATGATAAATCCTTCTTCAGTATATCTGTGTAAATCCCAAGAACTTTCTTCTTTTGATTTTGATGTAGAACAATATATAATCACCCACAACGGCTCTCTTCACACAAAATCTTACCTTTCCAACATCAAATCCCATCTCCTATTTTCAAATCCAAACAGAACTAAAGGCCATAACACATCCCACAAAATGTGAATAAGAAAAGACCGTCTCCTTGACCAGAAAAATAACCCGCTAGACTGACCATAAAACTTTCGCCAACAACTAACGTCACCGGCCCCTACCATGACCCTAGGCGGCCATTTGATATTATCCTCTAGAAAAAATCTGTATTTGATATCTTTTTCTTGCCGTCTAATCTTCATCTCCTTATCCCTTACTCCTGACTCCAAAAAAACCCCCAGAGAACACAAAAACAAAAGCTAAAAGATGCCAAGTAGCACAATTTCCACCCAAACCTCATCATCCACATCCAAATCTTCATCATCACGCCATAGCAGAAGACCAAATTCAACCTCAGCTTCGAAATCTCCAAATGCAGAGAAATCAAGACGGCACGGAGTTCATCATAAGGTATTTATATACATACATAGAATAAAAACATAAAAATACAAAAATTAATAGGTCAATTAAACTGATATATACATGCCATAGCAATCGTCAACAGGTATTCCGTTTCTAAGCCCATTTTCAGCTGCAGTTGAACGAGCCAAAGAGGAGGACTCGAATGAGGGTGATGAGGATGATGAGGAAGAAGAAGAACCAAATGATCATGAAGGAAAGCAAGAAGAAGAAAGCGATGACGAGGAAGAATCCGAAGAAGTCGAAGAAGTAAGATCTTCCCCCTCCTAAAATCATCATGTAAGTCATCTACCTGCAATATCCCATATGCATAATATAACCCTAAAAGCACATGCTCATCAACCAAAGCGCATCCATCATCATCCTTCACCGGGAAGACGAAGAAGAAGAAGAAGAAGAACAGAAGCTAGAGATACTTCGACTTCCAATCACTCATATAAAACATCATCAACCCACTCAAAAAGATCCAGTAGAAACGATTTATCGAGAAAAAGAGGAAAAGAAAAAGAAAAGAGACGGGAAAAAACTAGCACCAAAAACAAGAGTAAGATTAAAAGTAAAGAATCCCTCACTCTCTGGAAGAAAGTCAAGAAAGTATGGGGAAGAGTTACTGGATCACCTAGGACAAAACGCACTATATGATAAACTGGTATAGATTTTCGATATTGAGATTTTAGATGTTTATAGTATTATAACATCAATAAACTTATACGATATAGATATATGAAACCACTTCCACCCCATCCCATCCCGTCTATATTTGCGCGTCCTCCATCTATTACATATACCCACCCACAATCCACTACAACACCTGTCTATCTACCCACCTAACCCCCTATATACACTATACACATACTCTAATCCCTCCACTACATCCATATATAATAAATATATCATAAAATAAAGTATATTCTACTCTACTCTACTCTACTCTACTCTACTCTACTCTACTCTACTCTACTCAAAATCAAGTCATCGCATCGCAGCGCATCGCAGCGCATCATTCTGCACCACATAAGCCCTTCTCACCCATCCACTCGATCCTTCCATACTCCTTAGATTATTCCCCTTACCCATGCTCAACCATCCTCCTTCAATCATCCATCCATCCACTCATCCATATATCCATCCATATATCCATCCGTCCCTCCTTCCCCATCTGTTTAATTCAGAATCACATACAAAAAAGATATCTATCTATACTCCCACGCCCTCTCTCCTTCACCCCTGACTCACCCAGATACATAATCAAACTTACAAGAAAGAAAGAAAAGAAAGACGTCAATCAAACCAGAAGGATTAAAACCAAGAATCAAAAACTAAAAAGTACCAAAAAAACGAATGTGTAATAATTTTAGTATCTACGAAACAATCAATACAAAAGCCAATAATCCCCTCTCATAAGTCATAATAGCTCAGTCCAGGTTCGTCAAACCCAGTACGGTAGCATCTACACATCCATTCATCGATCAATTGATCCAGTTCCCACCAAGATCTACTCCATCTTCAATCGATCTTCAATCAATCTCGCAAACTCCTCTCCCAAAACCCACACATCCTCAAATCCCAATCTACACAATCTAATGAACACTCAACCTCGCCCGATGCCAAACATTTGCCCTCCAACTACCCTGCGCCACCATCCCTCCCCCAGCCCCATACCTCACACAGCCAACCCCGGCATCAATCCTCCTATAAGTATACCCCAAAAACGCGCCCTTCTTCCTCAACTCCAAGATCTTCGGCGCGATATCCTTATCCCTCAACAAACGATCCCTCGGCCTCTTCCTCTCCTTCTTTCCAAACGTCTTGACAAACCTCTTGAGATATTCCTTTTCCTCATCCCTCATATTAAATTGATCAATTTCCTTTTCCACCCTCTTAAGCCTCACCGTATCATGAGGACGCTCGATAAAACCCGTAGCTAAAATTTGAATCTCGCGATTAAAAGGTTTAAGCGCATCAGCAATCTGCTGAACCGTTGGAGTAACCGCGGTTACCGACTCCGAAAAATCAGAAATAGGTTCCTCTTCGTCGAAATAATGGGTATCATCCATAGACTTGATGTTGGGGATGAAAGGAGGAGGCATTAGGTGAATACGATCCCATTGAACATCGCGGAACCATTTATGCGCTTTGATATCTTCTCCATCGTTGGGATATACGTAACGACCGGCATAATCTTGGTTTCGGCGTGATGACATGGAACCAAGTGTTGTATCTCTGGATTTGTATCGTCGGCTGCATAAGCGATGATCTTTTTCTTGAATCATACTACGAATGAGATCCTGGCACCTTCTGCTGACAGATGGACGGGAAGGAAATTGGAAAGTTGTCTTGTGGTTCAAGATGTTCATCTTCGTTTGTTGTCTTCCACCCTCTTCGGCAAGGAAAGGCGTATGTCCATACAGACACTATAATATGTTAGCAGCAGCCCCCCTTATCTCAGAATAGCAACTCACTTCATAAAGAATCACCGCAACACTCCACCAATCACATCTAGCATCATACATCTCTCCTCTCACGACCTCCGGTGCCATATACTGACTAGTACCTACAACCGAGCGTGCAAGCGTCCTATTACCAAAGCGATTACGCCAATTAAGAATACTCTCCGAATCCGAAGCATTATCCGAATTCTTTTCATGGCGTTCTTTCCCACCCATCATGACATGAGCAATTTTCATAGCCGCAGCAACACTCCTTCCTTCTTTCTTATCAAGTGAATCTCCCTCAACAGTGATACCAAGTTTATTGAGAAGCGAATATCTGTGATTGTGAAAGTAAGCTTGATCATGAGACCAATGACCATCAAAAGCTAATCCGAAGTCAGAGATCTTGAGATGACCGGAAGCAGATATTAAGAAGTTGTCTGGTTTGACATCACGATGAATCCAGCGTAGAGCATGAGCTTCTTCGATACATAGGATCATCTCGGCAATATACCATTTGGTGACGGACTCGGAGAGAACATTATCACGGATGAGAAGGCCGAGAAAGTCTCCTCCAGGCATGTAATCCATGACAAGATACAAATTGTTAAGATCTTGAAAGCTAGCAATCAGAGGAACAACCCTATTCAAGTCAATTATCAAATTACTGAAGTCATGAACATCATCACTCACCATCTAGATCCCTCTGCGGCAACAAGGAAGTCACGCTCCGCTCTCAAATGACCTTCTTGACTATTCCGGAGCATGTCTGATTTCCTGATAACCTTCATGGCGTAAATACTTTTGCTTGGCTCCGATCTGCCCATCATCAGTCATCACTCTCAGTCATACAGAACGGACAATAACTTACTCGCTAGTACCTGGTGCCCGCTTCTCCCTAACAAGTCTAACAACACCAAAACTACCCTTTCCAAGAACCTTCACCACCTCATAATTCGAAGGCTTAAAGTCTCTACCCTTCAACGCATTAGTACTACGTACCTTCATATTTCTCGTCTCTCTAAGGTGGTTGGTCTCCGCTGTTGCTAACGCTTGACGTCTTTCGGCTTTGTCTGTTGGAGAAGATACCATATCATTTAAGAGCTCATTCTCCAAGTTCAAGCGGCGAAGAGATCGAGGTGTTACTGGTTTGGCAGTAATCTCATTGTAATAAGTTTCGAAGAAAACTTTAGCAGAGGCTGCTTTCTCAACAGTGATTACAGCTGCAAGCTGTCAGTTAGCTACAACATTAATGGCATGAAGAACTTACTTGGGACTGGTTGTGGACATTCAACATTATCAGTCTCAGTGATGGACGCGAGAACACCATCAGCAGAACTACCTTCTGCTTGATTCAAAGCCTTTGGAACAGCCTTTTTATTCTCAGACGAATGTTGAGATATACCAGCGGATTTTTGAGAGAACTTAGACTCAAGAGAAGTCTTCTGTGTTGATTGTTTAGCATCAGGACCAGATGACTTTCCACTGTTGCTCGTGGATTCGGCACTTGATGGAGGGGTAGGAGCATCCGGCATGAATTCCAAAACGCCTTTATCCAGTGATATCAGACTGGGTCTGCTCTTGAATTGTGTACGATGAACGATAGTGGGTGGAGCTTTGACTAAAGCCATCGAGATTTTCTTGCCCAGAGCGACAGACTCAGGAGGAGGTGATAATGGAGCATAGTCTTCTTCTAAAGCTATACTTGAGCCTAAAAGATCAGAAACGATAATTAGAACATGTAAGGTTTTGATTGGAGATACACAGGAAAGGAAGGTACTTACTACTGTTGGCTAATGAGCGCAAAACCGACAGGATTTTTGATCCTTGGCGTCGAAACTTTGATGGCCTATGAATCTGATTTGTGGGAGACTGTGGAGGGGAGATCGATTCCAATGGAGTAATGGATTCGAGAAAGATAGGCTTCGTCAAATGATGCGGACCTCTGTGATCTGCTGCATTTGGATCGGGCGCAGGACCATTGCGCGTTCTTTTCATTGTCGAGGATCCTTTCGAAGCCTAGACAATAATTATCGATACTAAAGAGTAAGAATGAAGCAGCTGCTAAACAGCATACAAATGATTGACAAAGAATGTTGATACTGATGAAGGGAAGGCAAAGAATGAGAAGTAAGAAATACTTCGGTTTGTTTTCCACTATGAGCACTCTTGCCTAGCAAAGATTCTTATTGCTCCTAATGGAAGGGATCACTGTTTGATATAATTGGAAAGGACGACATTGGATTTAGATATAGTAGTTTTTGTTTATTATGAGCTAACCGATTAAAGCAAGTTCTCCTATGTAAAGACCTGATTGAACTTTTTTTAGAAATAGCCTGTAAGGCAATGCAAACCTCCTCATCTCATCTTGCGTAGTCTGCCCTGTTAAACAGAGAACTGCTCAGGTCGGAGACTTATGCAAAAACATTACATTTCCACTTCGTGTTTCATGTAAACATCATGAAATCACAAGTGCCAAAGAAATACATGGAAGTAAAGAGAAAGTAGTACAGTAGATGTGAGAAATGAAGTCACCACCAGCCTCGAGATATTGCAGCAACATAGAGTTAGTACAATAAGACGATCAAAGCTTGCCTATTCAAACGACAATGATGTTTACTTGATCTCAAGAAGCTTGACATCGAAGGTCAAAGTAGAGTTACCTGGGATACCAGGGACACCTTTGCTGCCGTATGCAAGGTGTGCTGGGATAGTCAATCTTCGTTCTCCACCAGCTGCCATGCCGGCAACACCAATGTCCCAACCCTTGATGACCTCGCCGGCACCAAGCTTAAAGGAGAAAGGCTTGCCTTTCTTATTTGCTAAATTTAAAGCGTTAGAAGATCTCAAATACCCGAGTGGATATGAACTTACAGTCAAAGACCTTGCCATCTGTGAATTTTCCAATGTAGCGCATGCCAACTCTGTTACCCTTCTTGGCGACTGGACCAGTACCAAGCTTCTTGTCATCGATCTTTACTCCATCAACGGTTCTGACACCCAATGCAGGCTTTTTTGCGTCAACCTTAGGCGCGGCTGATCCGGTAGGTCCTTGCTCGAGGTTCTTGGCGAACTGGACTTTCTTATCAGCCTTCTCGTCCTTAGCCGCATCCTTCTTGGTCTCCTCTGCCTTGACAGGGGCAGCATCGCCATTGTTCTTCTTCAACTTCTTTTGTTGCTTCTTGCTCAGCTTTGGCTCTTCAGCAGCGGATTCCTTAGCCATAATGGCATCGAGGGATGCAGCCTCCTCGAGTTCGTCGGCGGAGCGCTTGTTCCTACCCTTCTTCTCAGCCTTGACAAGCTTCGGGGCTTCCTCTTCATCGGAGTCGACCTCGGTAATGCGGGCGGCATCAAGCTCATCGCTCTCATCCGAGTCCATCTCGAGTTCGAGCTCATCCTCATCTGGAGAGAGGTCATAGTCTTCATCATCTTCCTCATCGGAGTCGTAAACTTCGTGGTGATGGTTATGTCCGTTATCATCTGGGATCACGTAGTTACCAGTAAGGTAGATTGTGTGAGTACCGGTAACCTTGAAGAAAACGGTCTCATCTTCACCAATGGTGATGTCCAGAGGTTGTTGGTAGTGCTGTTTTCGATTAGCATGATTTGTTGAATAGGCAGTCTTGGAAACATACGCTTTCAGGGTCGAGAGTGCAGAGAACATATTCCTCAATCTCAATATCTTCACCATCGTCGCTCTCCTCTTCGCTTTCCTCTTCATCATCGCTGGCGGCCTTGGACTTTCCTTTTTTAGCGACCTTTTTGGCGGAAGCGTCCTCCATTTCTTCGTCGGAATCATCTTTGCCGATGGAAGCCAGGAGCTCCTTGAGTGCGGCTTGCTTTTGGGCCTTTTTGGACTTGGAAGGATCGCTTGGTCCACCGTTGGCTTCTTCGTCATCATCTTCACTGTCTTCATCTGATCCAGAGTCACCATCTGCCAACAAAGCACGTAATAAATCATCCGAACCTTCATCTTCACTGTCCTCGTCATCTCCACCACTTGATTGGCGAATGATTTTCAAGGTCGCGCGAGGTTTGACACCATCTTTGACATCATCGGCAGGTTCAGTTGGGTCGATTGCTGCCATGGTAATGCGGAACTAAACATTGCATCATTAATATCTGTAGTCTCCAGTGAAGCCTGCTTGGTAAGGGGAACAGCGAGAGCGACAGCAACATGAAAATGGTAAAAGCAGGATGAAACATACGGTAGCTGGGAAATCTGGAACGGCAGGAATAATAATATCTCCTGCTGGGACCTCAAGGCCATACATAGCGACTGTGGCGCAAGTTAGATAAATGATTTCGCAATACCACAACACGGCAAACAAGCCGACATTCACATTCTACTACTCACCTGGAAGAAGAGGCATTTTGTAAAGAATTCAAATCAATGGTCCAATTGACTCGGTATGCTTTGAAAAAAGAAGGGAAAGAATTGGTGTTCAAAAGTAAACAGTAAATAAAAATCTTCCGATGTTTTGAAGAGATTTCAGAAGACGTTTTTGAAGAAAAGATGCTCGATAACTTTTTTTTTTCTCATCTGCGGCACACCGAAAGATCCATAACACTAAGATAGCTTATCCGCTCACGCTAGTGGGAAACTAAAATCCACCGGGCAATGACTATCACGTAACTGGTTAATTAGCAATTTATGGTAAGAATACTACTTTGTATTTAGAGTATATGTACATAACAGTTGCTAGCGCTATATCATTATCAGAAACTGAAAGTAATTAATCACTAAGAAAGCTACCACTGGTTATTACATCAAGTATATCAAATCTAGACGCCTAACTAGTGATTGCTACTATCATTGTTAGCAGCCAAGATAGGAGGATACTGAGTTCTGAATAAGTAATTGCAACGTCGTTTAGCGGGGAGTTTGGATTTGTTAATTTCTTCCTGGGGTAGTTTCTTGTTGAAATAGCAGCTTGACGCATACAGTCGTTTGACAGAAAAGAGGAAAAAGAGGCAAATGTTAGAGGAATGGTCGTCTTTAGAGAGAATATCAGGTGATATATAAATATCATAACAAGCCCCTTTATAGATCTCTCACTCCTCCGGCGTCTTCTTGAGTCTTCAGTACTATACTGTTTCGCTCCTCTAATATGATATCTCAGGATTATAGTTATTACCAATCAAACAGTCAAGTAGATTGATGATATCACTATATCAAAAACTCTATCAGATTAGAATTATCAGACTTTGATCAATGACTATTTAGAATATCTTTAAGAGTTTTTATTTTTATTTTTAATTATATTATAATAATAAACTATTTAAACAATTTAATATTTTATATTACAAAAACAAAACTTAAATATAATATAATATTATTATTAAAAGAAAATAAAGATTTTTTTTATATAAATTTTCAATTTGTATTATAAAAAAAGATTTATAATAAATAAAATAATTCTATAAAAAGATTAAAACAAAAGTAAGATTTCTTCAAATAATTTCATTAGTAGATTTAATATATAATAAGCCTTTAATAGAATAAATTATGAGATAGGTTTTAAAGTATAAGAAATAAAAGAAGTGATAGTTTCTTTTGATATCAAAGAGCCAGATTCAAAGCTCGTATTACGACTATCTCAATCTGTTACACAGTCACTAGAGCAACGATATGATGCTACTCACAACTACTCACATTAGTTTTTCTCGTCTTTAACAATACCAAAATCAACTGCTTTCAAGATCTACCACAATCACCAGAATGTTTCCTCCCATCAATTAATAAATCCAATAGCTTTCCCATTCAAAGTATTCTACAATACCCTGTATAATCTACCAAACAATACTATTTCAGATCGGGGAATACAGTTGTATAAAATTCTAAATACAATTCTTTAAACCATCAAGAACAATCTTTCAGCATTTTTCAACTTTCTTTCTGTAGGATGTATGTTTACGATAAACAAATCAAATGAAAGCAAGCACTCGCTCAATCGCCTCCAACCTTAAAACCCATCCTCAACCATCTCATCCAAACGTCTTGAAAAACTACTTGCCATGTTAACCCATTCGGAAACATTCTTTCCCCATTGCCTCAACTCCGCGATTCTTTCGTGCAGGCTTGCGGATCCTGCGCTACCTTGGCCTTTCGATTCTGTATTACTCTTATCTCCCTAGACAGTATCAATACATTGTTACTATGAAGATATTAGATAGGGGTTATGATAAATATACCTTTTTCGCCTTCCACTCCCTAGCCCCAAACAAATTCATCCAAACTCCATCTGGCTCTCTCTTCTCCGCCTTAACCACATCGCCAAAAATCTTACCCATTCCTCCCCGGTCATCTATATTATCGCGAGCAATACTTTGCATAGTCAAAAACTTTTCGCTCTGACGGAGTATCACAATCCACATTTTGGTATCTGATGCTATCATGTCTAGGATATTATTCGAGAACATTCCGAGATCTTTTAAATTATCGATGTCCCAATTAAGAGAATCGATACTATGAAGTAGAAATGGAGTTAGTGTATGAGTAAATAGTGATTGCGAGTTAAAGATGACGCTATTTATAGGATATTGGAGAATGGAAGAGGGGACAAGTGAACAATGACAAAAAGAAATAGAGTAGATTGATGACAAATGGGGATGGGATAGATGATGATAAAAAGAAGCAAGACGAATATTTGTGAAAGGAAAATTAAATATTGATAAAAGATGAAACCGTAAATGATAATATCAACAAAACTTTTTTTTATTAAAAAAACCCCCAAAAAAAAAGAATACATCTATTAGAAAATAAAAAGTGAAAAGAAGAAGAGATGATGACAAAAAAGAAAGAGTGGATAATAGAGGGTAAAGAAGAGAAGTCAGTGGCTCAAAAGTTCTCGAACGATAGAGGCTAACGATAGGAACATATCTCTCAAATATGATACAGAAGTAACACTCAGGGATGGCTTCATCGTATAGTACATCTTTGAGCTGTATAACGCCAAAAAGACAAAGAAAGGAAGATGCATAAGACAAAGGAAAAATTGATACATACATAGCAGCCTCCTTCCTCCTTGCCTCTTTTTCCTCCTTTGAATATAAAGCTCCCCAAGTACCCCAGCCTAGATAGTTCCAAATTTCTTTCCTCTCACTGACCCATCTCTCACTCCTATCATCCCGCACTCCAGTCTTTTCCTCTTTTGCAGCTTTAGCTACCGAGTTCATCACGCTCACTTTCTTCTTGATGTTCTTCAATAATGTGATAATCTCTTCACTCCCTTTCCAACTAGACGTTGCTACGCTCTTTTGGAGAATGGCATGATCATGGTGTTCCGCTAAAATTTGGTGATATATCATGGATGCCAACTCTTCAAAAGTGCAATGTTTGCTCCTTTCCTTGGCCTTGCCAAAAGCGAAACGGGACGGTTTGTGCTCGTCATTGCAATCTCTGCGTAAGACAGACCCAGGTCGAGGCACACCATCTCCCTTGCCTTCATTATCAATTCTAGCCACCTCATCCAGGATGAGCTCCCATTCCTGCTCTAAACGACTAACTCTATCCGCAACATTACGACACTTCATTGCCAGCTCGGTTAACGTTTTGGCCCAGCGGATTCGATAGGATTCATAAAGTTTTTGAAGATCAAAGGTTCTCAATTGAAGAGCCTGAAGTTTCGGGACCAGATAGGCAAGCGCTTGGTCACGCATGCTAACACTATTGCGATCTGATATGATCTCTATTGCGCTGCTAATACGCGTGAGAGATGTGATGATGTCGGTGAGAGGAGGGGCTACAATCTTGTTGCCATCGACGGAGGATGTCTTTGTATCAGTGACCTCAATCATGCGTTGCATGCCAGGAATAAGTTCATCAGACCAAATTTTATGTGGCATTTCAAGCACGAGATTTGGGATCAGAAGACGTTGGTTGTTGTTGTTGAGAGTTCGTTGTGATTGTGATAGTGCCATATATGCTGACCAAAGACAAACCGAAGGACTTGAGATACATGTTCCTACCCTACTGACCGTCCATAATACGATTGAGCTAGTGTATATGAAGGCACGAAACACCAGATATGCGCCATATATGATGTCCCAAAATACATAAAGGAGAAGAGGACCCGATATGGCGACAGAAACGAAAATGATGCGAGGGATTTTGGAAATGATGCGAGGGGTTTGGGAATTCGAGGGTGTGATATCGACTTGATAAGATACATTGTTAAAACCAAGGACAGGAAGAAATGCTACAAGGAGACACCAGATGGCTTTGAATAGATTCTTGAAATGGTTCTGGGATTGTTGTTGGAGTTGTTGCTGGAGCCGTCGTAAGAGCCGCCACGTTTGAATAGCCATCGTTTGCAGTGATTGCATATTCTGGCCCCCTCCGAAGGTTTTGATTGGTATCTGAATGTGACATCTTTTAAAGGTTATGAATGAGGAAAGGTTAAAGACAAGATAGTAGCAGGTGATGGGATGGTATTAGTTGATAAGATGATTGTAATTGAGAAGAGAGTAAAAGCTGATGAGAGGATAGTCGTTGATGAGATGGGAAGCAGTTGGTGAGATATTAATAGTTGATGGGTATTATACGAAACTAGAATACATCCAACATTGATAATCAGTAGTAGTAAATAAGAAAAAGACACCTTTTCAAAAAATGTTCGAATAGGAAAAGCAAAAAGTAAAACAGAGGTTCAATCCCAAGCTTGTTTTTCTCTGTTGTGAAGTTTCACTTCTCAGAACTGATTGGAAAAATGATTGAGTAGAAAACCAGAAAGTAAAACAGAGATTCAGTTCTAAACTTGTCTTTCCTGTGTTGTGGAATTTCATTCTTTCATTTTTATCAATATCTTGAGATCTTTTCAAAACCAATTAAAAAAATAATTGAGTAGAAAAGCAAAAAGTACAGCAGAGATTCAATTCTAAACTTTTTTTCATTATTATAAAATTTCACTCTTTCAATTTCTATTAATATTTGGAGAACTTCTCCAAACTGATTGAAAAGATAATCAACGAGGGAAGCAGAAAGTAAAACAGACATTCAATCCTAAAACATTTGGCTATTTTTTTCTTTGTTGCGAAATTTCACTCTTTCACCTCTTTCAAACTCTTTCAATATCTTGAGAACTTCTTAAACTTGATTGAAAGAGCAAAAGCAGAGGCGCCAGACATAAAAGATATGAATGATATGATATGAACATATTTTGCAAGAATTGATTATTGATAATATTGTATCAAGCTCAATCTACAATCTACAATCTCCTGACTATATACCTATTCGCCGTCCATCATGTTGTATTCTTGGCGCGAAATCGATCCCGAACAACTCCCTCCCAGGCCCAAATATCGCGATTGCAGCAGCCACATGTGCAAACCTCATTTCCAAAATCTCGCGCTTCCTTTTCTCCCTCAATATCCAGAGTTTTCACGAGAGGAACTCCCACTGGCATTCCCGGGGGATTTACCAGCAAATTATACTCTGATAAAATCGCATTATCGAACACTTTCAAGAATACTGCATCCCGATAAACTTCGGAAATATGCCAGAGAGAGTCCACCTCCAAAATCGTATGTATATTTACCTTTCCATTCACCACCCCACCCCCAAATTCATTTGCGCAGCTTTCCATTATCCAAATCGATCTAAATCATTTCATTTAATACTTCTCATTCTCCCAATCTTAGATTTCCACCCCTCGAACCACGACGTCCATTCGAGCCCACCAATCCTATGCTTCGGACCCCGACTACCAACGCCGAAAAAGCTCTCAGTTTTGTCATGGCCGCGCATGTCGTACTTATCGATGCACGCGCTCGACAATTTTACGAAGAATACTGCACTGGACTCCCCGGTCGGAACATGAACCATGAGGATTGGTGGAATCACGGGGGGAAGGGTGAAAAATCATACACATTAAATGGATGGATGGATGTGAACGAAAGAGAGCGACAGGGATGGGGAAGAAAACCTTGGTTTTGGGAATATGAGTATGGACTTGGAAAAACCAGGCCTTTGATTGTTGTGGGAGGTATTGGATGGAGAGAAAGCTTTTGGATTAATTTTTTCCCTGGGTTTGGGGAAAGATGGGGATATATAAATATGGAAGTGAAAGGAAAGAAAAGGGGTGGAGGGCAAATGAAAAAAGGGAGAGCCAGATCCGATATCAATGATATGAAAATCGGGGGCTACGGAGGAGATGGAACGGGAGTAGGTAATGCGGAGACAATCGTGAATGTAGGTCATTATTATATTGACAACTATCTCCCACATTCGTTTTCAGATTGGATTTGGGAGAGATGCGAAGATTTTAGAAAGGTATGTGCTACTGGCACACATCCCTTGTTTCACATGCACCCACTCGCTATGGACTTATTACTAACAATCCAATAGTGGCGTGGTTATGGTTTTACCGGAGGACATTTCGAAATCGACCCCGAAACCTCAAAGAGAACATGGAAAGGACCGCATGGGGAATGGCTTGCTTTCCGCGAAACAGAAAGCGCTGGCTCTGGTTCAAGTAGCAACCATGGTGTACAGGCTGAGCTTGGCTATCCGACTACTTTTGGAGAACACTGCGAAGGAAGGATTTGGTGGGTTTGGATTCCTTCTTCTGCAGGTGGAAGTGGTGAGTATTGAATGTTCTTGTGTTTGTCTGTTTTCGAGCATTGGCAGCAGACGGGCTTTGCTAATCTATCTATAATCTTTCCAGTTTCCAATCTGGGAATCGGCAGATTGGCGGGAAGTGGAGTTGATAGTTTACAGGGAAGAAATTTAACCGAGTGAGTACATTTATTTTTCAATGCCATCTCATCTCTATGAGAGATTACTTACCTACGTATCGATAAAAAGCTAATCTTGTCTACACTAGACTCCCTTGGTCGCAACGATTTCATAATACCGACAAACAAGGAATCAACAACTTCGAGCTATTTGATCCCGACGTAATGGCGTTATGTATCGGTGTGCTGGGGTTTTGGTTCATAGTATTTTGTACATGGGGTATGAGGAGAATGAAGAGATGGGTTGAGGGGGAGGGCAAGAGTAGAACTGGGGTGGATAAAGAGAAAGAGGAAGAGAAAGAGAAGGAGAAGGAGAAGGAGAAGGAGAAGGAGAAGGAGAAGGAGAAGGAGAAGGAGAAGGAGAAGGAGAAGGAGAAGGAGAAGGAGAAGAAAATGATGAATGGTCAACTCCCGGCTCTAACTCCTTGTCGATTCGATTCAAATGATTGGGATTCTAGTGAGAGTACTAGTTTCCGGAGTGATCGGAGAGAATCAATTTACTCAAGTGGTGTCTCAAGTGATGAGAGTACTGGGGGAGACTAGAGAGATACATGTATTAAGCAATAGTTCCTACAGAGATTCAGGTCGAGGGTTTACAGTACGAGATAAACTCTGTGTCCTTTTGCGGCTTTTTTTGGTCTTTTTGGCAGTATTTTCTTCGAAGAACTACATCAATACATTTCATTCAAATAATCGGAGTGATTGAAGTGCATCCAAAACAATATCAAATACTAGTTATAAGATTTAGATCGAGCCTCGGTGTCATCAGATAATTTTGCGTTCTTTTGCGACTTATCTTACAACATCCTCATAACCATTCTCATACCCATCTACATACTTTTTATTTCTATATACTCATTCCCACCATTCCCACCATTCCTATCCATATCACCAGCTTCATCAATATCTAAAGTATATTAAATTTGATAAGAAGAATTTCATAATCCTAAACCTGTTTCTTCATGTTTATTTATTAGGTAGTTGAGTAATAGTTAATGTTTTTGGCCGAGAGAAAGGGAAGATAAAGGGAAGAGGAGAAGGAGGGGGTTGAGCGAGTAGAGAAAAAAATAAGTAAGAGAAGAGAGATAGAAAATTATAAAAAGAAAAGGAAAAGAGATAAAAGAAATACAAGAAATCTTATATAAAGGTACTCGCAAACCGGCATCCCCGGCATCAGACCGTCTGTCCCCATCCCAGTAACAACGCGAGCCCTCATTATCCACCCAGCATTTTGAGTGCCAGCTTAGCCTGTAGCGCAATACCTGCCAATGCAAATATTGCAGCAAGAATCCGAAATTTCCCGTTGATTTTTCCAATGGGGTCGGCGAGTCAGTCTTCGAGGAATGCGCCGGGGATAGACTCCAGGTAGTAGATGGATATTATGAGGCGGGGTTTGGGGAGGCGTGTGGGAGTGAAGGAACTGGAGCTAATGGAGCCGGTGTGGATGAAGGAATGGGAGCGGAAACGTTGCCCATCCCGCCTGGAGTCTGTTAGTAATATGGTTTTTGGGGTGAGGATTGATGCTTGGACTTTGATCGTATCACTCAAAGAATATGGAGAGGAGGGAAGAATCTGCATGAAGATTGCTAGGTAGCTTGCGGGTGATGCCCTCGAAAAGTCTACATATGCCGTTTTGTTGAATCGGTAAAGTAAATGTGCTCCAGGCTTCGGCTTTCAAGTGTCGTTGTTTTGATTTTGATTTTTTTTTTCCATCTTGTTCATCGCGGTTTCTCGTTTTGTACTTCCTCGAGCATATCATTATGGTCTGAAGGTGAGATAGATGGATACCCTATCACCTTATCTTCCGCTCATTTAACAAAGAAAAAATTGCGATTAAGTTGAAAAGCATCTTCTTGAACTACGTGTCTCGCATCACGACCCGTCGTGGGAATTTCCTTCTTGTCCTGTGGTTGAAAACGAGAAGTCTGTACTGGAGAACTCCTTCACTGGTAGCACTGAACTTACACTGAGAAATACAAATACTGGTGCTACTATTATATACATTTCTGATATAATATTTGAAGAAAAGTACAAGAAATGTGAGATGCATTTCTAAAGCAACTAGTTATTTGTATGGATGTTGATGGTTGCCGAAGATTGTATTCCAAGTGGAAAACCTCATCGAATAAGTGTTCATGATTGTCAATTGTACTGATTACATTGTTATCACTCCTCATTACTTGTTATGGAACAGATATGTTCAAGTGATTTATCAGATTTTCGTATCAGTCGTCAGCTCATTTCAAGCTATGTACCATGCATGATCATCGCGTCGGTCCCGATGAGCGCAAGCAACCTACCTCGCTGCTTTCAAGAGCCGAAGGAAAATTGGCCAAGTGGCGCATATCCTTATCGTTACGACGTCGAGCGGGAAACATGAAACTACATACCAAACATTGGAATGTGTATCATACGACGGACACATTCCTCCGGCTCAAACACTGTGCGCACAACGTCTTAGATGTATCTAAGGATCTGCCTCCACATTCCAAATCTATAAATATCGGTAGACAAGCTTTTTTTTTTGCCAGGAGATGCATTGTGATAGGGGCAAGATACGCGAAGGTCGCGATTCTCATGGAGCCGTAGATGTTTTGCTATGCGCGAAGAGATGCGAAGGGCGTGAGTTGACCTGTCAACACATAAGAGAGACATCTCCCTCAAGTCCCTAGCAATTTTGCCGTTGTTCGTTCAACCAGACGTTCCTTTACTGATGATTTAAAGCAGTCTGTCTTGACAATTTGATTTTCAATCTTTCGTCATTCATTCTCCTTTTGACATTGAATTTAAAACTCCAAGTTACAGAGTCAAATCCATAACAAAAGTGAATATCTCACCATAAGTCTTAGTAGACCTAAACCAAAGCTCAAAATGCATCAACCTAGCTCCCTCCTCACCGTCGCTTTCTTCCTCCTCCCCCTTTCCACCCTCATTTCCGCCACCCTCGATTCCGGCTCCCAAAACGGCAGCGGAAACCAAAATGGAAATGTCAATCCCAACGCAAATGGGAATGGCAATGGCAATGCAAACGCCAATCAAAACCAGAACGAAAATAAAAATAAAAACGAAAATGAAAATGAAAACTACAACTACAATTACAATCAAAACAACAATTATAATACTAATGTCAACTTTAACTGGAACGATAATGATAATAACAATATCAATGCTAATGACAACGACAATGATAATAAAGATAAAAACCGTGATGGTTCTCCTCATGTAGTGTATACTACTGAGATCGTCGCAACTCTTACGACGTATTGTCCTTCGGCGACGGAGATTGAGCAGAATGGTGTTACGTATACGGTTACTGAGGCCTCTACACTTACTATTACGGATTGGTAAGTTTCTTTATCTCTTTTCCTTCCTTCCTTCCTTCCCTTTTCCCCTTCCCCTTAACCTTCCTATCCCACGAAGCGAGAATCACCAAAAAACAAAAGGAAACAAAGCAAAACACAACAAAACTAACACATTCCCCCCCAACCCAGTCCCTGCACACAAACACGCGCCTCCCGGACTCATCCTCACACCCGCCATCCTCCCTCAACCCGGATCCCTCCACAACAAACCCCTCACAACCCCGAGCCCCACTAACCCAGCCCTCCTCCCACTCATCCCCCTCTCTTCCCTCCCTGCATCTATCCCCCCTCCTCAATCTTTCCCATCAAATAATGCTGATATACTCGCTGCGTCTATTCTCCCTTCTGGTTCCCTCCCTCCTAATATTCCCGCTGCGTCTATTACACCTTTGAATAATGCGGTGGGTTCTACCTCGTTTCAGGCTGTGCCGAGCGAAGTTGGTAGTGGTGGGTTTGGAAGTGGAAGTGGGAGTGGAACGAATGATGGTGCTGATGCTGGAGGAAATGGACCAGCGCAATTTCTTGGAGCCGCTGGGCGGAGAGAGATAGGAAGTCTGATTGTAGGGAGTTTGGTGGTGGGGGTTATGGGCTTGTTGGCTTTGTAGTAGGGGGCGGGATCCGGGTTTCTGCTGTGGGAGTTAAGAAGAAAATTTTGTGTTTGGATGGACTTTTTGTTGGCTGGGTTGGAATTGGACTGGATTGGATTTTATGGCTGGGTACTGGGTATGAGATATCGATAGGATATCTTTAGGACTTCTTTAGGACTAAATTTTTTCTTCTTTTTTTGGGTCATTTTCATTGGGAAATTGATTATATAGTCATCAGGTTCTTTTTAATACAATACAATACCCATCCATCAAACTAGGGCATGTAAAGAAGACGAAAACGTAAATGGTAAGAAATATAATGAATTACTAGTATTGTTTGAGCTACTAGGCATAGATTATGTACTTACGAGTGTTTATACGTTTTTGATTCATGATTAGCGACTTGGAGAGTAACACAAGAGTGGAAAGGAAAGTTCCACCCGCGCCTCAAGAGCAATATATAGACAAATTTTAGAAGTCGATATCATCTGATAAGAGGATTCCATATCCTAATTCTTGAGATCACACTTGAATTCAGTAGGTAATCTTACCACTTACCCGCCTAAAGAGTTTGTACATTATCTTCCCACAAGATAAAAGATAAAAAGTACAAAATCCCCTCAAGTTATTATACGATTTATTTATTCGATCGATCGAGCTAAGATATATAATCATACAACAAGAAACCGACAAAAGCACTCACTATATCATCCATCCTAATTTATGATATCCAATTAACAAAATGTTCGTTTGTTCATAATTCCATATAACTCCGAAATACGCTAATAATTATATAATACATGCAAATGAGGCCGTGATTTCGTATAATGTGTTCTTCAACTTTCCATCTCAGAGGTTTGATTTTTTTGTTTCGTGATAATAGGTGGGAATAAAACATCGCGTCTTGAGTTCGAGTTTGTGGAATCGATTCGAGATTCGTCTCTGGAAAATTCTTCCTTCCATTTCTCCTTCCTTCTTTCCTTCTTTTCTTCTCCTCCCTTTTTCCACTCCCTTTCTTTTCCCATCTCCCCCCATCTTCCATCCCTCCATCTCCCATCCTCCCCAATCCATCCTCCTGCTCCATTCAGCCAACAACCCCAACCCTGTAGTTGGCACACTCACAACCCCCAACCACACTCCCCACCACAGTACCCAGCCCCATGCCCACCCCAGCACCTATCCCCGCACCCCCAGCACCACCCTGCCAAACGCCACTCTGCAACCTCTGAGCAATTTTCAACTCCGAATGCGCCCTCTTCTCCAATTTCTGCGCTTCCTCCACTAATTTCGCTTTTTGCTCCTGCGCATCTTCGGAATCTGGAAGCGAGTCTGCTTTTTTTCGTGCTTCGGTTGCGTTTTCGCTGGCTTCTTGGGCGGCTTTTATTTTTTCGTTGATTTGCGCGAGCACTTTTTCTTGTGTGCTGGGTTGCCCGTTCGCGTCTTTGGGTTGGGTTTGTACTTTTTCTGTCATGCTTTCTTTGAGGGCTTGGAACATGTTGAGGTGGGTGTATGTTCTGATGGACGCTATATATGTATGTATATATATAGTTAGTTAAAAGCGGATCGGTCCTTGGATAGTGTTGTTTTAGTGGTGTTTACTTGAGTAGTGCGAATTAAGTCATGGAAAAGAAGGTTATGATGGAGCTTAAGCAGGATATAAAAGTGTGGGGTAGCTGGTGTAAGATGACGTCGTTTGGTGGGGTGGGGTTGATGTTGCAGGTCTATGATTTATACTACAGCCATTAGATCCTATTTTCTGATAGGTTAGAAACTAGAATTGAAATGTTAGCTTATGGAGACCAAGGATTTCGTTCAACAGGGAGTATTTTCATCAACCCAAGTTTTCCATGTTAAGTTATCATAAAGATACCAGGTAGTGATTCAATGATTAACTATTCACATACTGCAAATAACTAGCACCAGCTCGATCCCCAGCGCCACTGAAAAGAATCACCAACCAAACTCCACATTAAAATTCCTTCCATCTCACTCTTTAGGATCACGACCCCCTCTAGCTTCCATCTCTGCATCATAAGTCTCATCATCCTCCAATTCGAAGGGTCCTGGTTGCGTAATTGGTAAGAATGGTATACCCATCTTCTCATAAATTTGTACCCTCAATGCCGTCTTCGGTTTCGACTTGTTGATACTGAAGATTTTGATTCGATGACAGGAAGATGTTACGTGAAGATCCCAATTCCTAGCAGACATTAGCTATTGTCTTGGTAAAAAGGAGGAAAACGTACCAAGTAGATCTCACAAAAGTAGGTTGCGTATTCATCGAATTGTCCCAACACCTCACCACTAACTCTAACCATCCCTCCGCATCGACCGGGAGATCAATTTCCCACAATCTCCACGCATGGTAATACTTCTCACTCAAATTCTCATAAGGAACCTCATACCAGATATTTCCTCCATCACCACTAACCTCCACCCTCACCGGCCAATGTCCTCCCCCACTATAAGCCCACCCCCTCATTTTGATCTTCCCATCATGCACTATTTGATCCATATCTACTGGGCTCATGATGGCCGAACTTACTGGCATATCTTGGATACTAAACCCAGAACTATAAGTCGCATTGTGTTTACCAACCTGAGAATTGTAATACAAATACTCTTTCTTCTGGACCGGCCCAGGGGATTCGTGAGGCAGAACATTAATCCTTGTAAGCCATTTACAGGAACGAGCACCAATGTACCCAAACACCACGGCACGTAAAGGAAAGCCGTGAATTTTAGGGAGTGGTTCTCCGTTCATTTCCCAAGCAAGAAGAACCTCGTTGACTTTAACTTTGCGCCATGGAACGGATACAGCATAGTTGGATACCTCGCCTTTTTTGAAGTAGGTATCTGCTCCAAGAAACTCGAGATGGTTTGCTCCAGAGGGGTTTTTGAGACCGCCGCAGTACTTGATTATTTTTTTGAGAGATACACCGGTCCATCGTGCGGTTCCAATAGCTCCTTCGCCCCACTATATTTCTCTTAGCATGTAAATGTTTTGGGAGGGAAATTTTTACATACCGGCGCATTGATAAGTTCATCTCCATCACCTGGATACTGACTGATTTGCTCAATTCTTCTAGTTCCTGAGCACTGGATTGTGACGACATTACTCTGTCTCGGGAAGATGGTTTCATCCTTTAATTCTTTCAAGGTGATACGTTTTGGCTCATTAACCAAACCACCAACATCGAAGAAGTAGACATCTTCATCGATTTCAGGAATTCCACCATGGTTCCGAACAAAATGATCTTCATTAGCAGTTATGGCCGATTCAACAAGTCGATTCTGTTAGTTTTGTTAAATCTATTCTCTCTATTTTGAGAAAAGTAAGAAACATACTCGAGGGGGTTCTCCATTGTATGGAAATTGTAAGACATGAAGCATATCTGGAGATTTTTCCTTCTCGACAAATAGCCAACTTTCTGCCGGGACATCCTTCAACTTTCTTCCCATGGCATAATGATACTGTTTCCATCTCACTCCTTCTAGGATTGGGTTTGTTTTTGGTAAAGGAACTAATTGAAATTCCGGCGGCTAAGCAGTAATTGAATCAGCATTTGAATGTTTTGAAGAAATATCATGGGGCTTATACTGGAGGAAACTTGAACTTCTTCAGAAACTCCCTTGCTTTTTGCTTTCGCTCGGGGTATTTCTCCCATTCGATATACCCATGCCAGCCCTCGTACTCTTCTTCTAACTCCAATTCATGCGGATCTGGCATTTCATCTTTAGAACGAATTTGGAGATCCGGATGTAGGATACTTGGTCGTCTGGCATAACTTCTGCCAGTTGGGCCGTTCATGCCACCGGCATGGTGGATGATCGATTCTGGTTCTGACATTGTGTTTATGGGTTTTCAGGAAACAATTGAATTTCTTGCCCTCAATCTTTTGATCTAGAAAGCTGAATGAGGGGTAAGGAAGGGAGGGACATGATAAGGAAATACGGATAATGTAAATTTACCCATTGGTTCCAGCCCATGGTAACCTTACGACGCGGACTATGCAGCCGCCTATGCATTGTCATCAAAACGACCACAACACCACTTCATTTCTTGCTTGCCTCGTCAACACAACTAGAAAATGAATCTTTTCGACGTCATGACTTTGATAACTGAAGCGAATGTACAAAAGTTGTGGGTCTGATGGTTTAATACCGAAACCTGCTCTAGTACCGACGAGATATCTCCGAAAATGAAGGGCCTCCATCGGGATTTGTATGAAGAACAATTTAATTGAATGGCAGTCTTGCAATGGTACTGGAATAAATAATTCAGATCCTGACCATCGATATCGTAACCTGCAAGCTTCAAGAACCAAAATAACGATTGCCAAATTAAACCTCGGGAACTAGAACTAATACGGATTTCCGCAATTGCCATTATTGAGCCTATTCATACTTATACATACCTTGGCATACCCCGACCTTTTGCCAAGTTTTTATAGATCGGGATCTAAAGGTAATTCGGATAATAAATTTGTCCCTATTTTGTTGACGAGGAGTCAATACTATACACTCTGGCTGTGATGAGATATTGTCAAAAGCTTGTTTCTACAAGCCCGTAGACATATATAGAACCCCTAACTTGCATCCTTTGCAAACATCTCAGTCCTTCTTCTGCTCCTTGGAAACATCAATCGATAACCTCAAAGGATGCCCGGTAAGTCTGCCATCTGCTAAAATCCAGACATGTATTTGAAGAACACAGATACCCCTCAGGATCACCCCTCACAAATTCTTTATGGGTTGATTGTTTGATCATGCGTGACTTATAGACAGACTATCGCGTCTGCTGTACCCACCATGGTATATACTACTTCAATACCTTCCTGAATTGACTCTCCGTCATACTTATTGAAACCTGCGACGACTGATAAGTAAGGCGGAGATTGGGATGAGAATGACGGAGCCAGAATATGAAAAATCGGAATCCATGTACCATCCGAACTGACAGCGTCAAGAGCTTGGTGACATTCCAAACTCCCGGAAGCTAGTTTGGCTGCATTGATCATTGTTCGGCGCCCAAACGATAATCAATCAGCTTGTCGCCAGAGGATAGATCAAGAAGGAATTGCAAATGTGAGGAGCTGCTACCTGCCATGGCAATGATATCGATTGAGTGAGTGTTAGAAGCGCGAGCTAAGTTAATTGCGAACGTACCAAGAGAGGAAGATTTTCCGTAGACGATAAACGGAAGAGGATTGTAATCAGAGCATCTCATTACAGTATGCATCGGTGCAAAAGCATATTCGGTTTAAGCCCCATGAGGTGTCAGCATTGGATGAAAAGCAGCAGCACAAGCTGGTATTCCATTTTCATCGCACATTTTTCCCCAGGGAATGAGCGACGCCAGCGATATCGTCTCCGCTGCCGAGGGATATATCCAACACCCTTGAGATGAAGTCAATCTGGAGGAAGGGAATCTACCTGAGCTACTCCATTAAACATATTGCGGAATAGTTGCGTTTACCTTTGACATTGCTCCCAGCAACAATAACTTTGATAACTATCCCATCTGGTCCAGGTTATGACGTTGTGACTTCAGTGATCTCCGTCTAAATGTCGGGGCTGGGATGGACAATCACTTTCTTCATAAACCCTATAATGTTATACAGTTATATGCAACAAACCATTTAGGGTCGTCTTAAGCTTCAGTATATGAGCTTCTTCGAGGAAGAGCAGCTGAACTTGCAATACGTCTAGTGAGCAGTAAGCGCTTCACTCCATATAAGGTAAGTCCAGATCATGATCAGAATTTCATGGCACTCGCAAAGTCATACTAGTGACAAGAAAGAGTGCTCAAGCTGATGATTTGCCGCCCAACATAGGTGAAAGAGCTCAATTTACTGCGAATCAAAGAGACTCGACCTCTAGCCTAGCATCACATAAATTAAGTTCATCAATATGCACTAATTATATCAAGATCCTACTAAAAACAAAGTAACATCCATCAAGCTTTGGTCAGTAGTTACCTCAAAATGTCATGCAGTGAACGAGGTCTTCCACAACATATGGACCAATGAATTTCATCTCCGAGTATAGTATAATTAGCTAAAAAAAGACGTACAAGGGGGAGATGTATCACAAACCAACGACCCTCCAGCTCTCGGGCTTACTGTCCAGAATATACTAGAGTAGAGAACCAAAAGAATTCCGAGATCGAGAATAGCATATCTATCGATATCGTTCCAAAATTCGAGGATCTTAAAAGTCGACAGAAATATGATATAATGGCTTGTGCTTAATGCATGACGAGGTCGGGAACTGGGGACTACCTGTGTCGAAACTTGGGTTTTGAATCTGTGGTGTGGCTTTGATTACTTTTCCTGATCTGTTCATTTCGAAAACATTCATTTGTTGTTGCGCATGCAGGCTTGAAGAGACGCCGATACTTGATCATGGACTCGAAAAGGATACAACGTCAGCTTTAAGGTTATGACAGGGCTAGCCCATGATTAACCTATGTAAGTTGAGAACATCTCAGGTTCATGATGTCTGGTTCGAATTCATAGCATCAAAAAGATACATTTGAAAAAGTTAAGATTACATCCGATACCTTCGCTTCTAGTATACTAGCAGGTTCACTGTAACGAGTGATACATTACTGTCAAGTATTTTTGGAGGGTAAATTTTATTTTCTTCAAAAATAGGTGATATTTAGCTATCCTAATATCTTTTCTATTTAGATACGTGTTTATACATGGTATATATATATGCATCCATCCTAGAAAGTAACCTTCTGTCCATGTCTTGCCCTCCAGAAGGCATCCTTCTCAACATTCTCCTCCCTCTTCATAACCAAAGTATTTCTCTCCATCTTTTGATTAGCGACCGGTCTCTTGTCCTTGATGCTCGAGCTCAAACTCTGCACATTTCTCTTTCTATACGACAAACCACTACCGGCAACACAGTCACCACCGCCCCAAGCCGCTGTAGCAGCTGCCTCCCATACCTTTTCTACGTCTGTAATCATCGGCGCTGTCCAGTATAATCTGCAATCCGCTTCTTCGTATACGTATTGAGCGGGGACCCCATCATCCTCATTCCCAGGGAGAATGGCATCTCTCAGATTGATTACTGAATCTGTACTTCGGTCAATCGGGTAGGTTGTGAGACGATTGAGAATGGCAATGTCCTCTGGTGTTGCGTTTGGGGACGAAATCGCCCTTTGTGCATAAGAGTAGATGTCACTAAACTCACTGACTTGTGCTCCTTTGATACCACCGACACCTTGAATGGGATCGCTGTTGGGTCGTCCTCCAAAGGCGATGGATTTAACCCCTGCTTGAAGGCGCATGAATTCGCTGAAGATAGTGCAAGTTGAGGCACAAAAACCATCGTAGATCATGACGATGTCTTCCGCAGCGAAAGGTTGGGTCAGGTTACTTAAGGATCCATATCCGGAGACCTCAATGCCCAAGCCGAATGTGCTATTGATTGTGGTGATTGGATCATTAAGGTCCCAGCGCATAAGGTTCGTGTAGTTATCATCCCTGTAGACATGCGGCGCAAATTTATCTTCAAATGTCAAGAAGTGTTGATTACTCGTGTTGTAATCATAGCGGTAGTTGAACCAAGTCTGGTACTCGTTAATCAACTTTGACGATGCCGTGCTTGGGTCATCTTGTAGCATGTTAGTTTGAATGTGTAAATCAAAGGTCAGTAACATTTCACTTACAATCTGCGGGAATGTTCTCTGAAAATATCTTAGCTACCGTTAGAAATGTATTACTTTCTCTCATTCTACTATTTCCATCTTGAACGATATCAGGGAAAAGTTGTCGAAATTGATCATAGCCTTGCAAGATGTAACCACCACCATTTGCTTGCAAGTCAACGATCAATTTTGTCTTTCCATCCCGAACTGCACCAGCAAGGAAGGTTTGGCTAACGGCTTGGAATTCTGCAACCGACTCAGACTCAAATGCCAAAAGAGTCAAGACTGCAACATCCTCGAAACCCGGCTCACTGAGATAATATCCTCCGACAATAGTGTCGTTGGTAATAACAACAGGGGTAGGATATCCACTAGCAGTTACAATCGCGGCTGCGGGATCTGCCTCCGTTGCTTCGGCGGACTCGGTGGTGGTGGTTGGAACGCAGAACTTTTGGTAAAAAGACTTTCCATCAGTAACACCGGTAAAGTCTCCTTTCACATTGGCGTAATTTTCGGTAACCAAAGTAGTACCATTTTCGAACGCAAAGGTAGTGTTTGAGCCCGGATAGATGTATCGGATACGACCACCAGATGTGAAGTACCCTTCAGAAACTCCTGAACAGTGGAATTAGCATAGTTGGAGAAGATTAGTGCTAGCATATATGAAAGAGATATCTTACCTGCTGCCACATATGCTTTCTCAAAAAACATGCTGTTGTATGCAGCATCCGCATCTTGATTGAAAGAGGCTTGGTTGATCCAATCTTCTACATACGTCGCCGCGTCAACTCCGTTTATCTCTGTAACCTCGGATGCGGTTGAAGGCGAAGCAATAATGTCCTCTTAAAAATTGGTTAGCACTTTTACTTCATTGTAAGATATCGTCTTTCAATTTACCATATATGTAGATTTTGGGAATTTCAACCCCATCACTGCTGATGGATACCAAAGATCTCTGACGGCGCCAGTCAAAAGCAGAAGAGAGAAGATCAGGATAGACCACAAAGTGTCCATCATGTGCCAGTGCAAAAATTTGATACAAATCCTGTTGAAACGCATACTCATTCGCATACACACCACCCTTCTGAAGGTTTGATTTCACGGTAGCGAGTTTACCCATTACATCAAGCGCAGGATAGAAGTATTCTGCTGGCGGGTCCTTGAGGTACTCAAGATCTGTCAAAGTCAGCCGAAGAGTTCGATTTGATGGAGGCTTCATCAACAAGATATCATTGGACATTTATATAGAAAGTCCAGGAGTTGAGGTGAATCTTGACCAATTCAGGAAGTGGCAGAAAATGATTGTTGATAACATACCAGACTGCCATTCAATATATGGCTCTAAACCATTAACATATTGAAGCGCCGCAGTTGCATTCAATGGGACTGAGTTGAGACAGTCATGAGCTAACTTAGCATCAACTCTTGGTGTCGCTAGAAGCAAAAGCAGGTCAGCCTCAAGAACGACGGGATTTGGTGCGAGATTCAATCATAAAACCATGCTTCATCGAAATAGAAGCCTAGAACATAGTCCTGGGTAGGTTTGACATATCGGGGGAATTTGTACATGTAGGATAGCTACTTAATACGCTTCTTCATTCCCACTGAGGATAACCTCGTCGTGGCTGTTTCACATACCTGATGGCGACGCAACTTGAGCGACAGATGACAGACTGCTAACAACAGCACATGCTGCGACGGTATGGCTAGCAGTAGCAATGGAGGTTGTCGAAGTAGATCGGCGTCCATGTGTTGTGCTTGACAAACTGCTGAGACTGCTTGCAACCGAGGCGACAAGAGTTAGAGCCTTGCTTGGGGAAGGCATTTTGGCTGACAAATACCCAAAAATGTGAACCCGAGAACTACCGCTGGAAAGACGACGGAGAAGACGAGAGATAGAGAGTGAGTTAGAAAAAGAATTAGGACATCGTCATTGACATATATATACATATTCTGATGTATTTTGATTGACACCAAAGATTGGTCAAGATCTTCCGATTGTCATATTGGCAGGTCCCTCTCTCCAATGGGAATCATCGATCTTCAGACCTTCTTCATTGGGCAAAGTGTAACGGTGCTGGATAAAATGAGGAACTTTCCCAAACTTTAAAAAGGGCCATTTCTGCCTTTCCACTTTTTTCACTTTTATTAACTTACTAGGTAGTAGATGCACCATGCCTGCAACTTTATACACCTACCGCCATGTGGTCGGGGTAGCCATCTAGGCGGGTGGCACATCCACAAACGTGCTGCCGGAATCTACCGGACAAGCCTAGGCCTGTCCAATTTAGAGTTATTTTACCTCAATCCCACGGGTAATTGATTGGATGAGAGATGAGCTGCAATTAAAAATCCAATTTGATGATTTTGATTTTTTACATTATCCAACCTCATGCTCGTTCACTAGGTAAACATACGTACTAAATAGGTAGGTAGTTTAAGTAAATTGAACTTCGCTAAAGTAGAGTTCTTCGTTTAAGCTTTTAATTAGATTACTTTCTAAAAGACGAAAATGTAATCATCGTTGGAAATCCCAAATATTATTAGATGTGTAACCCAACCAACAGATGAAAGGCTAAATCAGTGTTAAAGCAATGGGGGGGCAGCCTTGGAAGCGAGCCGTTTGACCAACAAGAACAATTATTAGCTTGCGTTTATAGTTTTATGCTTTCTGGCCGCACAAGCACGGCAAGTACTTTCCAACTTTCAACGACAAAGTGTAAATATCCGAGACACCCATGATCTTCTTCCCAATGTGGCAGGATGTAAAAGGCCTCGTTGGGTTCAACGGATTGAAAACATCGACTTCCGCGGGCATACCTCGTGTATAGTCCAGCACAGATTCTCTGAAAATTTTATTGCATCCAAGTAAAATCTACTGGAGAATGAAAGTGGGTTCGAGGTGTCTTGCATAAAGTGGAGCCTTTCAAAGCCGACATATTCAAACATTTCAGAACTGCTCGCACCACTTTCTCTGCTCCGATCTCTCACCGACAATTATTTGAAAAGTCCACACGGCTAAAGCTGTAATTGAGTTTTTTTCCTAGATTTATTCAGATCGACTTGTGAATCCATGTCCACCGGTGTTGTCGGTCCAATTGTCGTAGTCCTGGTCATATCCTAAAATGGACATGTATTCGATTTTTTTATAAATGTCGCAAGCGCGATTGTGACAATTCAAGTTCAAATATGTATGGAAAAAGCCATTGTATTCCTCAGCGGCTTCCCGGCACTGGATGAATTCTCATGAGACATCGAAAAGTTTGCTTGGCTATGAACTTTAGCGGGCGCTCGTCGACGGCAATCCACTTTCCAGTCGTTCTTCAGGCTGCGTTTATATTGACAGTCTCGGGTTGGCGGAGCGATTTTGTGCACAGTAATTTTCTTTCTATTAATCATCGGTTACTGCTTGAGCAATGTAGCTGTAAACCGTGCCAGGCATGAAAGCTCATTAATTCTCCATAATTTTTGCTCTTTATAGGTGACTGCTGACTTCTTCCCCATGGTCACTTGCCGACATAGTGTGGGACAGTGTCGCCTCTTAAGGTATGCTTCAAACCGCCAAGGGCGAAGTTCCTCGAGCTTAGCTAGGAATCAGTACATCGCGATGATTTGGTAACACGACATGGTTCCGATGCTGAGACTCTGTGGAAGGAGGTTTTGCCGTAGCTTGCGAGTCTGAAATACTTGACATCTACTGGCTGACACACTGGTATGTTGATGCAGATTCGTGAATGTGAAGCTTGCCGGACAAGGTTGTGTTCGAATGTTTTCCCTATATACCCTTAAGTAGAGCTTGGGAGAACAACTGCTATATGGTTGGCTGTCAGTGCCGAAGCCAATATGGTTTCGGGTTGACGAGGCGTTGTCGCATCTGACAGGTATAAGTTGAGGTCTCCTATGCAGTGAAGACAAGCTTTATTTCAGGGCATCTTCCTTGCCGCAGAATAGGAATCTCTTAGAAAGCTTATTTCACACTGCAAAAAGATAGGGAAGACGACAAGAAAAATGTGGTGGTCAAAACTTATACGATTTTTAGGATGCAAGCTTCCGATGATACTTCATAAACCATCCTTACCTAAAATTTCTGTATTGTGTAAAGTATCGAACAATAACTTCCATGAAACCGACGAGATATGTGCTGGGCAGTACCATTGTAATGCAACCAAGACTATCATGCATTTTGGAAATGAGACGTGATCATTTCCCTGGCTCGACGATACGATCTTTCTTGCATTGCGGTAACGGTTTTCGCAGTGGTGTGGTCCAAGTATGGCGCTGAAGGATTGGCGCATAACTTGCGCAACCTACATGACCGAATTTTTGCATTTCGTGCCAGTACGTTTCTTTCTTTCTTCAGGTATTGTGGGATGTTTTGATTTTCTGTGATGGGAGAGGAATCCAATTATCCAATTCGTCTATCCGGTTTTCCATTAGGTGAACTGTTGCAGGAAACCCAGTCGACTAGAAATGTGACTGCCCACATACACTACTAACGTCGAAGTACAGGACTGCGATTGACAGAATCTTTACCAACTTGTGGTACCACCTAACGAAAGATATATGCATCAAAGCTTATCTGCTCCGATTAGGTGTGTTGATATTTCATTCTTACCGCGTCAAAAATGCAAGGTCTGGATAACTTCATCAGCACTCCATTAGAGCACATACCGGTCGTTAAAGAATTGGTAACGACGAAATTCCTTGTGCAATGAACCATTGATGCTTGGGGTGCGTTAAATTATGGATATCGTCCAACTTCAATAATACCACGCACAGGCAACAAGCTCGCGATAATCATGTGGATATGTATATGATCCGATGATTCGAAATGAACGTAAGTTGAGGTTGTATATCATTCGCAACTTCTTAACGGCGTCAATGCAGGGAAAGAAATGCTCCGCGTATACTCCGTTTGGCCACCGAACGACATTCACCTGCGATTCGTGAAGATAATCGTATATGATCGAATCTGGTATGGTCAATCGATGAATTGAAGATTTAGACATGTGTGACAAATCTCTGTAGCTTGTGCGGAGGAATAAGGTTATCAACTTCTTTTTGACAGCTTTCTCGCAGGGATTGGTAAGCCATCGTGTAAGGTCAATACTCGCATGTTCTTTTCTCCCCTATAGAATTCTCTGAGCATTTCGGTATAGCAAAGTTCAGAGAAGGAGATGAGTACTTAGCGATGTGATATGACGGCGAAAGAAGTCACGTATAGATAAGACTTACAATAGAAACAAACCATTGCGTTTTGTTTGGTGGAATTTGCATTTAAATTTGACCTTCTCTCCTTCAGTCATATACAATCAAAGAGGAGATGATTCACAGTCTTTGTCCACCAGTGTTCCTGAAACATAAGACGAAGACACTCCTAAAAAGAAGCCGGCGGTTCGGTAAAAGCTAAACTGCGGGTACTGTGCTAAGTGCTAAGGGCTAAGTTCCTGGGTAACGTCACGAGGCTCTATCTAGCAACTATCTACCGGGGAGCTTTGACAGTAAATAGCGATCGGTAGTGACATATGTTCATGGCTCTCTCATAACAAGCAACCTTTGGAATGATGGCAGGAAATGTGAGAGGAAAGAGCATATCACACATCACACATCACACACCACACATCGCATCATATATCATCATTAGCAAGAGTCATACAGTAGCACAATAAAACAATACCATTCCCTACACCCAACACTATCACCTTACTTCTGCAGCAAAGAATGATATTCAGTCCTCTAATTGTTGAATCATACGATTTCTCTTTCATACCACAATCACAATCACAATCACAATCACAATCACAATCACAATCTAGCCTAAGGACTAGAATAAGCTACCCGAGCTACGGCTACCCCCACAACATTCCATCATCCTTACTCGCCTCGCCCTCCACCAAAATCTATTTATTCCTAGGCTATAAAGTAAGGAAATATCAATGGCTCCCGACTTGAACTCACTCCCCCCTTCACGATCATCAACTACTTCTCCCTCCATGTCTCGCACCACTCCAATTCCAGCTGAACACCCCGCACATACAAATGTACGAGGTCAAAGTCCTTCTCCATCACCGCGTTCTGCATCCACCTCGCTTCAAGCTGCGGCTGCAGTTAATGCAGGTCTTCAACAAGAAGAAAACACGAGACGTATGTTTATTTTCCTTGCCTTCAAATAATCATAATACGGAACGGCAGCTAATTCTAGAGCAGGCTCTTCCACAAGCCGACAACGACAAGCATCGACAGCATCACACTCAGGCAGAAGACGATCAACAGTTCTAATGAACTTACAAATGAATGACCCAACTTTGCCACCTCAAGGAGAGATTGTTAGTGAAAGTCAAAATCGTACAGCTAGTCCTATGTCATTTACGGGCTCACCTATCAATGCAAGCGGTGATCCTCATCATTTCCGCGCGCCTAGTCTTGGTGAAATACATCAAGAATTGGAACAAGAACAGGAAGCTCAAGTGGTAAGCTACAATTTTATCCAGGGGTATACTGAGGAATTTAAGGTCACTAACTGAATTTTTTTTCCCTGCAGAATCGCCTTTTGCATATGATTCGGACTCAACAACAACAACTTCAGCAATTACAAGCTGCCAGTGGTCAAGCGCAAGGATCTGCACCAGCCATAGATGAATCTACTCCAACATCTGAGCGATCTCTTTCGTTCTCAACACAAAATATCCCTCCAAATGTGACCTCAGCAATGTCACTTCCTCGATCACCCATCACGGCGATGCATTCTCGAACTTCCTTCGATGTTGCACGAGAAAATCTTCATCGGCGGTCCAGAACACCTAGTCGAACTGCATCACCTAGATTGAGATCTTCATCTATAAGCAATGAAGGTGGAGAATCATGGAATTTGGGTGGTCGTGATGAAAGTGCATACTATCAAGCAGAAACGCAGACGATGATTCGAGAGAATCAAATGTTACGTCAGAGAATACGGGAATTAGGTATATTAAGCTTTATCAAACATTGTATTCACCTCTTCATACTAATTAATGATATTTAGAGCGCCAAGTTAGTGAATTACATGCAAATTCCTCCATAACACACGAACCTGCCACAGCATCCCATCTAGTGTCGTCCACCTCTGTTTCTGAAGAAGCAGCACCACTTGCCGCACCAGCAGATGAGCCAAAACAAGATTGAAGCATTATAAATACTTTCAACGATTTATTTTTATGTTTGGGAAAGACTGTGGACTAGAGGCGCAACGAATGGTTCCACAGATCAAGAGTATTCAAATTGTAAACTCTATAAAATATTGGCGTTGGTACGTTTATGGGATTGACAGCAAGGAAGCTGTATGCGGTGCCAAAAGTGTAAGGGGAGGACATTTCTTATTCCTAGAATTCTCAATAACTCAGACCGTACTGAATGCTATTCTCTCGGGACTTTGAATTTATTTCGAAAGATGGATGGGATGATGGTGATTTACAGCCTTGTCGTTGAAGCCTTGTGAACCCCTGCATTCGCATGAAAAGCTCCCCGCACTTGTGCCATTGCATCATTTACAATCCAACAAGCTATTGAGTTATCCATGGTCTAACAACTTAACGAGCTTATTTGATTCAGAGGTTTGTACAACATGTTTCGAAGTTCAATTCGGAGTCAATTGACCTCAAATTTAATTCACCGACGATGTTTCGCAACTACCATTTCACGACAGGCTGATTTTACACATGCTGTATATACCCTTTCATGGTGTCGGATATATTCTTGCAAATTGAAGGCTAATACATCAAGGTCATCGGTGGAGGTGCGGTAGGTCTTGCAATTGCTAGACAGTTGGCAGGTAGAGATGGAACAAGCACATTACTCCTCGAGCGCAATAGTGCTGTAGGAATGGAAACCAGTTCGAGGAACTCTGAAGTCAGTGATCCTTCCCTCCCTTAATATCTTTTTTTTAGATGTCGTTGCACGAGGATATACCTCGAGATGTTTTCATCATTACCTTCAATCTAACATGATTCTACAATTAGGTCATCCATGCTGGTCTCTATTACGGTGCCAATTCTCTAAAAACCAATCTCTGCATCCAAGGTCGCCAAATGCTCTATGCCCTCTGCGCTAAATATGACATCCCCCATAAAAATATGGGAAAATGGATCGTCGCCCAAACAGACCAGCAATACGAAGAATTAATCAAAGTTCACAAATTCACCAAAACTCTCGAGGATGTCCCTACCCATTTTATACCTTTGGAACAAGCTGCTAAAGAAGAACCTTATGTGCGAGCTCGAAAGGGGATTCTCGAAAGTCCTACGACTGGAATCGTGGATTCGCATTCTTATATGCAGTTTCTACATGGGGATTTTACGGAGAAAGGAGGGGATACCGCATTGAATAGTAATGTGATTGCCATCACACCCTTAGGTGATAAGGGAAGTTCAGGGTGGGAAATTCTGGTAAGAGATAAAGCCAGCGGGGAAGAAACTATATTCACATCCGAGACTATAATTAATTCCGCCGGCCTGGGAGCATGCGATGTTCACAATATGATCGTATCCCAAGAACAACATCTGAAACAATACTACGCCAAAGGAAATTACTTTTCGTATTCTCCGAGCGTCCCAATGACCAAACATCTCATATACCCGGCGCCAGAACCAGGATTGGGTGGTCTGGGTACGCATCTTACTCTCGATATCGCAGGACGCATTCGTTTCGGACCAGATGTGGAGTGGGTTGACGATCCGCACGATTTGAAGGTTAATAGCTCGCGTTTACCGGAGGCCATCGAACAGATTAGGAAGTTTTTGCCTGATGTCAAGATTGAGGGTATCCAGCCGGATTATGCGGGTATAAGGCCGAAGTTGGGGAGATTGAGTGCTGTGGGGAGTGGGGCAGGGTTTCAGGATTTCGTTATTAGAGATATGTCTGAGGAGGGATACAGGGGTTGGATCGATTTGTTGGGGATTGAAAGTCCTGGGTTGACGAGTAGTTTGGCGATTGCGGGGTTGGTGGGGAGGTTGTTATATTAGGGGGGATGCCGAGGGGTAGGCTGAAGGGATTAGGGAGAGAAAGGAAGAGGAGAGAGAAGGGAGCATTATTTGGATGTTAGATATAAAAGATTGATAAATACCTAGATTGAGAGAGAATAAAAAAGAGTGAATGAATAAACTAAAGAAAGGAGGTAAAATAAACTAAGAAATACAAAAAATAATAAAAATAATAAAAAATAATAAAATTAAGTATTATTATAATAAATATCTTTTAAATATTATATTTATAATAATAATAATCAAAAACTTAATAAAAATAAAAATAAAAATAATTAAATAATTAATTAATTATTTTATTAAAAATAAAAATTTAATATAATATAATATAATTTAATTTAATTTAATTCAAAAGTAAATAAATATTCTAATAAATATTTTAAATAATTATTTGAGTATAAGATTATAAAATTAGAATTATAAAAAGAGAAGAATAAAAAAAAATAAAAAAGAGAGTAGAATGAAAAAAGGTCTTGAATTTCATTTTTTTAAGTGGATCTAATTAATACTATAAACTAGGAAACCTTTCACTTCCTTATACATCTATTTTGTCATATATATATATCATATACAAATACAATCAATAATTATTCTCACTTCAATCTTCAATCTTCAATCAAGTGCATCTCATCTCATCTTAATCTCAACCTATCAATCACTTCAACACTCAACTCAACTCAATTCAACTAAACACAAACACAAACACAAACCAAACCCATCCATTAATTTTCACTCTATTCCTAATTCGGGTATCTTAAAAGTACAACCATACAAGCATCAAGTTCCCCATCTCTCTGCTGCAGGAGAAAAAAAAGGAAGAAGAAAAAAGTAAAATAAAAAGTACCTAGTGGAGGGTAAAGGTGAAATTAAGACACGAAGCTCACTCTTATACAAGCTCGAAATAACCTAAGCCGAAACCGAAAACCCGGTCCTATCGGTGATGATGAATTATAATAACACGAGAGAAGTGAATGGGATACCATAGAAGAATAGACATAAGCTCATAGAATCCTTATCCATCATGCCAATGCTATGTTTTTTAAAAGAAAAATCAAGCCTTTTGATCTTCCCCTGTCTCTTTAACTTGACCCGATGCTTTTTCCCTCTCCATGGTGTTCGTATCGTCGTTTATGTGATTGGTTGATGTTGATATTTTTGAAGCTTCTTTTGCTGCTGCGGATTTTTTGGATTTCTTTTTGGATTTCTTGGACTTTTTTGGAGGTGCTTCTTTGGGTGGAGATGCATTTTCATCTTCACTTGAGTTATCTTTTTGCTCTTGTACTTCTTGCTCCTCTTCTGCCTCTCCGCCAATTTCTGTACTATGTGGCTCTGGCTCTAGCTTCGATTCTGGCATTGGTGCCGATTCCGTGGCTGAGCCTGGCTCTGCCTCTAGCTTCAGCTTTGACTCTGTGACTGGCTCTTCAGCGACAGGCTCAGCCTTTTCTTCACCAGTATCACCATTCTCTTGTTTCACCTCCGTCTTGTCTCCTAGCGAATCACCAGACATACTATCCCATGAACCCGTGGAATCTGCCTTTGAGTCATCATCGTGAATGACTGTCTCTGAATCCTCCTGCTCCGGTTCCAATTCTTCAATCATTTCCGAAATCGGCTCTTCTTCTTCTGATACCCCATCATTCGACTTCCCGGTTTCCATATCATGATCTGGATCCACCTCCTCAAAAGTCTCCACAATGACCGGTATTTCCGTCCCAGTATCACTTTCCGCGCCTCCATCCTCTCCTTCTTCCTCTGCAATCCTTGAGTTACGTGCGATCCTTAATCTTTGAGCAATATCCCCTTCTTCTTCATCAATTTCTTGAACTGTCGTAATCGCCGATCCCACTGAGGGAGATTGCCTAACATGTCTCCTCGTTGTATTTTGTCTTCCGAGTCCTAAAAAGTCCTCCTCAACCCCTACTGGCGTCTTTAAAATTGACGTAATTGTCGGTGGTTTATCCTCGACATTTTCCAACCCTTCTGCTTCTGGCGGTAGCTTATAATTCTCTGGTGGCAATAGCTCATGCATATCACAAACCGTCTTAAACAACACATAAAGACCCGTTTGACCCTCGACCTGCCAAAATACTCCTCGATGTTGAAACCATGCATGCGCAAATATACGATGTAAACGTCTGAAAATATTAATTAAATGTTTAACACCAGCTCCTCTGTCATCCATCGCATCACCAGCAGCCATACTCAAACGACTTGGAAATATCTTTTGACTAGTTACGATATTGGTAGCCCAATCTAATGTATGACAGCAATAATCGATAGCGCAACAACTTTTGGGTGATTCATGTACGGCGCAAAGAAATTGCCATTCGGAAGCGCGCATTTCTGGGCATGTATGTGCGGAACATGGAGGATCATCAAAGAGGAATCCAATTATTAGATCATTACATTTATTGATTAGGAAGCGGCAGAGTTCATAAAGCCAAAGAGCTTGATCGAGACCATTTGGTGGTGTGGCTATTTCGACGGCAGTTTCCCGAGTTATAGGAACGCTATGGTCTTTGGAAGGAGGTTTAGTATGATAGTAATGCAGCGCTTTTAAATGTTCTTGTAATTGAAATGCTGAGTCGAGCTAGATGGTACCAAAAATATGTTAGCATATTATCATAATGTAGATGCGACGTAGCCTTTGAGCTTAAAATCAGGAGGCACACAAACCTCACTCAAAGGTATGAGAGGTGGACCAGCAGCCATATCACCAGCTTTTGTTCCTGGACGTATCCTCCGACTGGCATTGGCTTCTATAATACTTTGTTCCATCATTTGTTCTTGATTTGAGGAAGCACTCCCAAGGGATGGAGATTTAGGACCAATCTGGATTTCTGTGGGTGGAGGTGGGCTTGGAAGCCTTGGAGAAGTTGGTGGGAGAGTAGACATCATGATAGTCCCCTCAAATTGACCTTGTGAATCTTCATATATGGCAGAAGACGATGCGCTCGAGGATGCGATTTGGTGAATTGCTGTTGCTGTTGTTTGTTGTTTGTTGTTTGTTGTTATTGTTGCTTTCAAGAAAGATAGCTGGAGATTGAAAGATGATGGATGATGAGTGTCGATCAATATTACAGAACCGGTAGTACGCGCCAATTTCTTCAGATTCGCGTTAACCAATCAAATTATAGTGTGCTTTAGATAGCGTCGGAACGCTAAATTTGATGTGCAAGGACGCTGAACCTTCACAAGGCTGTGGGTACGTAACGTAGGGTATGAAATTTTATGGGACGAATATTTGTTAAAGAATTATTCAACAAGGCGAGAATAGGCAACATCTTCTTCCATATATTCGGTATGGACCTCGACGATGATATTCCTATGTTAGTAGATGTGGAAGGGAAAGAAGGAAATATAGAGGATGAAGCAAAACCAATCAAAGTACCAATTACAATTGTCACTGGTAAGTTCTATATATACATCTAAATCGAATGATATAATTAATATGAAACTTCAAGGATATCTTGGTGCCGGCAAGACAACTTTGATGAACTATATTTTGAATGAGCAACATGGAAAAAAGATAGCTGTGATATTGAATGGTATTACTCTTTACATACTCCTTAGGTCTTCAATCACATAATTGACACTTAGGCTAACTGCTTGTACAGAATTTGGTGATTGTAAGTTGGAAACTAGAGATTGAGTGATCTTCCTGGTTCTTACTTTACTACTGCTCTACCATGATCTGACCAGTTACCATGGCTTATAACATCCAACTAACGTCTTTACCATGCAGCCGCTGATATAGAGAAATCTTTAACCGTTAATACCGGTAGTGAGCAAGTGGAAGAATGGCTCGATGTTGGTAATGGCTGTATATGTTGTTCCGTAAAGTAATAACTCATATTCCTCCTCAATTCTTTCCTCCCCTCCCTGCCACATTCCCTCTCTCCTTCCCTTCCCCCTTCCCCCTTCCCCCTTCCCTCACATCTCACCAACACATCCCCAGGGACTCCGGTGTAAACGCCATCGAAACCCTCATGGAACGTCGCGGCGCCTTCGATTACATCCTCCTCGAAACCACCGGACTTGCCGACCCAGGTAACCTCGCGCCCCTCTTCTGGGTCGACGAAGGCCTTGGAAGTACCATCTACCTCGACGGAATCGTCACACTCGTCGACGCGAAAAACATTATCAAATCCCTCAATGAACCGGTTCCTTCCGAGATCCCCTCCGAGACACCCAACCAAAGCAAATCTTATTCCAACGTCAATAATGAGAAACATGAACATTCAGGGCCTCATCTAACAACAGCTCATCTCCAAATATCACACGCCGATGTTCTTATTCTTAATAAATCCGATTTGGTCACTCCGGAAGAATTGGAAATTGTTAAGGAAAGAATCACTGCTATAAATGGTTTGGCAAAATTACATGTTACGGAATTCGGTGCAACTCCAAAGTTGGAAGGTGTCTTGCTAGATTTACATGCATATGATAGAGTTGATTTTAATTTGGAGGAAGTAAAGGCAAAAGGACATAGTCATTTAGATCCTGTAAGTTTATATTTTTTATTGCTTCTATCTCCAACCTCCATCTCCTACCTCCATCTCCAACCCCTATCATCCCTTAAACTACCAAATCTAACTAAACTAACCAACCCACTCACCAAAAAAACAGACAATCACAACCCTCACTCTAACCGTCCCCCGCTCCCCAACCTGCACCCGCACCTAGACGCCTGGCTCCGTTCTCTCCTCTGGGATTCCACCATCCCAACCCCTTCTTCTTCTTCATCAACCACCACCACCTCCTCCACCTCACCCTCCTCCTCACCCCCATCCTCCACCCCCTCCCGAAATCCACCGTCTCAAAGCCCGTCTCCCACTCACAAACACCACCACCACAAAAATAATCCAAGCCGTACGAGAAATTTTCGAAATTCTAGATGATCCATCTCCATCTCTATCTCCCGGAACAGAAACAGAAACCGGATTCACAAAACCCGAAATGGGAAATAATCCCCACCACAGTAGTGGTAATGATAGTGAAGGAAAAATCGTCTTGATAGGAAGGAATATTAGGGATATGGAGGGGGTTTTACTAGAGAGTTTTTTGAATTGTGTTGTTGAGGGGAACATTTGATGGGATGGGATGCGGTGAGAATGTGATGGGATGAAGTGGGTTAGTTGAGTGAGATACTAGGTACCTAGATAGATAGATAGATAGGTGTCAATGAATGAATGAATAAATGAATTGATTTGATTTGATTTGATGGGTGATAAGATTTACTTTAAGTTTTTTACTTCCACCCGATTCTAGTAATTATTAATTAGTAGATTGATTTCCTATAATTATTTTATATTTATTTCTACATCTATATCTATATTCATAACCTCGGATAATTTTATTAACCTGTTTATCTTTTTATTTATTTCATCTCAACATATAAGTTTATATTAATATTCATATATTCATCTATTCATCTACTCATCTATACAACCCAAGACAACACCCATCAATCAATCAATCAATCAATCAATCAATCAATCAATCAATCAATCAATCCCCCACAAGAAAGCAAATGAACAAAAAAAACCCCATTTCATAAAAAGATAAGAATATCAATCATAGTTATAGTTATAGTTATAGTTATAGTCATATTCATATTCATGGTCATGTTCATATTCATGAAATTGCATAACTCAAGAAACGTTCTCTCTCTTCCGCTATGTCAACCCCTAACTCTTTTCCTCTTCTTCCTCCCCTCCCTCTTCCTTCTCCTCTTATCTTCTTCCCCTATTTTTTTCATCTCTCTCCCTCTTCCTCTTCCTCTCCGTCTCCGATCCATCCTCTCACACAAATTTCTACTATCACCATCTTCTTCTCACTCCCTCCACACTCCCCATTTTAAAATAATAATAAAACGAAAAAAGTAAAAGATGGATGGACTTTCCATCTATCCATCTATTCATCCATCCATTCCATGCCTTTCTCTCCCACCCACCCCAATCTAATGTTTGTATAGCAACACCCCACCCAATGAATTTATTCGTCCTTCCCACAAAAATGTGATCAAGCTATAACCCTAACGCCAGAAATGCTATGTACATATATCTCATTCGTGCGATTATGCTTTGCGATGCAATGCCGGGAAGCCGCTCATCGAAGAATCTCGATCGATGAAACACAAAAAACGGAGGCCGCAAAAAAAATTTGTAATAAGAAAAATGAGACCAATCATATCAAGATGACTGTCAGTCCAAAAAAAATCCCTTCTCAGCACTCCATCAAATGCATTCATTTCCGGATGAACTTTCTAACTCGAGGTTCATGCATACGGTATGTAATAATGTAATCTCCGGAGTAAAGGAAAATCTCAGTTCATCATCTCCAAATGATCTTTCAGTTGAGATATATTTTGGTCCAAAAGTAACGTTGAGGGGAATCTATGCAATCGCTAAAAAACAACTGATCGTTTCAAGGCCTCTTCCAAGGCCTAATTACCTGCCCTTGAAGTAATAATACAGCTGGTGCCCAAATTTGACGAAGGGTTGTGAGGTATTCAAAGCGGGTTCGTCGTGGAGCCAGTTGGTAATTATTTAACTGCTACCTGTTAGATTTGCTAACGGAGCGCTCAGGTAGATTATACCGTGGCCCATGTGCTAATAAATCGAAATCATAATTCTTAAGAGTTTGTTCATATTTCGAGCTCTTCATGAATTTTGGTACAGAGTCCTGTGGTAAGTCATTAGTAAACCTTCATGATTACAGATCGGAAGTACTTACACTAGCCATCAACTTGAAGACTGACAGTTGAGCCTCTTCAAATAATTTTGTAACTTCCTTCAAACTCTCAACCATAGCAGCATCTTGTCCCACAGCTTTAGTCATCCTGGTAGCCAGCTGATTCCTGAGCATATGATCGATATTAAGTTCGCAAGGGGAGCCTGGAGCTAAGAATGCATTGTAGATACCGTAGGCCGAGGCCATGGTTTCTTTGACGGAATCGAGACTTCCTCCAGATTTACCCCTGATTGGATCCACATTTCTTACTGCTGCTTTGCAAGACTTTAAGAATTCCTCGACATCTAAATAGAAAGACAAGTTCTCCTCGCAATGAGTATCCCGGAGGTTTTCACGGAAAAGCAAACGGAGCGCAGCATCATTGAGGATCTTGTCCAATTTTTGAGTATTCGAATCGCGAGAAACACCAGCTCTAACTGCCGCTGAAGATCCTTCACTCTCAGAAGTACGATCCCTTGAAGTCATGTTGATGACATCTTTGCCTTTTTGTGATAATTGATAGAAGGCATATTTAGTAGGCTGAAACCGGAAATCCTTTTTATCATCGGAAGGAGGAAGTTGTTGTTGGTATTGCCTGTCAGGCTGAACACACCAGATTAGTTCTTGCTCCAAAAATAGCGATGCGACTTCTGTGGTTTCCCGTCTGTCCACCGTAGTACAACAATCCATCAACCAGTCACAAGCGGCCTTTCCGGTAAATGTCTGATAAACAGTTCTAGGTGGCGATCCAACTTTACGCTCTCCTGCCATTCTTACACCAGCAATCCCATCCTTGTATTCGCTCAATGAGTCCGAATCAGCTGATGTAGTACTGGTCTTGATATTGGGTCCATTTTGACCAACGAATCTGCGGAAAATAACCTCAATTGTGCTTCGATCCGAGGAAAGTTTATCTGTAGCAGAATCTCTTTCTAAAATAACCAGTTGCATGGTATTTTTTGGGGACGCGACAAGTTCCGCGACGTGTCTCTGTTGTATTCCGTTCTTCAAGCAGAATCTTTCCAAAATATGAATACCCTTTGGTGTCAACTGCCATATAGATCCCTTCATGGTGAATTCCTTTGCTTGCTTCCCATCCGCAGATTCAATAAATCTTGCATCCAAGAAGCGTTGACACACTGAACGAGCCATTTCCCGCGCCATAGAAAATGTTGTAGTCGTGGTAGTGGTGACGATGCGTGAGGGGTCTTTTGGATCCGGCATACGATTTGATTGTGAGAATTTTAAAGAGCCCAAATTATTGATAGCCTCTTCTGAAAGAAACGAATGTTCAACTCTAGTTAATCGTATGCGGTGCGCTGCCAGTGGTAAACTGACTACCAACGTTGCGAATAAATCCTTGAAATCCTTGCTCAAAAGTCAGCATCCATGTCGCCCTCTCAGAAATCACCATATTTTTGCGAAATACATACTCTAGTGAACGGTCTATCATCGCTCGTCATGCGCAACAAGCGCGAAGATGTTTGGTGCATCTTGCTTGAATTCGCCGTGTTGCGATTTGGGTGGATCAACGGCGGGGTATCCGCAGCAGTGTTCGAGTAGGCCTGCGAAGGAGGATGGGTACCAAGTAACGACTGACGACGACCGAGGAAATCGGCAGAAGGTGTGTTCTCTGCAATTGTGTTCGATGTAGCCGATGTCGAGTTATCACTAGGTGAGGAGGATGAAGCTATATGTTCTCTAGCACTCGCAATAGACTCTGCCGACTTGGACCTATTATTGATACCCTTGAAAGGAGTGATATGATCTGTATTTGAATCTAAAATATTGCTTGACGAGAGACGAGAACGTAATGCGGGTTCAGCCAAACTTGCAATTGCGTTGCTAGTTTTGTCTCTTGCTAAAACAGCCAAGGTAAACAAGCCACTCCGGTTTTGCTTTAATGAGCTAGTCGATTGTCGATTTTGCTTATTAGAAGTGGTAGTATTATTATTATTAGAAGAACGAGGTATCAGTTCCTTTGCACTCGATTCGCGAACGATCAATGGAGATTGTGAATCAAAAGTTAAAGGTCGAATGGAAAGTTTCACTGAAGATATCTCAGAGGGATCTTCCGTAAAATTTTGAGTCGTTCCGCCTTCTCGAATGGATCTATCCGAAAGTGGTGGTAGAGAATTTGAGGCTGAGGTATTCGCGGTGGTGGTGGTGGTGGTGGATGCGGATGTGGATGATGAGGTCTGCGCAGGATTGATTTTATGGGTAAGAGACGAGGGTATAATTTGAATTTGAATTTGAATTTGATTGTTATTGGGATTGGTATCAATCAAATTCGAGACCGAGTTCGAATTTGAGTTTGAGCGATATCCAGATTGGAAAGAGGAATTAGGAGTTTTAGAGATTGTAGAAGTCGTATTGCTCGCGGTCGTGGTAGATGTGTGGGGTGGAATAGAAGGCGAGAGAGCCATCTAAGGTTTTTTCTTCCCTAAATCCACAACTAATAATATTTATTAAAAAAAATACAATTAAGAATCTATATCTGTATGTACAAGGAAGGCCATGAGAGAGAATTAATGGAGTACTTACCAGGATAACAGAGGAACCTTGACACATCTGTCTTGAATTCGTGATTTCGCGCTTGCACTGTACGGTTCTGTACGTTACTGTACCTATACGATTGACTTATTTATTTATTCTGTTCGCCCGGTCTAGTCTCGTTGCCGTCTTCCTATTTGTTTTACCTTTTTTCTTCGCTTCTCCTCTCTTTCTTTTTTGGGTGGAGTGAGCGAAGTTGCGGAGCGGCAGTGGAAGAAAGGTTTAGATTGTGTTTTGTCTGAGTGGATTCTCTGGGTGCAGATAGATAAATTTCATTAGATACGGGTACAGGAATAGCTGCGGGTAGGTAGATAGGTAGGTTCGCTAGTAAATTTTGAGCTAGCGAGTGATGGGAAAAAGAGCTTGAGACTTGGAGAGCTGGAGAGCTGGAACCAGAGCTGGAGATTGAGATTGAGATTGAGATTCAGATTCAGATTCAGATTGAGATTTAGATAAACCAGGGAATCCAAGAAATCGGATTTCGGATTTCAGTGAAGTACCTAGTAGTATGGGTAATTGTATCAGTTTGATCCAAGTGAGTAAAAAAAGCTCAGACTAGGTAGGGTAGATAGGTAGGTAGTTAAAGTTGAGATTTGGTCTTAGATTTGGATTTTGGATTTGGATTTGGATTTGGAGTTGGATTTGGAGTTGGATTTGGATTCGGATTCGGATTTGATTCGGATTTTGAATTTGATTTTAATAATTATTTGGATAATAAGAAAGGATATCTGAGGATACCTAGGTACCATAGGTAGAAAGACAACCGAATCACAAAAGGTAATTGGAATGGAAAGAAAAGAAAAGAAAAGATTGAATTGAATTGAATGATCGGTGTTGGATCAACAGATGGAAGTGAATTTTGCATATAATAAGATGATCTTGATAATTTTGTGCTATGAAAGAACGAACCCAAACAAGGCTAGCTGGCTGTGAGGAGAGAGAAGTTAGCTGGGTGAGGGAGTGACATTCATTGATTGATTTGCTAAGCATTACTAGTAATGGTGAGTAAATCTGTCAGTTCAGGTTCTGGAATCGAATAACTAACCTGGCTGGCACTTCTAATCCATACCCCCTCGAGTACATGCACAGTATAATATCTATTTAAAAAATTCGGAAAACCCTTGATGGATTGGATGGAATCATATCACCTAGTAAGTCAACCAGCATTCATGCATCCATTTGCATCAACCATCAATTATTATTGCAGCGAGAAAAAAATCAGCAAGAAAAAAAAGCGGGAAACCTCGTTCTAAGCACGAGGGTTACTGGGACCCACAAGTAGCGTGCGTCCGGCGTGTTTTCTCGGTAGTGTAAAAGAACAAGGGGGAATGATTGAATTGTTCTATGCCTAGTTATGTGCCTAGTTATGTGCCTAGTTATGTGCCTAGTTATGTGCCTAGTTATGTTGTGTCCCTCAGCCAGGCACACTTTTTAATGAACCACCCTTAATTGCTTGAATAGAGTGAAAAGAAGAATAAATGGAAAGATAGTCATTCAACTAATCTAGATTAGGTATTAAATTGTACATATCCGCATGAGATAGTGAGTGGACTTTTTCGAACATCAAGAGTGGAATTTGTTTCTTCAAACTTTTCCATTGACTTTTGCCATCGCATTCTTTCCGAATCTATGCCCTCCCTGAATAATGACTAGATGAAGGAGAGGCGCTACAGGTCGATTACCTATCTATTTTTGACTCAACACAACTCTCATTGGCGATATACAGTACCTGGTATTGGTAAGGGAGGGAAACAGTATTCAAAATAGGAATAGTCAATTCTAGAACCCTACATATATCATCCATCCATCATGATTCTTATTCTCACGCAACCAAATCCGGAACGGACTATTACTACTCTATCACATCGCTTTTAATTATCGCCTATCACCGAACTTCGGTCTTTTTGCTCCAAAGCCGGTCTGAGAATTTAAAGGAGGTCAGGGAGGGAGGATATCTTGGCTCTTTTTATTTCACATGTGCGGAGTACGCAGTAAGACGATTATGTCCCGACTGGGTAGCAATGGCACTAAAAGTTCATCATGTACTTCTCCGCACACACCATTAAAAAGACATTCGTTAAATGAACCAACGAGATCAGAGGAGGCGAATATTCTTTCATAAAGGTTGTCACAACTCGTGGGACCGGTAAGCACACTAATCACCTTTTAAAGTTAATGCCAGGTGAATCTATCGCGTTTTCTCGTTTTTTACTCGTGGCAGACAGGGATCCGGTTTGTCATTCAATGGATAGGCAGAACCCTTGAAATCTTTTAGTAACCAATACTTTTGGCTGTACGGAGTCCTTTATCTATGAGTCTATGACTAACCACGATGCTTATTTCTAAAAAAGAAATTGATAATTGTCATTCTAGAATTAATCGATACCTACACCTGTCACACCAGGATTATCAGCCTAAAGAGAGAGATACAATGCGTGCTAAGGCAAAAATATTAGGTACACTGGACATATACTTACTGCCATGGCCGGTACTTTGGACACAATTTTTCGGTAAATACAGCACGTTGGTGGTCACAACCTCTATTACTCCATAACGTAAAGCAGTCAACGATTTTCTTGCTCCCATCTTCCGCTTTAGGTCTTAGACACTCACTCACCTCCGACCATCGCCATCGCCATTCGCATCAAATCAAGTACAGCTATCTATCCACCTCTCAAACAAGGAACAGGGACCAAAAATGGTCATGATCCTTATGAACCGCACTGGTTTAAGATAAGAAAGAAGATCTTCAAACTCTGTTGATCTGTTCAATTGAATCTCGTTCCTTTTTTCATTTCATATGGGTGTGTTTATGTCTCTCTTACTCTTTCCGTGGGACCATAAATATAGAATAATCGTGGAATCGGCTTTCTTTTCTAACTTTCGGTGTGAGATGATCATCTTCTCTATGATGAAATATGTCTCTCTCCCCTTTGACCAGGAAAAGTTAAAAAGATGAACATATTCGGAAACTCGTACCATTCTACCCTCCGGCACTTGTTCTGAAACCAGATTTAAGAAAACCACCCATCGGTAATAAATTCCCATCCGACGTATACGGTACATTTAAATTGTCGAACTGGTGGTGGGTGGTGGGTGGTGTGCAAAGTCAGTCATACTGTATCTAACCTTGATTCATAAATCAACCTCAATTTTTATTTTTTCTTGGTGCGTACCACTGCCTGCTGGTCACCTTGATAGCATGATCGAGTTCTCCTATTCCAATTTACTGTGTAGTGTAACTGAGAAAATTGCTGCCGGCTGACTGTAGAGTACTATACTTTACATTGATGAGGCCTGTGTAAAATTGACCCTCAGTACCAAGCACGATGATGCGAATACCCGAAAGCCACGCTTCTTTATCAAACGTGCCTTGTCGCACACACTCTGGTTGGATCAAAAAAGAACGAGGCAATTTCCCGTATTTCGCAGGTCGCGGTCGCGTGCACGAAACTTACTCAGACCGCCACCAGTATCCTCAAATCCCGATATTGGGATGTGTAAATACTAAACACACGGTACCAACTACGCAACTCTTTGCGCCAATAGGGCGGGAATAAATGCAATCTCTGTCAACGGTCTGCATGGCTGAAAAGGTCACCATTGGAGCCGCTGGTTCATACACTGGTAGATGCGTACGTCGCACTAAACCACAAATCATCATCATCGTACAGTGTCAGGTCCATTGTAAATGAAGCATGACATGGATGAATGATCACGAGACAAAAATTTCGGTACATGGAAAAGAGGGTTTGGTCGTTGTCGAAACTGTTGACTGGCAGACCGGGCCCCCGATTTCCTTTCGGGTAGGGCAATGAGGCAATGTGTTTGGCGCTTTCTCTTTCGATTTGTCACCGCTTCATGAACATGGGATGGGCATGGTGGGAAGGATTCCTGATCGTTGTCTGATAATCCCTGTCCTTTAACAACCAGACCAGCGTTTCGAGAGGCGGTGAAGTAAAATAAATTTAAGACTATTGAGAAAAGGGCAAAGTGCGACGATCATGCAGTAATCGTGCTTTTGTTCGCAAGTAAGGAAAAAGACGTGGGCTGGCGGTAAGATCACATATGGATATCAATATGGATATCTACTTGTCAAGTGATTTTATCGTCTTATAATTTATTGTAGCCTGTAGGTATCAATAGTCAACCATTTTTTGACAGGTTCTGTGATGTATCACATCACCGCCAAATGGGAAGACAAGCATATCCTCTTGGAAGGCTGGCCGAAACTATCTAGCTTGGCAAAAGGTGTCTGTCACAGTTTGTGGAATTGACAAGGGAGGAAGTAAATGGGATGAAGGCATAATACATTCCCAGTTGGGCTGACCGACCGGCCGTCGTTTGCTGGTTAATAAAACCTTCCCACTGCTCGGAATGCTATAGGGAGCGGAGGGTATATGGCATGCAAGACACCCATTATGTCAACGGCAGTGGGGGATCCCCTGGCTCATACACTGTACGAAATAATGTCCCCTTTCATCTTTCCCCGGTCTCGTGTAATATATGTACGAAGGAGCATGCAAACTTCCAATATCCAATACGCACGAAGGGATGTGTTGCACAGACTGTTACTGCAAACTCAATAGTCCCATAGCCCGTCGTTAACGCGCATACAGCATCCATCGTCAGGGATACCTAAGACACGCTTTCGATGCGCATAAATCACTTTCTTTCTTGTGTTGTGGGTTTCGTCTACAGCTAGTAAGGGGAAGGAAAGAGGGGGATAACCCTGATGTTTTGAGGCACCAGTTGAATTGATTTTTGGAGTTGTTTCATACCGAGCTGGGTAGGTCAAGATAAAGATTTTGGTTAGAGGATTATAGCGAATAGAGATCGAAAGTGGTGAGATAGGCTTATAGAATTATCGAGAAGCCAAAAAAAAGCCTTGAACGGGCATCAATAGTGGACTCCCACGTTTTCTTGCCACGTTTTTCCTAGGATGTCCCGATATTTAGTACGATGTGATATCATCTAATCATCTAAATTATCTAACCAGTGGGGAAGGATTTCATCTGGTGCCGCTTGGAGTGTTTGCAGAAGATCCACTCACAACACTGATGGTTGATTACTTCCGGATCAGAGAATCCACATGGATGTAATGACCCTTGATCAAGTGCACAAATCCGATATATCGGCGGGTGTGGCGAGTGCATGAGAAAAATACAGTCAGATTTCTATTTGTAAGAACTGGATCTTGGTAGACTCAGAGAAGGAAAAAGAAAGAGAAGCATATTTGTTGGGAGTAATCAATACATCTTAGCTATCCCAATACATCCACCCCCATATGCATGCGAATAAATATCCTACAGACGAAAGATTCCATTCAAGATCCACCGTTTGTTGCTAGACTTTTAGATGATTCGATACAGACATCGTTGGAAAAGGCGTTAACGTTATGCTTGAAATTGCCATGTGTTGATGGAAAGCCACCAATTATTTTCCTGTACGAAATATAACGGTAGAATATTCAAAACTCCATCACTCCTCTCAACCACGAGGGGATGTCTCAGCCTTGTACCTTTCTTTTTATGGTAAGGTCGAAAAAGAAAGAAAAAAGTTGACACATGATAGAACTTGAAATCTATTTCTATCCAATTTTCAATAGTATTTCTCTTTTCAATTCCAATACTACCTAGGTACTTGCTAACGACTAAAAATCTATCAGCTAAAGTAGACGAAACAGAGGTGAATTCTTGTAACTCCACTCTTCTAACTAACTTTTCAGATCTCTCATATAATCTACCAAAAGCAGCCTTTATACGATTGCCCTGTAATGATTTATTGATATGCAGATCCCATCCAGCTTACAGGAGGGCTGAAG